TTTCCCACAGATGCGCCTATTTGAGACGACGGATGAGGATGTCGCTTACGATCACGACATGTTTGTGCCTTGTGCTAAGGATGGGACTAATGGTGTGCGGGTGATGATGGTGCAGTGAGCCTTACAGAGTAGTTCGTGACATTCAATGGATAGCAGTGTCAAATGGCATTTTTCCTGCCGTTCATTTCATTATTGAAGGCTTTTTACAAGGCTCCTTCCAAGGCGTTTTCCAAGGCTTTCATTATTTTTCGAGCTGAAATATGTCATGGCCGGGGCCTCGCCATCAACTAATCCCCAAGAGGTGTAGATCCATGCTAACGTTGATTGTGGCTTTTTCACGCATTAAAATTTGACGGAGCGCTCTCTGTTTCCTACTCCAATCAAATGCGTCTATCCTATGCTCAACCTGAGTTTCGTGTTAGGCAGCCAACGCATAAGTTCACGTGTTCGTTTCCAGCTCCAAGTTTTCGAGCAACTAAAACCTCTCTTTTCCCCAATTTCTCGCTCGCAAGTCCTCAACCCGGGAAGGAAATAGTCGACAATGGCCCCATTACCAAATTTGTACGAACGACAGCTCCCCTCCAAGCATCAGAAGCTAGCGGAGGTGGATGCTTTGGGATCTGTGACTTTGTGGACGCACTTCTACAACTGCATCGACTTCACAAAGGGCACTGCTTTCGACGTGCACGATGTAACCTCGACGGCCGAAGAAGACCTTGTTGCAGCTGCCTATAAGATTTATGCCAGTGAGGCTGAAAAGAAGGATGCCATCCTAGGTGAGATCCCAGAACAATCAGCACAAAATGCCGCATAATGCGATACTGATTAATTGCTCTTAGAGAATGAATTCTTTCTCAGATTGTTAAACAGGTGCGTCACATGCACCTACGACATGATTCAAGGAATGGATTCTTGGCTCCAAGAAGAGACTGGGACTTCTGCATTCCAGACGCCTGCTCTATTGCACATTCTTGTTGCCGTCACTATTAAGCACTACAACTACGAGGTTCTTGTTGCCTTGACAAAATTTGCGCTACCGCCGTCCAGCATTTTCACTGTTTGTCCATCACCGACAATTTCTTACTTGGAGCCGGGTCTTTCACGAACCGGATGGGACGCACTTCGGCGCGCGGGTTGGATCACGGCATCGCAGCGTCCACTAAAACCTACGGAGGAGTCTCAGCTTCCCTCCACGGGCACTGTGGGTGGAAATATACGATCTTGCGTTCGCGATCTCCCAAGTTCAACCCTCCGATCGTACTTCAGTCATGTCCCGCGGACACTCTATACAGGCATACCGCCATACCCAAAGTGGCCCGGAGATCTCGTATTGGTAAAGGATGCTGCTTCTCGAACTGGGCCTGAGGGTGTGAAAGTGTTGCAACTTCTGGTCGAAATTGGGGGCATGGATGTCAACGACGCGGAAACTTGGTGGAAACCAGGCGACTGCGATCCAAGGGACTGGAACCCGTTATGTCAGGATGGAAGTGAATGCACAGAGACTGCACTACATATTGCAGTTGACAGTGAGAATGTCGAAGCCGTGGAATACCTCCTAACGCACGGCGCGAGGATGGTGGTAGACAGACACGGAAGGGATCAGAAGGCGAGATGCCACATGAGAGGATTCCGTAAGGTGATGGAGGTATTTGAGAAGTATCAGCAGTAGCTCTTCGCGGGAGTATTGAGTACGAACTAATTAAACAAATGGTTGCAGTTAGTAAATAAGTTGTACATTCCTTGCTTTCGGTTGGATCTTCTCACGTCCGCACCAAGAAAAGGCGGCTAAGCATTGTTGGCATCGAGCACATTCTATTCTTCGTAGCTCAGAGGCAAGATCGGGGGCTTCTACATGCTGGCCTCACTCAACTCTTGAAACTTTGCCACCCATGCCTTTCGCGGCAACGTGCTTGCATCTCTCTTCCAGAGTGGGCAGTAGACGCTTTAAAGTCGGCCAGCACACGAGGTGACAGAAGAAGGAAAAGTCAACCACAAGGTGATCATATGCAGACTTCTTTCATATGTTTCTAACACCTGATGTCTGTGTCAAGCATTCTTGAGAAATAGTGAAACTTGGAAGTCATTGAATCCAAACTCGAATGATTGCCCGATACTATGGCGTGGTATGCGTGGGTTCCTCGCACGACCGTGCAATCCATATATCCGGTTTAGCTCCAGCGACAGCACAATGGACTCTTTTAGTGGCTCGCTGTACCTGACGCCAGTTTATTCTTCCGGTCCAGCTTCAACTCTGATTTCTTAGTGCCTGGACAGGCTTGAATTTTACTCCAGAGGGGGTTTGGAGTGTTGCTTAGAGGGAGGCACTAGCCGGCATTCAGAGGAGAAGCGTCGACCTATGACTGGGCCCGTTCAGGGATGCATGAATAGTGATTGACAGGCTGTATGAATGAGCCGACTTTGATCAACATGGTGGTTTAGACGAAGCCACGTCACCAGCCTGCATGGTTCTGCCAAGGTGAGGCGAGCGGCGCATCACACGCCATGGGGAAGTGGCCAAGCAATCGCGTAGCTTTCTGCTGTGCCAATTACCAGCTGTCGTCGGAGATGCAAGCCGGTGCGTGATGGCTCCGCGCAGGATGTTCCTACAACTGCTGGCAAATATGATTCATTCTTCCTCGCCATTTCGCTTCAGGCGACTCGTACGGGCAAAGAAAGGCCCAGACCCGCGTCCCGCTTCCACTACGACCAACCGCACTTCTCGCTCCATCACAGTTATCCAATTATGGTTAAAGCTTTCGATGAGGGAGGCCGACCAAGCTCATGAGATAACAGATGGCGTGTCATGACTGGAGGGACAGAGTCAGACGGTGGGGCTGGAATATGCGAAGATGTGCCACGTACCTCAATGAACGCTCAAATTGGGGTAGTCGCTTGTCTTGTGCTGGGGGCCTCAAAAAGAGCCCACTATGCACTCCACTTTGTTGGTCATATCGTAGGTGTCGAGGGAGAACGGGTGGGCTCAAATACAGGGTAGACTTGATAAACATCTTCCTCTCAAGTTATGGAGTGTCAACGCCCACAATTTTCTTCCATCGTTATCGTGCACAGAAAGAACTAAACCGGCAAAGATGGCGAGCAACTCTAGCGGAACGATGCCCGCTCATGGATCGCCAAGTATGGAGCTTACCCCTGACGACGACGACGATTTCAGGCCTGCAACCTCGTGAGTCTTCACCAGCGTCTAGGCGGCTCCTACTCCCACTAACCAGCTCCTGATCTTAGTCCTTATGGCGGAATACTGTCCCAGCTGTGGTTCAAGGGGCAAGGGCCTCTCTACGTGCCAAATGGACTGCTCCAGGGAAGTCCAGCATTCGCTGATCGCCACGGCGGAAGCAACATCCTTACAATCCAGGATGTCTCCTTGGACGCGGGCCACGTCATCGTTCACTTCCTATACAAAGGAAGATACCAGTGTCTCAAGCCAAAAGGAGAAACTGCTCAGGACAAACGGACCGCAGAATTTGCGACTAGTCTTCGAGTGTATTCTGCGGCCCGGGACTATCGCCTGCCTCGTCTTCGCATTCTAGCAACCAGGGAAATCCGGAGACTTGGAGATGGCCTCAGCCTTCCTTGTATGTTGGATATCCTACACGACGAGCATCCCAATCTCTGCGACGAAGATGACTGGCTTGAAACATACATCGCTTCACGAACTCGGTCCGAGCTTGACGATCTCGACAGACCCAAGGCAGAAAATCTTCTGGTTGAGATTGGGAGCGCCACAACCATTAACGGGGTGCTACTAAGGGCCGTTGTCTCCAGGGAGCTGGAAGAGAGGGAGGTCTTAGCAGAAGAGCTAAAACAGACCCGTCGGGAATTGGATGCACATCGCGCAACAATAAAACAGCTTACAACAGCAGACTCGATAAACCAGCCGCCATCCGTGGACCATGTTAATCTTAAGCCAGCTGCAGAAGCGTGCCCTGTGGAGGCCGAGGTGCCAGTTGAGGACGGGGTCCCGGCAGGTGACGAGATACCCTCAGCGGAGGAGGGTTATCATAAAGTGGCTGAAGAAGACTTCTACGCACCTGCCGATGTTGCTCCAGTCGAGAGCCAACCTGATTCCGTTCACGGCCATCTTCCATCCGACACTGACTTTGATCAATCAAGTCAGTATCACCAGCGTGAAGATTCAAATCTCGGTCAGGATCTTACATCGGCTGAACCAGGTGAGTGAAACAATCTGTCTCGGGCGTGATTCAAATTTGCTAACCATGCGAAATTAGGTGGCGAGTGGCAACGTGATTACGATTCGCTGATGCGAATCACTCAGGAGCCTTCAACGCCTCTTTCTGCGGAAAAGAAGAAGACGAGGAAGGATAAGAAGAAGGCCAAAAAGGTCAGAAAGACGGATTCTCCACCCGAACCCCCGTCTTGCGTCGAGGTTGAGTAAAGGCCGAGAAGCAGGCAAAACGTGCCAAAAATCCCACTGTGGAGGTCGACAAGGAGCAAGCAGTTCTTGTTGAAGCGCTTGATGGAACCTGGCCCTGGTAGAGTCTTCTATGCCGCCCAGGACAAAGGTGCGTTCACAAGGGGAGGTGATGCTGGGAGGACAGGTTATACGTACCTTTATACATTCTACCTACTAGCTTAAGCAATAAAGCATACGGCTATTTATTCAACATGTCTCGAGGCATCGGGATCGTGAAAAGCAAAACCCCACAACCCGTATTTTGTCGCCGGTGGACAAGAATGTCCTCGCTTCGGGACCTCTTACTCCCTGCATTGTGGAAAATATTTTGCCAAAAGGAGGACATCGGCCAAGATCTGGACCCGGGTGACGTCAGTACTAGGACATTGGAAAATATCTTGTAATCAAGGTAGGGTCAAGATGGAGCGGTTAAGAGAGTACTGAGAGATTGAACCGCCGTTGACCGAGGTAAAGGATCTGTGAAGTCAAGACGCCGTGCCGAACCCTGTCCCGGACAGAAGTGGTATATCTAATTCCCAGCTCCACAAGCCGATGCGGGCCAAGATAACATCAGGGTAGTATTGTGACCACATGAGTGTTGGACGATCGCCAGAGTCGCATCTGGCGAATTTAGCTAACCTGACTGGAGAATAACGTCCACTTTCCGCATGGGAATGTGTTGTCGTAATAGCACACGCGGCCATGGCTCGCTCAGTCTTGACGGAACCCGACTTGGTTCCGTGATTTTTTCCACGCCCAATAAGCTGGCTGAGAAGTTGAGCTGCATGGTGATTCCTTGCTGAACTTGAGTTGCCGGTGGGGCCGTAAAATGTCCAAAGTATCGCAGATCGTTTGAACGAGCGTGGGGCCGGGATCTTCATAGTTCTTCTGATCATATCAATTATATCCCTCTTGGCTTGTAAGAATCTAGGACTAGAATAATTTAATCATAATCCGATTGTCTAGATTAGATAGTGTTCGCGACTTAGGCATCAATAATAAATGCCATTCTGTCGGCAACGGGGGTGTAATGGCCTGGTTTCCATGGCATGACCTGAAGTATATTTGGATTTGTCACAGCGAGAATGAGGCCGTTACATGGATTTAACAATATAGGCAAGGTGAACAAATTGTTGCATCCAATCAGTTTGTGACCATATTACCGTTCCCATTGACGCTACCACGTCAGACCGCCCCATACAGTTCAAGCTAAGAGTGTCCGAAGTACTACAGCACTCGAAAGACTGGGACGCGATAAATACCCTGGAGGGATTACAATACGGCTCTGGAAATGGATACCGACTCCAGGATTTCGGCATGTGGACAGAGACTGATCTTCGGGAAACGCGGGGAAGCCAGGGTTTGATCCAGGCGGCCGAAGATGTGCGAATATCGGTCGTTGTTGTTCCGCAGCTTCCCCGCATTCCAGGATTAGGCTACTGCAGACTGATGGCTTCTGGGGGTCGGTAGTTACTATTGGCAAGTGCTCGAGCTGGGCTGATGATACTCATGGGGCCAACTATATACTCGTTTTCGCAAGGCTGCTGTGATTATATATAGGAGCTATGATATTCTTAGATCTGGAAATTGTTGTGCTTTGGGCTTCTACTACTATCTCACTTCTGTCGATTTCCAAGTTCGACTTCAAAACTATCAGTGAACTTTCTCAAGCTCTAGCTTTGTTGTTTGAAAGCCAACGTCGTTCACAGCAATAATGAAGCAGATGTTCATGAAGGCAGCGGCACTCTTTGTCCTCGCGATAGCGGGGTCGGCGATGCCTACCAACACTGTAGTCGACAGGAGTATGTCATGCAGGTCGACCAGCGACTGCGACCGGGAGTGCATGACGGCCATGGTGACCCAGATCTTGGATTCAATGGTGGCCCACGACCCTTACAGCCTGCCGTTAGCACAGTTCTACAAGGCAACCGAGAACTCGCACCCGGCAGCGCTCGGCATGATGACTTCATGGCGCACCATCACCAAGGCAGGCCCCCCTAGCCTGTTGGCAATCGACACTACCAACGGCACGGCGTATTTTGCCCTGGCAATCAGTGAGGGCAACGACGCGACGGAGGCAGTCCTTCGCGCCCGAATCAAGGTCGTCAACCAGCAGATCACGGAGCTGGAGCTGTTCATTAACCGCTCCCGCGGCGACCACGGCTTCACCTTCTCGGCCGCCGAAGTTATGGCAAACTACGAGCCGTTGATGTCGCCGGCGGCTAATCGGACCAAGGCGAGCCGGGAAACGTTGTGGGCTCTGAGCGAATCTCTCTTCGCCACGTCCAGCAACTTCTCCGTCACCGTGGCTGACGAGTGCCTGTTCACTGAAGCCGGCGGGAAAGTTATCGATACCGGGACCTATTCCAACGCATCAAGCACACCGCTGGGCTGCGTCTGGCCTGATAATCACCCCACTGACACGAACGCCCGAGTCGGCCTCGTCATCGACGAGGAGTTGGGCTTCGTCGTGACCAGCGGCATAATTCCGGGCACCGTCTACCCCTACGCAAATGTTTCCGCCTTTATTCCCAACTCGATGAGTGCGCCGCAGGAAGTGCAGGAGGCGTGGATGGAGGTCATGGAAGCTCAGGGTAATGTGACGATGCTGTCTCCCACCGGAGCTACTGGTGATACTCTCGAAGTGCTCCAGTACTACAACAACGAGCTCCAGGCCATGCAGATCAACGTTTATCTGAGCGGCCCAAATATGACATCACCCTGGTTGTAGTGTATGTTGTTGATGCCATACGGGGGGGCTTTTGGTCGCGTGGGATGAGACATGTCACAATGTGGGCTCTGCGTCGTGTGTGCGACTACTCGCTATCGGCTTGCCGAATTTTCATCTTCGTGTGAGCTATAGCGTTAAGTTAGAGAGAACTGTAAACATCAATTTATATCTTTGCAATATTAAAATTAGCAAAATACGACCGTGTGTAGGTGACCGAGAGCTTCACGTCTCAAAAAAGCTGCATAGGCTGACCTTTGCAGCGAGCATACTGCTTCTGTCTAATTGTCCTCTACGAAATGGGTGTCGACCCTAAGCTGGTACTTCTCCACCAACCATGTAGCCACGAACCATTTCAACAAGTTAGAAGATACATACTTGTTTAAAGAAAGACTACCAACGAAACCTTTCAGGAAAGACCGACTTAGTTTTAGTTTGTATGCACAGACCCGAACTACTGGATTTTCCGCCTCCATTTTCAAGAGGACTGTCTCAATCCGAATCAGGAGGCGACTTCGGCCATATCTCCCTAGGTACCACATCCTCCCAGTGAAGAAGCTCGTCATCGCTACAGTAGTAATGTTGGATGTATCCCTCTTCGCCGTTGTAATTATTGCCCGGCGTGGGCGGTACTTTCTGTGCTAGGTTCCTTTGGCGCTGCATGTATCCCTCTTCCTCCCTGTCTTTCTTGCCTGGTGTGAATGGTGCTGTTTTTGCCAGGCTCTTTTGGCGCTGTATTTGTCTTTCTCTTTCAGCATAGAATGACGTCCGCGCGTTCTCCCCCCATTGTTTTAACTTCATTGGATGGCAAAGACACCACAGAGCTACCTCGCGTGTTGCCATGGTGTCCTCCATGTCGTTGTGAACCCCAGATCCCAGACGAATCCGTAGGTTCAGCAGTTCCTTGCACAGGACTTCAAGACCCCATTTGCGTCCTGCAGGTTTCTCTCTGCCGAAAGCAGCTTCGGAGGAAACAATGGCAGTGTCGACAATCTTGGTGTGTACCACTCGCAGAACCTTCAAATCGTTGTGCAGGGACTGTCCCACAAGCACGGTTTGCTCGTTGATGTGCTTCCAGAGCTCTCCACGCGCTTCCCTCCAGCCATCGAGGACCTGCTGACTCGCGGCTGCAATCGCCATGGCCGCAGGTGTTACGCCATGGATCTCGCTGCGCCATTGAACGATGAACTCCCGTGGCTTGACGAGAGAATTCACCAATACTTCTTTGGTGAAGAAGTCGACAACGCAGATGGACACTATTTCACTTCCCCCACCCTCGACACCTGCCATCTCGCAGTCTAAAGCGACAGCCTTTCTTTTTGGGTACCAGGGGTGGGTAGGAGGCGTAGGAAGACATTCTTTCAGAATCGTAGGTTCCTTGGTTCTGTTGTAAGAGTCGTTGTTCAGGTCATCTCGCACAAAATAACACTCCCTTTTGAGGCTCTCTTCCGAATGGCAAGTGGCGAGGAGCAGATCGTAAATGATGTTCATGTCGGGCGGCGTAAAGGGTTTGTATGTTCTGTCACTGAAGGAATATGATGTCGGAGTAGGGAAGGACTGTGGTCCAGTATCCGCGTTCGGCACCCAAACGAGACTTGTTGATCGATTGGCTGCGTGGCTTTCCCTGTGATGGGAGTGTTTATGCTGCTCTACAGCGTTCTGGCTCCTCAATCGTCTGAAGCATATGTCGCAGCACTGATCGGCTTGATGTCCGGTGCTCAAAGAGTGATCGACGAGATTGAACACGTTCGGGAGAATAACGAAGCATATTTGACACTGCCTCTGGCTTTCTCGCTGGGATGGCGCCATCTTCTTGTGTTTTCTCCAGTGTGAGATGTAAAGTGGAAAATCGCTCAGGCAGCCTTGAATCTCAGATTTTCAGGCGTTAATCAGGCACATGATACATGAGCCGCATGAGACGGCTGGGACGATAATTGGCTCGATTGGCTGCATATTGCTGTGTGAAGTATTAGGAGTAAGCCCTTATGGCACACCGCAGATTCCAGTGCTGTCGGGATATTCAGAGCGCTGCATTCATTGGCTGTTGGTGCTGAGTGTGGCTTGGCCCTATTGTTTAGCACTGAGACATCACAAAATGGGAGGTTAAACACGCCGAAATTGTATGTCGGGGAGTCAAATTGGCACTCCAATTCTCTGAGTCCAGTCGCTGCCAAGGCCTCATCCTAGGCACGCCTCTGTTGAGCTCTGCGATCGAGTATATCAAGCCGTCACGTTGAGCAATGCACATCGCGGTCTGGTAATGGCTAGCGCGTATAGTGGGCTAATGCTAAATGAATAAATGTTCTGATATGTAAGGAAAATAAAAATCCGATGTACAGTGTGCATAGGTAAGGCTCGTCCGACCGTGGATATTGTCGTGTATGTCGCTCGAACGCGATCCTCTCGTCGTTGGCTATTGTCTAAGCACCGCAGCTCGTACCCGAAGGTTAGCACTCTAGGAAAGATACCAACTTCTCCCACTGGATTGAGTATGCTCAATCTTTTGAGATTGCCGGGAGTCAAAACACATTATTCCGTTGTCATGATTCCTGCGGTGTGGGCTTTCTCCCGTAGACCGTCCTCGTCCAGAAGTACGTGTGATGCTTCTTGTCTCTCAACTCTTTCCTGACCTTTGCGAGGTATACCTGGACTTCCTCCATAGACCAGTCAAGAATCGTGTTGAACATGTAGATCACGTATCCTATTGTTGTCAATTAGCCAATGAACCATGACGGGATGCCCTTGTGGTGCTTCAAGTACCTTCTAGGCCTTCTTCGACGGCGGCTAGATCATACGACCCAATTTCCTTTTGTTTGGGGTCTTTCGGCCATTGGCCCAACGGACACTGGAATGTTAGCCACTTATTACGCGCTGTAGTACTTGCTCTGCCTTACCTTGATATCTTTGACCACCACGTCCACAAAACCCGCTGCCTTCATGCATTTCACCTGCGTGTCTTCCTCAAAGATTGCCATACTGCGGCCAGTCTTCCAACCGGCTTCATGGAAGAGCTTGCCCCATTGCCCCAGTGCAGTGCCATTCTCTCGGGTGACAGTACCGTCGTCCGAGATCAAATCAGCACTTGCCTCAAAGTCTTCGACAAAGCCGCCAGGCTTGCAGACCCTGTAAGCCTCGTTAAAGACATGCTGCCAGTCCGTAAAGCTGCCGAACATTGTACGAAGATGTACAAAGTCGAATTCGTCATTCTGCCAAGTCCAGTCCAGAGATACATCGTCGATCTCAAATCTGCAGTTTGGCGGAACCCATTCCGGCTGAGTGGGCGACAAGTCGACGCCTAATACAGTTGCCTCCGGGTGCTCATCCGCAAAGTCGATAGCCCAGATGCCCGTTCCCGTGCCAATGTCAAGGACCTTGCCAGCGTCGCTTGGAAGCGGTGCAAGGTAGAGTTTCCCGTCGAGCAGCAATGTCCAGACATGATGCTGAATGTCCATACTGGTATTGTGCTGATTATCGTTGGGTGCCCAGTATTCGGCATCGCCAGGACCCCGTTGGCTGTGAAAGGTTCGTCCATGGATTGTTCGATACTCGAGAATTGAAGCGGTGAGTGATGCCGTTGACGACTGCATGCCACTACTCAAAGTCGAGTCTGCATCATCGTGTGTTTCTGGTTCAATAACCTCATGCCCTGCTTCCACTTCATCTTGACACATTTTTGCGACGACTTATGTGCTTATATTGTGGCTGAAGTTAGAATATGAGCTTATTTCGCCCGAAACGGAGGAACAAACACTGGACTCTATCAAGGGCGGGGTAAGTTATGCGCTTTAATCCTACATCGGAATCGGTTATTTATTAATGCGAGAGATATGCCAGGTTGATTGTCTGGTTGATTATCAGTGGTCTGGTTGAAGCGAGAGCGGGGAGTTGGTACAGGGGTTGATGAGCAGCGGTCCCGGAGTTGAGCCTGCGGCACAGCAAGCTGTCTAACAAATATATCGTCTCTCGAGGCCCGGTTTACGGGTGTGTGGGTTAATGGAAGTAATTAGGAGCTTTCTGAAGCCTGCTCGCGACTCTCAAGTGAAGGAGGGACGATTCGAAACCGGGCACACAGCTCCCGTTGTTGCAGGTCACACAACTGCTGAAGTGGGTAAGACTGATAAGAAGATACTTACTAGGGTGATAAAGGAATACGGGAATGACGTTGGAATATGGGCTTTTCAAACGCCGGAGGAGCCCACCTCAGGTATAATATATATTTCTTTTAACCAAGACAACCTTGTGGACTCCTTTCACATAACTCATAAGTGCTGGTATACAACGCCCCAAGCACGTCATAGTCATGATATGCGACTATTAAACAAGTCATAAAGGTACTTCAAGCGGCGCGTATATCAACTTACGCTATTGAACGACATGGTACTGATCTTTGTTCTCCGGTAGCTATGTTAGAAAATCCCGTCAGCGATCCTCTTCAAGCTATACTTTTCCGAGTTTTAATCCAGCGATTCCCTCCGGATAATGTCTCTTCGAGTTGCCGATCATATCCTCATGGGGTTCACTTTACGGTGACGGCCGGCGACCGAAAGCGTTCCCGACGAGTCCACTGAGGCAGCTCCTTGAACGAATAGATGATTAATTGAGCCCTTTTCACTTGATTTCGGAGTTTCCTGTTTTTCGAATCCTTCGTGCTCATTATTGTAATCTGGCTTGTCTGGACATGATCTCGGCCTCCACTGGACGCCAGAGCACAATCCCACTCTCCGGCACAAGGTTCCTCGTCATCAGGCCATCAAGACCATTGTCCCGGCGGAGCCGGCTTTTCGGTCAAGGTTTCCGGGCGATTTTTGCCCCAGCGGCTTGGCGTGATGCCAATATTTTAGATGAAGCTCCGCCTTTCCTATTCGGGCACTTCATGGAAGGTAGCCTCCGAGATGAACTGTCTCAAGGTTACATCCACAAGCGGCTGCCGGCACGTGGATGTCAAGTAATATATCTCGTCCTTTATGAGAGACCTGTCTTAATTAATTCCTAGTCGGCAACGGTTCCGAACGTGCTCGCTGGACATGACGCTAAAGCGTAACGTGACGGTATTTCACTCTACCCAATGCAGCCGCCCTGTCCTCACCCGAGTTAATTAATTGCATGTTTCTACCCCTCGTTGCTCTCAGTGCTATATGCCATCGGGTTTGTTCCCCGCTAAGCCGTGGTCTCGTTGCCTTTGCCTGCCCAGGCGCCTTCCCCGATGGAGCGGCTCGGTCCTTTGCATTCGCTGTTCGTCACCACTTTAGTCATCGCGAGTTTCTAGTGTGACTTGATCCCAAGCGAGACGTGCTGAGATCCCGTGTTTCCGAAAGCTAATATGGTTCACATGAGTAGGATTCTGGGCACGTAGAGTGATATAAAACGTCTTACGGTTCTCGTTGCTTATGTGTCGGTTTCTTCCCTTCATCCTCAGCGGTCATCGATCATCGAACAACCTATCGCAAGCCCAAACTATCTGTGAAGCCATGACTGCACGCAAGCTCTTCATTGCCGCGGCCCTCAGCGGCGCGGCTTTCGCCGCTCCCATCCTTGAGGAGCGCCAATCCTGCTCCAGCCAGTGGTGCGTACTCAAAATAGAGACCACTTCAACTTCGTGATGTTTGTCCACTAACACGATACATAGGGGCCAATGTGGTGGCATCAACTGGAGTGGTGCAACTTGCTGCGAGTCTGGTTATTACTGTAGCAAGATCAACGACTACTACTTCCAGTGCCTGGCTGGATCTGGTCCCGGTTCTACGACCAGCTCCCTTGCCGTTTCTACCACCACAAAATGGACTACCACCGTCTCTGCAACAAGCACCAAAACCTCTACCACGGCTCCTCCCCCGACTGGCACCGGCGCGGGAAGCTACTCTGGCAACCCCTATTCCGGCGTCAATCTGTGGGCCAACAACTACTACCGCTCTGAGGTTAGCAGCCTGGCAGTCCCCAAGCTCAGCGGTGCCATGGCCACTGCTGCCGCCAAGGTCGCAGACGTTCCCTCCTTCCAATGGATGTGAGTTTCACGTTTCTCGGAATGAGATATGAGGAGTTTCAATTGACAAGTCTGTAAGGGACTCTTTTGACCACATCTCCCTGATGCAAGACACCCTTGTCGACATCAGAGCGGCCAACAAAGCTGGTGGTAACTACGCCGGCCAGTTTGTTGTTTATGATCTCCCTGAGCGCGACTGCGCTGCTGCGGCTTCCAACGGCGAGTACTCCCTCGACAATGACGGTGCCAACAAATACAAGAACTACATCAACACGATCAAGACGATCCTCCAGTCGTACTCAGACATCCGTATCATCCTCGTCATTGGTGAGTCAAGTATATTTCGACACATGCGAACTGTTTAATCTGACATCCATAGAACCTGACTCCTTGGCCAACCTGGTCACCAACATGAATGTTGCCAAGTGCTCCAAAGCCCACGACGCTTACTTGACCCTCACCAACTACGCCGTCACCACGCTCAACCTTCCCAATGTGGCCATGTATCTTGATGCCGGCCATGCTGGATGGCTTGGATGGCCTGCTAACCAGGGACCTGCCGCTCAGCTGTACGCGGGTATCTACAAGGATGCTGGCAAACCCGCCGCGCTCCGTGGTCTCGCAACCAACGTCGCAAACTACAACGCCTGGAGCCTCAGCAGCGCCCCCAGCTACACTCAGGGCAACTCCATCTATGATGAGAAGTCCTATATCCACGCCATGAGCCCTCTTCTGGCGCAGAACGGTTGGCCTGGCGTACAATTCATCACTGACCAGGGCCGTTCCGGCAAGCAGCCCACCGGCCAAGCTCAGTGGGGTGACTGGTGCAACGCCAAGGGCACTGGCTTCGGCACTCGTCCCTCTGCCAACACCGGCGACAGTCTTCTGGATGCCTTCGTCTGGATCAAGCCTGGCGGCGAGTCTGACGGAACTTCTGACACCAGTGCCACTCGCTACGACTACCACTGCGGCTATTCTGATGCTCTCCAGTGAGTTATACCCCGCTTTACTCTTCCCAGAAATGATTCTAATAATTTCTTCTTTCCAGGCCGGCACCTGAAGCGGGAACGTGGTTCCAGGCTTACTTCGAGCAGCTCCTTACTAACGCCAACCCTTCATTCTTGTAATCGACCAGGTAGTGATTGTGGGGTGTGTCTTAAACTTCTTGTACTTAGTTATCTCGACCTTGCCAAATATTGATTGATGGACCAAAACTAAATAGTATCCAAATACAAACGATGGGAGCAAAACTTTGGCTTGTACCTAGCGCCTGACGATAGAGCCGCTCATAAACCGTCGTGTTGCCCCTTTGCCGTTGTACGAAACCCTCAATTAGCGCGAACCTGTCAAATGGTGATATGAACCAAAAAAAAAGGCCTGTGGATTTAATTAAGAGTCTCATCGACTTCTAATATTACTAAAAATATCTCACCTCCACTACGTGGCCAGTGTCTTATTTTAAGCACTCCCCTTTCGACCTCAGTCTCAACCTCGCTTGCATACGTATCTATCATTACATCAAATGCGTTATCGGAGCGTTACATATCAGATGAGGGGGGGGAAACAGCAATCCGGAAGTAGGAGAGACCATCGCTCAGCTTCATTATTTATCACAGCTAAGTATTTCTCTGCTGTGAAGTCCACAACAAGGGCGTAATAGCTACCTTTACAACCCCTTCACGGCATCAAGAGCTACCTTGACCACTTCATCGATCGACTTCTTCGGTAGGCCTAATAGGTCATTCATAATCTCGCCCTCCTTCTCCAGATGACCACCGAACTTCCCAGTCACAAATCCAGTCTCGATCAAGTCGTAAATCGCAAAGTGGTCTCCAGAGGCTACCGCTGACTGCTTCTGCTTGATAAAATCCAAAGTGTTGACAGTTTCGGTTGTGAATTTCTCGTTACCAATGCGCTCAATGGCCGCAAGAAGCATCTTCTGCGTAATTGCAAAATCGCTCAACCACACAATTCCGTTTTTCGTTTCTTCCCATTTCTTGGTCAAAGCATTGACGAGAGCGAGAGCCGTATTCTCTTCAGTCGTTGCACTAAACCATCCCTCGCCGTCATCCCAAAAGACAAATCTCTTCTCCTTGATGTGCATTCCCAAGAAATCGTGTAGTGCACTCCAGCGAAGCCACATTCCGCAAGCGATACTCATCCATTCCAACCCAAGTGACTCTTTGGAGCGAAGATAGTCTTGAATCTCGCCCTTCTCTCGGAAAACGGGGTTGAGTGCTCGTGCTTCAGGCTTGTTATTGTTGAGGCCATACTCTGAAGCGACATATCGCTTCACTTTAGCAGCTACAGCCCCGTCGATAAAGCGGAGCTGATCACCAACTGCAAGTGATGTCACGCAGTTGATGATGGCATCCTGGCCGCTAAATGCAGAGACGAGCGCTTCAAGGGGGTAGGAGTCATTAATGGTGATGATGTTGATTTTTGGCGAAAGCTTGTGCTTGGAAGACGAACGCTGCAGAGCGGTGACAGTGAATGAGGGTTCAGCGAGCAGCGCTTGTATGACGACAGAACCGATAGAACCAGTAGCTCCTACGATGAGAATGTTCTTGAAGGGGGAGGCCATTGTATACTTTGGGCGAAGGAATGTTTTTGGTGGCTGGGCGTATGGTAAGATGATACGTTGATATTGACAAGAAGCGTGAGCTAGAGCCAACGAGTGATATTGGTGATGGTTTCTTTTCTTTCCGGGCTAAGGCAGGCTTTAATATTCTACTTCCTCGTCTGGTGCTCCATAATCGCCATCTGCATGATTCTACGACGAAGCATCGAACGACACGATAAATCCCGTCTTCGTATTGGCTGATTACATCCGCTTGAAGAGATACGACTAACAATGTAGCATCGGCATCCCGAGATGCGGTGATCCACTTTTGATCGCAACTGGTTCCACAATTGCCCGCTGCTGTTATGCATCATGCCCGCACCTTCAGATGCGGTCAAATGCGGCTGACTGTGGCGTCATGATGGCTTCAATCGCGCTAAGTGAGGCCCTCTTCGGGGGAATGAAGTAATAATTCCGCCTCTTGGCCTCTACGTGCTCTCAGCTGCGCCTGTGGTTGGCTCAACGAGGTACAGTTTGGCCTGTAGCGTGACGATTGCGCAACCGAAGCCAAGTGGCAAGAAGAATAACTAATCATTATGCAAACGTCCCAACGCTACCATCGGCGAGGATGCCTACTTTGAAGAGTGCGGACTTCGGCCCGGGTCGCCTTTCTCACTAAAGTTCCCATGATTGACCACGAATTCGAATTAGACGGTTTTCGTGCAACCGCCACCCTATACCAACACTAACAGGTGGCGTTCTAGAACGCCGAGATGTGACAGCTACGCCCGTAAGAGCGACTCTGATGGTACTGGGCATATGCGGAGAACAGATTACGTTGCATGAATTCACTCTCTTATATTTAGAACAGAGATGACAAAGAAGGCGGGAGAAAGATAAATAGCTTCCATGTGTGCCACCAAAACAACATTACCTTCCTTCTCTTTCACATCAAGCCAAACAACCATCTTGGATACCACGCGCTCAAAATCTCAACACACCTTTGCAATGTCTGCCAACGACTTCACAGGAAAAGACTACACGGTCTACCGCTCCAAAAGCGGAGTTGCTTCCTCGTCCACTTCGAAAATCCCATCTCTTGGACCTCACGATGTCCTCATTCGAATCACCCATACCGGAGTGTGCCACACCGATGTACTCTTCTGTCAGTCCGGTGCACCTCTTGCCTTGGGCCATGAGGGTGTTGGAATTGTAGAGGCCATTGGTTCTCTTGTCACTGAATTCAAGGTTGGTGACCGGGCTGGCGGTGGCTTCCACAGAGATGCATGCGGTCATTGCAAGTACTGCTTGTCTGGAAGAGACATCTATTGCTACCAAAGAGTCATCTTTGGCGAGGGAGACTTTGACAACGGTACTTTTGGAGAGTACTACCTAGGCAAAGAGACCTTTCTACACAGGATTCCCGACAGCATGGCGAGCGAGCATGCGGCACCACTTCAGTGCGCTGGTGCGACGGTTTATACCGCCCTGAAGGAAACTGTCACTTCGGATAAGAGAGTGGGAATCCTTGGGATTGGTGGTCTCGGGCACTTGGCAATTCAATATGCGGCCAAGATGGGCGCTGCAGTTGTCGTGTACAGCACAACCGAGAGCAAGGAGCATGAGGCTCGGGAGTTTGGTGCCACTGAATTTTATCTTCTCGGTGAAATGTTTGAGAAGAAAACGGCGCCGATCGATGTTCTTGTTGTTGCTGGCACCAAGTACCCAGACTGGGAGAAGTAAGTACCTAACTCATCTGTCCGACTCGAAATATGCTAATACAAAGATACAGGGTCATGGACAAGGACTTTCTCGCCAGAGATGGTGTTATCGTGCCTCTTGCAGCACCAGTCCAAGGACCACTAACTTTGCCGTATGTTGCAGCCCTAAGTCCTCTTCAAAGTATTTCTCTCTAACTTCATCATTAGCGCCCAAGCAATGTTCTTCCAAGGATTCCATGTGCATTCCAGCCTCGTTGGCTCGCGGGGTGTTCACGACGAGATGCTCCAGTTTTCCGCTCGTCACGGCATCAAACCTCTGGTTCAGGTGTTTAAACATGAAGGGGCTTCTAGTGTTCAAAAGGTTTTCGAGAACTTGGAGCAAAACAAAGTGCGATATCGAGCTGTCCTGGAGATGTAGCCGAGGGCATGAGATATCAGATTCAGTTCGACAATTCTTGAAATCAGCCATAGTGTGCTTGGGTGATGAATTAAATATTTCAGCTGAACTTGTCGGACGCCTATGTTACAGTAGTGGTGTCCATATTGAAACCATAGGTGTGGCACAAGCTAGTTCGATGACATCCCTCCATAGGCATTCGGTATTTCTAGTAGGGCAACTTAAAGTTAGATGCGCTTCCAGGTGAATAGCAGCCGTCCTCAAAAGGCCGTGTACCCATTCCAGCATTTATGTACTTCGAATGAGACGAGAAAAAAACGACTGCAGCGCTTCCTCCCCCTTCTGAACAAAGCCTAGCTGTGGTAATGAGCGACATATGCGATTTCCATCATGCTCCCGTAGCCGTCTGCGGTGTTGGCGTTTGGGTATCCTGGCTACCAGCTGGTTAGCTCTCATCCCATGGCAGAGACATCTCGACAACTTACCCAAGTGCCACCCACGGCAACGTTCAGAATGAAGTACATGGGACTGTGGCACAGAGTGCCCCAAACCCTCTCATTGTTGATCCTGGAGCCAGAGATCTGGTGGAATTGTTGGCCATCCATATACCACGTGATGGTCTCCTGTGTCCAGCTGCTTTTCGTGCGATCAAAGTCTATCCTCCAAGTGTGCCAACTCTGATCCGGGATACCAATACTCCCTCCAATACCATTGCCTTCATTACAGATACCTCCAGGGTAAACATCGCAATGAGCAGTTCCGTAGCCAGTCAGCAGTCCATTCACACTTTCCATTATGTCGAGCTCACCGCACGCAGGCCAGCTTCCGCCGGTGCGGAGAGCATTGCCGAGCATCCAGAACGCGGGCCAGATGCCTTGCTTGTTCGCGATTGGATTTGTGCCAAACCGGATAAGAGCTTCGGCTCTAGTAATCTTTCCTGACGAAGGGGTAAATACGTAGCTGCTCTCAACGCGACCAGAAGTCCAGCCAGTAACGACTGAAGTGTCACGCCATGGAACCAGCTGAAGCGTCTCACCGCCGCTGCGTTGGAGGTTGCGACTAGATCGAGTGTAAACTTCGAGCTCGGCGTTGACATTCAGATAACCCTCGATGATGTTCCAATTACTGGCATCTGGGAGGGTGCCCGCTGCACCGACGAAGTTAGACTGCCAAATCCTGCTGAGGCCACTGTATGCAGGGGCATTCCAGGCAACGGCAGTACCCAGTAGGCACAACAAATGAATAAGGGTGTTCTTGAGAACCATGTTGAGAGGCATAAATGTAGTAGCTCAAACACTACCAGGAATGTGTGGATAAGAAACGCTTTGTGAAGCTTGATTATCCTTCCACCCCGATTATGAGAATTTTCAAAACGGGATGGGTCATATAGTGTCTTCAAGATGGTTCAGGTAGCCGTACACGTGCATTGAGTGGTTCAGTAAAACGCCGCGACATCACATATGTTCAAGTCAGTAGACCATGTCTGGGCGGCCTCATGAACAAGCCATTATCGCCTTTTCCCCGTGATGGCGTCATCCCTAAGTTGGTGGGTCGTGATTTGACAGGCATCTTGAGAATGGTTGCAATGAGTTTGAAACGGTGTTTCTTAATTTAATATTGCTTCCGGGTTTTATCCCCGAAAGAGCAATGATGAGGGAGGTCGTCGACGCGCCATGCTTTTGACTATAACAAAGGAATTTAATTTCGGGAGCGTTTCCTATTTGAGCTTCATGAATGATCGAGGATCGTGACCGAGGGTTACATCGGAGATGGTCAATGACGCTAAGTTTTGCGCCCGGCCTTGATTGCGAAGCAACTGACCCAGATTATCGTGATGTATTGCTAGGTTGGGATAAAAGGGTTGAGCTAGGCCTATGGGAATTTTCCCTGTTCCATAGAATGAAATTCCTACCTAAAAGTGTTTAAATCCAGGGTAAAGAATAGCCGCACAGGCTCATCAAACCTGAGAGGCTCTGTAGAGAATCTCAAGATAGCAGCTTTCTAAGAGTGATTGGTTGCATTGTTTTAGGCGCATCAAGGCGTGGCCACCTTCCAATCTGGATCACAGGCAACCACCATTTTCCGAGACATCGCTCCATGTGACTTAATCGGGCCAACCCTTTTGCGACCTTGAATCATAATGATCTGCTCGTAGGCCCGATTATTCGTATCACGAGTCCTAAGCAGAAATGATATCTTGTATCTCGGTAGCCAGAGCACATTCGTGACAACGCGACCGCGGTGCCGGGGACGACTAACTGATTGGCTTCGAGTATTCCATTTCATTTTGACAGGCGCCTAATATCAGTGTGGACAGATTGAACAAGACCGAGAAGAGCTTGGAAGGGAGAGATCCGAATGTGGTTGCACGTTACCAAACAAGCCATCCCATCTGTGAACCACTGCCCATGATATCGCTAACGATAGCGGTGGGTGCCGTCACGTTCTGCAAGGCAGCGAAAGAGAGCCTTGGGCGTATCCAAGAAACCCACAAGTCAGCCATTACTGCCAGCAACATCGGTACTCTGTTGCATCCGTCGCGGGAAACTCGATCGTGGGCACACGATTCGATGGAGCGTAGATACTGAATCTAAGTAACGTCTTGATCTCGCACGTCCTCAGCCCTCTTCTTTCCTCGAGAGTGGTTTGAGTCAACCCCAACTCCTCTGTCTCTGACCAGGGCACCTGCTTATCAGAGGATTATGCAAATCTAGCCATTACTCTGCCGCAAGAGGGTTAATCCCATGCCATCCAAATATTACGAGGACCAAAACAAGAGAAAAGACAAACTTATGCTTACGAGAAGGACGGTACGTGCCCATCTTTGAGACAAGTGTGGAGCTGTTCCGTGCAATGCCCCACAGGCTGACCAGCTGAAAAATCAGCCGCATCAAAATCTCCGGTCCCAGCATGCATCATCACAAACTATTTTTCACATGAGATTTGAGCAACTGGCACTTTCATCAGTGCTAATGTAACTCGTCGCTTGTCGCATTTTGGGATTAACATCGCATTTTCGGAACAATCTTACCGGTCAGGGTCATCAAGAGCCGCAGGGTCATCAGGGCCAATCCGCTTCATTACTATAAAAGCTAGAGATTTAATAGTCAGAGTTGTCATCAATATAATAAAACCTGGCTATTCTGTACATTGGGCTATGCTAATAGACAAGAAGGTGTTGGATCCGATACAGTTAATGTCATCAAATAGAGAGTGTTCACAGCAGTGGTGATACTAGTGAGGATCCCTTGGGCTTGGATTGACCGGGCCGGTCAGAGAGGGGTTTTCTGATGCCCACTTCCGACTAATGGCATGATATCAGACTATCAGAGGTTTTGTAATACAGGGTCATCTTCAAGCAGAAGGAAAGAGTGAGGATTGTACTTCTGCCGGTTGTAACCGCTCAGCCTCAACTTGGGCCGTGAGACTGGCTGCCTAAGCTATAGCAACGTTACAATTGCAGCTTGGGGTAATGTTCATAGGCATCCTTCCCCTCAGAACATAAAATTTGCATCTGCCTACAATTATTATAATTCCCCCATCTGCTCCCTTGATATCTACATTTCTATTCACACTATCTATCTGGCGCCGCTACACGATTCTTCACGAAATCTACCAAGATGATTCCTCAACCCAAATCTGTTGTCGAAGGGAATGGAGTTGTTCAAGTCACTGAGCCAGAGCCTGTCAGCTCCATCGATGCATTGTTGCCTCGGGAGGGCTACATTCTCGACGTAGGCAGCTCTGGGGACGGCGTCGTGCGTGTAACGGGCGGCTCTTCAGAAGGCATTTTCTACGGCATGCAGACATTCAAGCAGCTCCTACCGCCTACATTCCTCCGCCAAAGCAGCGACATCTCCGAAGACCCGTGGGAAGTACCCGTACAACGCATCAGCGACGCTCCACGTTTCGCCTGGCGAGGAGTCATGCTAGATGTAGCACGCCACTTCATGCCACTACCTGATCTACTACGCTTTATCGACCTAGCCGCCTTTCACAAACTCAATGTGCTACACTTGCATCTCACCGACGACCAAGGTTGGCGGCTGCCTGTCGACAAGTGGCCGCGCCTGACAGAGGTGGCATGCTGGAGGAAAAGAACGATGCTCGGCGCGGTGCATCACGACAAATACGAAGAAAGGCCTCACGGCGGGTTTTACTCCAAGGCGGATCTGCAGCAGGTTGTAGCGTTTGCAACGAAGAGGCACATCACAGTAGTGCCAGAGATTGACATGCCCGGACACATGCAAGCTGCCATCGCAGCGTATCCGGAGCTTGGCAATGGGACGAGGGTAGAGGTGATGGAGTCATGGGGCATCTCTAAACACGTCCTGAATATGTCGGATAAGACATTGGACTTCTGCAGAGACGTTCTCGATGCTGCCCACGACATTTTCCCGGGTCAGTACATTGGTATTGGAGGGGATGAATGTCCCCATGACGAGTGGAAGGCGAGTCCAGACGTGCAAGCTCGGATGAAGCGCCTGGGTTTGCCTGACGAGAGTGCTCTGCATGGATGGTTCGTCGGCCAAATGGCAGATCATCTGCGATCTCTTGGCCGCCGTGCTTATGGATGGGATGAGATCCTAGCTGGCGGAGAGCGAACCCCTGGCGACGTACTGATAGCTGCCTGGCGGGGGATCGAGCCGACCAAGATTGCGGCCCAGCGCGGCTTTGAAGTCGTCGCATGCCCAGATGTTGCCGCCTATCTGGACTTCCGTCAGTCGGAGGAAGAAGACGAGCCCACGCCGGTTGGCACAGTGCTCACGGTAGATGATGTGTACGCCTTTGAGCCAGTTCCAGTGGGACTGACAGAAGACGAGAGGACAAAAGTCATCGGAGCCCAGGCGAACGTCTGGACTGAGCACATGGAAAGTGCCCGGAGGGTAGACTACATGGCTTATCCGAGGCTATGTGCCTTCTCTGAAGTGGCATGGGGGAAACCGCCAGATGACAGCTCGGTCGAGAACTTCAATGCCCGGCTGAAAATTCATACAGCCCGTTTGGATGCGCTCGGTGTTAACTATCGGCGACTTAGTGGTCCGCGGCCATGGGACGCTCGTCCGGATGCTCTTGGAAAACCAAAAACCATGGAAGCTCGTATTGCCAAGCAGGCCAAGTTTATAGCTGACTTGAAATAGCCCGCTTTACTTAAAGTATGTCTTCTTAACGCTCTGCCCGAGGTATCGCTGCTGGGAACGCATACCAGAGGCTCATTTGAATACATCTAACATCATTATAGGCAGCGGGCAACGGATGACGGAGAGGACAGGCGACGCTGGTATCGGCTGAACCGAGCTGAGACTCTCGCATGCGGTCCCGGAAATTCCCTTGGTCTATAGCGTCTCGATATGGTTACAAAATTTCACCCCTAGGGGAATTCCAACACTTTCCAAGCCGCTGCTAAGGAGGCGGGTTAACTTGACCTCAATCTTGACTTGGAAGGTACTTTACTATCCCATTTAACTGATAAAGTAATTCCTTTTAATTTAGCAAAAATTCCTTGTCATGAGTCAAACTGTGTGTACCTCGTTTAAATCTACTATATTCGACCCTATACTATCAAGCTGCATTACATGTTATCTTCAATTTAGCTAAACCTCCATCTCCTTATTCCCCTCCTTCAAGTAACTTGTCTTTTCGCTTACGCTCTTTGTCTCCGTGCCTTCTCCGCTTAGAATTATATCCGAATCAATATCTTCCAACCACCCCTTCATCACTCCACCGGGAGGCGGGCTGAAATGGCATATTACGACGTATGCAATAGCTGACACAATAATACCCACTGGTAGAGCAAACACATAGAGCCTTCTGGCTCCCAATGGGATGCTCTTCACGCCAACCTGGAACAAGAACCCAGGGAGACAAGGGATTATTCCAATGATGTAGGCAACATACGCCCGCCAGTTGACGCCGCCGTGGTACCAGTACAGACCTTGTGGGTCCCTTGTGAAGAGGTTAGACACAATGAGGTATCCACGTCGCACCCAGAAGTAGTCGGAAAGAATGACACCAATGATGCTCGACAGGAAAATTTGATAAGAGCCCAAGTAGCTGGTGAATGTGAAGCTTGTCTTGAGCAAGTTCCAGGGAGTGATGGCAAATGATAACACCAAGCAGATGACAGCGCCACGGCGAATGTTGACATATCGGGGTAGCAGTGCAGCTGTGTCGTTGCCAGCGGCGATGAGATTGGCGAAAATTTGAGTGGTGACCTGTGCGAAAGAGAATCCCGGGGCAATAAAGAAGACACCGGCGCGTCGGCGAGGGGAGTAATCCGTTAATAGGAAGGCATCGAGGATACCATTAGGATCCCAGTTTATCTCGCCGAAAATGACCTGGCTGCTGGATGTGACAAAGATACCAAAGAAGCCAACAACGCCAAAGGCCACTGGCATACCAATGATTTGCGTCCATAGTGCGTCGTTGGGGCGTCTGGCATAGCGAGTAAGATCAGAATTGTTCGTTGCGAATGTGGCAAAGTTGGCAGCTTGGATAAACAGCTGCGTCAGGAAGACCCAGGCGTGAGACTCTCCGGCCGGAATTTGGGCGCGTTGCTTGATGACAGGGCCAACTCCCTTTGCCTCCACGATTGCCCTATGGGTAATGATTTATGTCAGCTTCATTGGCCGCGAAGATGCAGCCATGTGGGATGGCCGGTTTGAGTAATTGGAGGTGTCAGATTTCTTACCAGATGAAGAAGGCAAGGAGACATCCGAGCATCAGAACACTCTTGACCATAATGAGCTTGCGGAACTTGTGCATCTGGAACATGGCGCAAAACAGCGTAAGAAGCCAGCCGATAACGTAGCCAATCATCCGACCGCCCGTCATGGTAACGTCTGCAGGGAACGGGTTGGGAACATGGGCGATGCTTGGGAAAATGGCGTGGAGCATAACGTAGATGGAGTTTCCTGCCGTGACTCCCTGGACGCCGGTCCAGATAATAGTCATGGCATTTCTATTGAAGATGGGCCTGATTACACCATTAGCTTTAGGTCGGAGAGTATAAAACTGAGAGGGTACTCACCAAAGGCTACCGAAAATACCGAAGCTACTACGTGCGAGAGTCGGAAACCCAAGATGGTACACGGCGCCTCCACGGCCAATAGCTGTCATGAAGAAGGCCACGATCAAATGTCCGAGGATGACACAAATCCTGATCGGCTCGTCAGCTTGAGTTCCAAGATCCACATCGAGCGGAAATCTGCTCCCCGAAGAAACTTACCAGGCTTCCCACCACGATAGACCAGCCTTGACACCCGTCGCTGCGACGGTCCAGCTAGTAACGCTGGCGCATTCGCCGAACCAAAACAGTCCGTATGTCCATTTTCCCCAGGGATGACTGGGCCGGGGTTAACAAGACTGTCGATCACCATGCACTATTATACTCACGCAAGTTGTGGTGATCCATGTCACACTAGAGGTTGAGAATGAGGGCTATCATCTATACGATAGCGGGTCGCCATCGTGCCTATCTCGGTATTGCGAGGGGAGAGACGCCAAGACTAGCTCCAGTAATAGCGATATCCCCAGCCCCAGATCTTGCCGGTCTGATGACCTGAGTATCGTGAACTGGCCAGGGAAAAGAATTCTGGATATGTGAGATGCAAGAGATAAGCTTCAGCCGCTCAAAGTCATCGGCTTCTTATCTCCGCCTCGTTGTTGATCATGCTGCGGAAGAGTGAGTTGCTAGGGTTGGAGGGACTAGTAGAGAGTGTGATCCACAGAATCGGTCCATCGCCGACACAGATAAGCCTAGCCAATCTGCCGACGATAGGGCGAAATCGCGAAATCGCCGACGAAGCGGAATCGCCTGGCTCAGTGGAGGCGTATCGCCAGCTTCCCGTGGATCCGTAGTCCTAAGGGGAAATGGCACGACCTTAGGAGATGAAAAGCCACTGGGCTCACTGGGTTAGAACTTGGAGGTTATCCGTTTCGAAAGATCTCCTCACCGAAATTTATGAATTCCAGATACCAGTCTTCAAGATGGCGACTTTGACCACTGCGTCCGATTCTAACAAGACCATTGTGACGGTTGAAAAGATCAGCCACGTACTGGACAAGATTGGCATCAGTCTGAAGCCAGACAAATCTGTCCAATGGCACGACATCATTGCCTCAGTACAGGAGTCAATTGAGATTGTGCAAGATCTCCCAGACTACTTTCCCCCTGTTGACTTGGACAAGTATCCCCGTATCAACGTCCATCGGCCACCCACTCACGAGAACGAGGGAAATGCCTGGGCGTGGAAGTCGCACATTCAGGGTAAGGCGGGTGGACCTCTGTCCGGCGTCACGTTCTGTCTCAAGGACAACATTACCGTAGAGGACGTTCCCATGCTCTTAGGAACGGACATGATTACCGATTACACCCCGCAAACAGATGCTAGTAAGTCACCTTGTTCGCGGTGTGCGACCATGTAAATAGCAACTAACATTCATAGCACTCGTCACACGGATTCTTGAAGCTGGTGGCACAATTATTGGCAAAGGTGTTTGCGAGAATCTGTCACTCTGTGCCTCCTCCTTCTCTGCCGCTACCGGGCCCGTGGAAAATCCCTACGCCGTTGGGTATACCAGCGGTGGCTCCTCCAGCGGCTGTGGCCATCTTGTTGGATCGGGAAAGGTTGACGCTGGTATCGGTGGTGACCAGGGTGGCTCAATCCGCTTTCCGTCTAGCTACTGTGGTATTGTAGGTATGAAGCCTACTTGGGGACTTGTACCGTGGACTGGAGTTGTGACACACGACGCCGTACATGATACAGCCGGCCCGATGACGAAAACTGTCGCTCTGAATGCAAAGGTCCTCCAAGCCATTGCTGGTCGCGACGATATTGATGATCGCCAGTATGCTGCGCCGCTGCCGTCTCAACTTCCCGATTACTCTGCTTCGCTCAACAAGGGTGTTAAAGGTCTAAAGATAGGCATCTTAAAAGAGGGGTTCGATTTCCCCGTCATTGACCCAAGAGTAAAGGCCAAGGTGATGGAGGCGGCGAAGCGGTTCGAGAGCCTTAGTGCAGAGGTCGTCGAAATCAGTGTTCCACTGCACACCATCGCTGGACACATAGTCAACTGCGCACTGCGGCCCGCTGCGGCATATCAAGGATACTTGGGAAAGGCATGCGGTCGAAGGGGCCTGTACTTGAGCGACCTCGCCCAGAAAATGACACCCATAGATCAGAGCAAATTCGACAAGATGTTCTCCACGTCCAAATTCACCATGATCTCCGGCCTATACCTTTGGGAGAACCACCCCTTAATCTATGGCAAGGCGATTAATCTGTACCGGCGCCTGAGGGATGAGTATAACTCCGCCCTAGAGAAGGTCGACGTCTTAATTACGCCAACAAACCCCTACGTCGCAAACACACACGCCTCTCCTGAGGCTGGACCTTCAGAATATATAGCGAAGAGCAGAGGCGTTGCTGTTAATACGGTATGCTTCAACGCAAGCGGCCACCCTGCAATGAGTCTACCTGTAGGATTCCTTCTAGCAGAAGATGATAGCAGTATCAATCTACCGGTTGGCATGCAGATTGTGGGGGGAATGTTTCAGGAGGAGATGATTTATCGAGTTGGTGCGGCGTGGGAAGCTGCATTTAACTGGAAGAATCTGTAGATTATCTATTGAATTTACTATGAGTTTAATACGTGAATTTCCGCGGTGTTCTGTATTTTTTATTTATGCGGAGTGAAATATACCCAGGCCTCTTGAGATGCTATAGTACGTCGGTAATTCCAGAGTTACAGGGAGGTTTCTTTCTTAATACTATGCGATTATTTTATCTCAGATTTCATACTTTAGTGAAATTCATAAGTGTGTGTTGCATAAGATGATATAATAAAATAGTACTTTATTCTCTCCATATTATAGCAGCAGAATAGGAAAGAGGCACTAGTTAGAGTATATTAAAGCCTCTATTACTAGTTAAACTTACCCTATATATAGAGAGACTGTAAGTCTTAATAAGGCACTTCTAAACTCCTAAACTTATTATAAAGTTAATAAAATCTAGTTAAGAGAGCTATATACTTCTAAATAAATTTAAAAGATAGAAATCCAAAGAAAATAATAATATATTAAAAAGCCAGGCTGCTAATAAAACTTTTTGCCAGTTATATAATTCTTAAATTAATAAAACCAGGGTAAAGATTATTAGTTACTAATTAAACCTAATTATTTTCTATCTACTATATAAAGTATTTTATAACTTAGCTATCTTATTACTAGTACTATAGGGTAAATAGTTATAGATACTAGTTGGGACTTATATTATTGTTACTATTAGGCTATAATTAATTATAAAACTAGCAAGTTTAATATATAGTATAACTAGAATTAAAAGCCTACTTATAATAGATATTTAGTTATAGAATAGGCTTATATTAGTAAAGTATATTCTATATATAGCTTATTGGATTTTATGCTACTATAGTTTTACTTAAGCTTTATAATTAGTATATTCTTAAGGTTAATAAGAATTTTAAGACTTTCTTATTTTTTATTAGGTATTAAATTTAGATATTAATATAGAATATATTAATTATTCTGTTAGTATTCTTATAGTTAATTTAAAATAAGTAATACCTTAGATAAATAGCAGTAAAATAGCCTAATTAATAACTAACAGCCTATAAAAAATAAAGAGTCTACTATAAAAGTTATTATAGAGATTTTAATATTAAAGGAAAAGTCTCTTTTATTTATATTTCTAAAAAGAAGTAATAATAAACCTGCTATTTTTAAGGCTTTAATTAATAATAATAATATTAGAAATTCTATCTAGTAATATCTAGTTTGTATAGCTAGTATATTTATAACTTTTTTCTTATTAATACTTAATTAAATTATAGTTTTTGTAATACTACTTAAAATTATAAAAAATCTTAATACTACTAATTTTAATAAAGAATGTATTTAGATTAGATCTATATATACTTTTATATAAGCTGTTATATAGCTTCTATTTAGCTAGGTATTTAAAGCTTTTAATTAAAAATAAATATTTCTAATTATTATTACTATTAATAATAAGAATAATAATATATAAATTTAAATTTAAACTTAAAGTAATAATAACTTAAAATAACTAGAGTTTTTATTATATTAAAATATAAATTTTATTACTTTAATTAAGCTTTTAAGATACTTTATATAACTTAAAAAACTAAAATTAAAAAGCTAGATTTAAAAAAATAAAATAGCTATAAAATTAAAAAATTAAAAAGCTTATAAAAATCACTTTTTATATCTTAAACTATTTAATTTAAAATCTTTTATATTCTAATTAATTACCTAATTAATTAACTTATAATTAACAACTAATAATATAATTTAATATATTTTACTATAAAAAGCTTAACTTTTTATTAAGTAATCTTCTTTTTAATAATATATAAATTAAATATATAATATAGAGGAATATTTTAATAGAAATAAAAATATTCTTAAATTACTTAAAATTACAGTAATATAATATAGTTTTAAAAATATAAAAACTATTACAATTTTAAGATTATTTAATTACTAGCTAGTTATACTAACAGTATTTAAAATAGAAGTTTTTTAAAGCTAGATTTATATAAAAATACTAACTTTAAAAATTAAGTAAATACGAAAAAATACAGCTTAAGAAAACTAGTAGCTAAGTTATAATTATAATAGCTATCTTAAAATAAAAAAAAGTTTCTTAATAAGCTAGCTTAAAATAATATTATCTAAATAATATAAGTTATATATAATATATCTTTTATTAATATACAGTTTAATAATTAATAAGCTAGATATAAAAGAGATTTAAATAATTAAAGAATTTAGTAAAAGAAGGTTTTAAGTTTCTAGTAATTAAGAAAAAAGAGAAAATAATTAATTAAGTTCTTTACCTTTTAATAACTTAAGTAATATAATATATATAATATAAAAACATAATAATAAAAAATATAGTAATATAAAAATAAAAGTTTAAAAATTAGTTTTAATAGTAGATATTTATTTATATATTAAGAAATAATATAATATTTTATTAATTATTTTAATAATAGATAAGTTAATATCTTATATATTCTTAATATATTTTACTTTTTTTAAAAAAAAAGCTATTTTATATAAAATATTTATAATTTATACTTAAATTATAATTTAATTATTTTTATTATTATTACTTAAAACTTAATATTAATAAATTATTTATTATTTAATTTAAGATTTTTAATAATATATACTTAAAAAAAACTAAAATTAAATAATTTTAAAAAATAATAATAAGAAAAATAATAATATATAAATTTAAAACTTAAACTTAAAATAATAATAATATAAAATAACTAAAGTTTTTATTATATTAAAATTTAAGCTTTATTAATTAATTAAGCTTTTAAAATAAGTTACTTAACTTAAGTAATATAAATATATAATATAAAAATATAATAATATAAAAATAAAAGTTTAAATAACAATTTTAATAATAAAAATTACTTATTATATTTCTTTTTAAATTTAATTTAAAATTACTCTATTCTTTTTCTCTTTATTATATATTATTATAGCCCAGGTTAAAACCAGACAGTTATAACTAGTAAAATTATAACTATACCTACTTTTTCACATTACCCTACATCAGCACAATCAGAGCTCCACCCCGCACAATCACTAGTAATCCGGAACCGATTACTACTAATCCAGACCCAATCACCACTAATCACAAGACCCAGACCTCTAATCGACTCATAGATCAGATGTATATAGAAAGGACCTTAGACCCCTTAGACAAGAGCCCTAAGCTCCTTAGCTATCAACACACTTGGTTACATTGAATCTACTATTCTACCATTACCAGACCGTGACCTACATTGCTCACTACGACGTCCTGATCCACTCGATCATACACCACACGCCTCGGACCTACCCTACACCCTTAGGTTAGACCCGATCGTCACACATATATCGGGATATCGGATTCCGGATGCATCATGCTATCGAAGCTTTCTTCCTTCATCATAGGCGTCCATTGCCACCTGCCTCGTCATCGGCCTCGTCACCGATCTCATGATAGTCCTAGCTTTTCCTTGATTTTTCCTATAGCTAGCTAAAGCCAAAGACTCCAGACCATCCGGAGCCTCTCGGCCGTCCAAGGTCATCCGAGGTCATCTTCATCTATAAGACTGACCTAGCAGACCTCAATTAGATAGGAAGAATAGCAAGAGCTTCTCACACATATGATCCTATCCATCTGCTAGATGCAACACTCTCCCTTTTTTCTTTTAGCTCTTATAGAACCGGGCAATAGTAAAAGCCATTACAATAATTGTAAGGATGAAAGACCAGAAACTCCAAAAGACAACCCACGAAAACGTCCCATGTTCTTTTTGAAAGTCGGGCTTGCCGCGGACCTGACGGACGATGATCCACCGATCTGGCGCCGGGCGGAACTGCACGACCTTGTCATGGAGTCCTAGCCTCGGGATGCTGAAGCAGGGTGGCGTAGTTGGGCTCGACGAAAGGAGCGAGTTGCGCGCGACCGTCTGGTCAAAGTCGTGTGCAACGACGAGGGCTAGGACAGCCATTGGCACGACGACTGTAAAATTTGACTGGGCTCGGGGAAGGGTGCAGCCTGAGAGGCCATGGTGAATGGGTGAAATATGCAGAAGTGGTGGTGAGTCCATCACGTCTTGAGTGCCTAGGCAACTGACTCTCACAGGTGGTGGTCTGGGATAACGGAGCACGCAGCTTCACTTCACTTCTCACAGTGCCATTGTGAATTTACGACGGCATTGCATGAACTAGCCACGACGTGCAGCCGATAGTCTCATGTCGGCGATGTCACAACGCGGCGCTACCGGTCCACCGTGAAATTCTTTAACAAACGGAGGCTCGGAGCTGTTCAAAGATATCTTCACGGCGTACGGAGATGGTGACCAGCCAGTCTGGACTGGCGAGATACTCGAATACAGGGCGCCTTCGCCATTCGGGCTCAGGCGGATGCCAGATATGACTTGGTCGAACCTGTCAACGATTGCAAACTTTGTAAAACGCGCTTGGCCATGCGTCACAGGCTTGAACGGGCTGAACTCGGCCGTGTATGAGGGCGGTAGCGGCGTGGAGAGTCCGTATGGTGCCAATTCTGACGGACTGCTCTTTTCCAGAAGCTCCATGGTTTTAGCATCAATGCCGAGGATTTTCTCGGTGCCGCTGCCACCATTTGCTTTTGGCTGTGGATGATGCCCTCGTGACGAGATGATCCGCTAATCCGGATAGGCCCGTAGAGAAGTATTCTAGACCCGACACTGCCCGAGCATTGCCTCACGTCGTTTCTTGCCCTGATCGCCGTCGGCTGGATCTTAACTAAACAACTGCTCAAATCTCGCACGAGAGACTTGCCTGGCTCCGGAAGAAACGAAGCACGCCCGGATATGACGCGCACGTCTTTGCCCACAGTCGTCTCATCAGAGGGCAGCGAGAGTTGGCCACTTGCCAGAAGCACATATCGCCATCGGCCGGTGTCTTTGTCCGTCTCAAATCTCCACCGCTTAAAGGGTATGTGTAGTACTCAAGCTCCCTTAAGGGAAACCAGCCCTGCGTGTTGTTCATGTCCTCGGCAGCTGTGTAGGAGTTCGGCGCACCTGTGGGTGAGGGAGCCTCGAATTCTCGCAAAAGAGAGATCACAGGCCTCGAGATATCCTTGAAATTGCTCTCGAGCCACGCTTCCCTCGGCGTGGCCGCGGTGGAAGCCTCTGGAGATATCTCAGCAGTTAGCCGTACGGCCTCTGTTCGGACCCTATTTCTTAATAGTTGCCGTTTAATGGAGCGTTTCGGAGACTGGCCGCCTTCCACCAGCAGCCGAAGAGGCATTGCATGAGTTGTGAAGCTTCAATGGCATGATGCAGACGGAATCTGACATCCCGATATGTGACAATGTCCCATGTATCAGGATATCGGATTTCTACTGTATTGGAGCTTTCTTCCTTCATCATAGGCATCCATCGCCACCTGCCTCGTCATCAGCCTCGTCATCAGTCTCGTCATAGTCCTAGCTTTTCCTTGATTTTATCAATAGCTAGCTGAAGCCAAAGACTCCAGACCATCCGGAGCCTCTCGGCCGTCCAAGGTCATCCGAGGTCATCTTCATCTATGAGACTGACCTAATAGACCTCTATTAGATAGGAAGAATACCAAATGCTTCTCACACACATGATCATATCCATCTGCCAGATGCAACAGACAACCATGCCTACAGAAGATGCGTCATCTCTCCAAGAATACCCACATACCCCGTCTTCAGCTTTCTTGACTATTCCAGTGCTGTCACATCAGGAGATGGGGATCTAGCATGACAACTCCTGTATTATCTAGTCTAAATGGGGGTCTTGGGGTCAGTCTTACAGATTAATCATATGATGACAGCGTGGCCTTTTGAGATGACCCTGATGACCCTATTGATCTTGTTGATCCTGTTGGGGAACTGTAATATGTGTTGAGGTTAAAGCTTCAGAAGTCCCTTGGGCGGGCAAGCCTTATCCGAGAGGCTAGAAAAGCTAGATATTTAGAGTGTTAGGAAGATGTGGTCTGGTCTGCTAGAAGGTTGTCTCATAGTGTGATATACCTCAAGCTTGAGGGTATTCAAGCTGATAGTCTGCGGAAGGAAAAGTCGAATACTACATCTCTGTTAAAAAGAGTGATTTCTTTTGCCTTGTTTAATTGGATGATAAAGGTGGTGAAAGGCAGTAAAAGTAATGTCTTCGGAAAGGTCCGATAGTAGGGGGAAATATAGGAAATAGCGGATACTATAATATTGTCAGGTGCCGGAATGCAAACGCTGGATCCAGAGCTTCCTGATTGACGGATCCAGTAAAGTCAGTGACTTACATTCCTCGACCGCCGAGGGATAGCTGCGATTACGCCGGAAATACCTACGCAGTCAGCGGTCCGGCATACCGAAGGAAAGGCTAGATAGCTGGCAAGGCCCGCGTCGACAATAGAGCATCAGAGATCAATCAGTCATCACCCCTTCGCTATTATCTACCGGTTATCTAGTAGCACGTCTGCCCTCTTCACTCCCTATTGTGTATTCAGTCCCTGACATTTACGCGATAACAAATGATCTCTCTCGACTTTGGGGGTTGGGCAGGTCAGGACTCACGAAGCTTGGATTCATCGGCCATCGGCTTCTTACTTTGTGTCCTCGCTTTATTATCCGGCATCCACTTGTCCCAAAAGCGCGATCTGTCAAGGTCAAACTCTTATGAGCCACCATCGTGAGGACACGTGCAGAGTTCAACCCTATTAGGTGCAGTTACATGCGAATTGGACCCACATTACCAAAGCAAACCATGATACCCATGAGCTTTCGCATTCTCCTATATTTAAGCCATCTCTTCTCTGGAGCAAAGCCTTGTGCGCAGACTCTTCTTAAGTTCGCGCCTTTTCTCATCCTCCGTTCAATTTTGGTCTGGTACAGTCGAAATGCCAAACATCCGACCCTTCTTGAATGCCGACTGCTGTGGTGCAAACAGTCCTCCATGTCCTAGCCGAACTGGTAGTAACCTATTGGGCGAAAAGCTTCTACCTGCTGATTACCTTGGCCGCACTTCATGCTTTTCAACCGTTGAGATTCGAAAATGGATCCAGGAAAAATGCACAACAGTCGCAGAGGGCTCCCCATCTACGCTCCTCAGGTCTTGGAGATATGAGATGGATTGGTCAACCATGTCTCCTCAGTCAGCATACCCAGGACTCTGGGGTATTTGGCCATCAGGATGTACGCCCAAGGATACTGTGGCCACTTCCAGGGTCCTTCTGCAGCTATGTCGTTGCATGGCCTGTCGGCTCAAGGCAGGCTTTAGTCGTATCGGAGGCAGGATGCATCACAAATGGACTTTCGGGTCCAGCATTGGGGTGCCAATCAACGGTATCCCTTTACAGCCCAACGAAGTCGAAGTGCTAGTCCACACCAGTCAAGATTGGACAAATCACTGGGGATGGGCTATTACCTTGCGGGCGCATAGTTCTAATGCATCTCTCAGCAGCTGCTCATGGCGTATTGACATAAGAATACTGGTGAAAGACTTGCCGCGCCTGCTAAAAAGTCGGGATGTCTTCTGGGGAAATGGACAGAGCGAACCTGATCTGGAGCAAAGCTGGTCAAAGGATAATAGTCAGTTCCATTTGCATGCATTCTCTGCACCAGGAAAGACGAAGTCTTTGAACACGCGCGGCTGGGTTGCTGAAGTTTATATCCAACACTCGGAGAAGGAATGCCAGCAACAACAAGATTTTCGGGACCTTCTTTCAGCCGACGCTGTCATTATGTAAGTTCATCAAAGCGCCTTCGTTGTGCATTTAGAAGCAAACTGAATCGCTAACAGTTCATTGCAGGACCGAAATCGATCAGAGAACGGCACCGGGACGATGCAAGAAGGTCGTGGTTTATCACCGGGGACTTGCATATGGAAACGACATGACGGGCCAGAAAATTGAATCATGGAACCCTGATTTGCTCCCGAGGTTTCGTCATTTTATTGAGCCGCTACTACCAAAACGTCAAGCTGGGGCGAAACAGGACGAGACTCATACCTAGACTATCCCAATCTTTAGACTACTATATGTGATTCAGTCCTTTCTTTCCGACTTTCAAATGACGTTGGTGGCGACGAGCTTCTACAATGTGCCCTTGTTGAATCCGATCTAGGGGCACCTTCTACGCGCATATTGTTGTTCAGCTCAGCCGTCTTATCAATTCCATTCCCAAATGCTGCCATCCTAGTCGGTTTTGTTCCCGCCGTCTACCAAGCGGCTTCTTTGACTTCTCTCCCATCATATGACGGATCGCCCAAAACGTCTCGTTTCACCACTCATTGGGAATGCCCTTTCTCGACGAAAACTGTGGCACACTTCTGAGCAAGGACCGTTCGAATTTATTTTGTTTCGCGTATATATCTTGTATCGGCAAGCAATGAGTCCTCGCACTGGGTAGTCGCACCGTAACTTGATGAAGGACCAGTATACCCAAATGACGACTCACCGAGGAACCCCGCGTCACAGAGGATCTCAAGAATTGCCAGGCAGATGAGGATCGAGGGATCGAAGCTTGAAATCAGCTTCAAACCAGCTTCAAACGAACACAACCAGGATATTGCTTCCACCATGGCAGAGAATATTACACCACCAGCTTGCACCAAGTGCAAAACTCATCGTGTTAAATGCGACAAAGCCCAGCCAATGTGTGGACGCTGTCGCCGTCTTGGGCACCATTGCGAGTACCCCTTCCGCAACCCGGCGGCAGCATACTTGAGTTATGCTACAGAACTGGAGGATGAAATTGCCCAACTCGAAGTTGAGCTAGAACGGCTTAAGACTACAGACCAGAGAATTCACCAGACCCCGAGCTCGAGAGACTCGCCACAGTTGACCAAAGCGGACAACCAGGAGGACAAAACATCACTCAAACAAGCACCTCGTTACCTCGGAGCCTCAAGTGGGATGGCATTCATCGAGTCAGCAATTTCGTTGGCTCAGTCCCAAGGAATTCTGGATGCTCCTGAGGAGGACCTGTTGCCTCTCGAACCTTCAACAATCTTATCTCCAGGTCTTCTCGAAGGGTTGGTGGACTCTCGTCAATCATTGGCCATTCCTCCTAGAGACACAATGCGAAAACAATTCGACGCATTTGCCTCGGCCCAATGGCAGTACCATATTATCGAGCCTGCAGAGTTTGATGTATATCTCGATCGCTACTACGGTGGCGGAAATCCCCCAGGCACCATAGCAACCGCGGCACTTCACTTAGTCCTCGCAACCGCATTGCACCTGTCAGGGAAGAGCGAGGGGAACATGGCCGTCTCTAACTTGGCTACAGCTCACCATGAGCATGCCATGGGAATGCTGAGTTCCATCAACCAGCACAAAACCCTCGAAAGCTTGCAGGTGCTGCTGTTGCTTCTGCTCTTGTCCATGTTCAACCCGCAGAAGCCTGTGGTATGGCAACTCTTGGGTTCTGCACTGCGAACCGCCTCGGGCATGAGACTGCACACAGAAGAAGGAATCACTACAGCGGCGTCTTCGTTTGGTGTTTCTGAGGACCTTCCTCGCCGGCTCTTTTGGTCTCTCTACAGCATGGATCGAGCCGTAGGGAACACGCTCGGGCGCCCTACAGCTCTCCCGGACTCTTCAATTACGTGCCAACTCCCTGGCGTGGCATCCCCAAACATTTCTCTCCCACAGATGATTGCAAACCACTGCTTCCTGCTACGACGGCTGCAGAGTGAAGTAGCTGACACCCTTTATCAGCGCATATCTCAATATTCCGCAGACTACATACTGGATGTACAAGCGCGGCTGGATGAATGGTTCCGGGACATACCCGTCTCCAACTCGGATCACGTCGTGGAGTGGTTTCACCACTCCTATTACAATCTTTGCATGTTTATCCACCGACCATCTCCAGCAAACCCAAAACCAAACTCGGATGATCTGCACCGATGTTTCGAAGCAGCTTCCCGAGTCATTCAGATCTACAATCGGCTCGACCAGCGCGGAAACATTGACACGACGTGGATGGCAGTGCATTGGCTGTTCCTCGCGGCTGTCACCCAACTCTTCGCTCTCTGGACTGATGAAAACCTGAGGCGAGAAGCCGACTGGGTGCGCATCAATGATGACATTCAATCCTCTGCAATGATTTTCTCAGCCATGACAGAAAGATGGAAATCTGGTCGGAGAATGTTGAGGCTCTATCGGCGACTGTCGAAAGGTACATTGGCTAGATACACTCAGATGGGCTACCTGAATGCAAACATGCCAATGGATGGTAGCGAAAGCAAACGTGGAGATTTCATCGAGATGACAGACATGGCGAGTGTGAACGAAGTGGCCATAGACACAGATATAGGATTCTGGTTGGATATGGAAATGGCGGATAGCTCATGGATGATTAATCCAACACTGCACGGGTAACGACTCGTGAAAGTCCAGCTCCAACTTACTGGGTAGATAAATCGGAGTGGTTGAAGTTGGCAGATGCAATCAACTATGTTGAAGCCAAAGATTGCGGGCGGTAATGTTAATACAAATGGTAGATGCATGTATTGAAGTTGCACATTATATAAAGGTACCTTGCAGAAGCTCCAGATACGAACAAACTCTACTCAGTCATGAATACAACTCGATTCCCTTGATCTACCCTCTAGTGCCGCGACCCAGAATCATAGTAAGGCAAACAAAGATTCTATACCTATGTTTCTTTATCTAGTCGCAATGCCATAATAATCCCCGCTCGCGTAGTGTATTTCTCTTGCAACTTCCCTTTGGGTAGCAGATGGCCCTCGCCATTTGCTCTGAAAGCTTCCTCCAGAGTACAAAGCCCGTAATCTTCAAATCCTAGACCTTTATACAGCCGAGTCGTGCCCGTATTCCCAACTTTTACCATGATGCGAACTCGAACATGAGGTGTCTTGGTTTCCTCTCGACGCACCAGGAACTGGAATGCTTCCTTGCAGAGCTTCACTGCCAGACCTCTTCCCCTGTGGTTGGGCAGGCAATAAAGACTCAGCATTTGCCACTTCTCTTCCACCTGGTCGTCAGCTGGAACAAGCTGGCCAGACTCCGAGGGTAGTCTGAATTGTTCTGCCGAAATGGGACCGCGTAGAGTGACTTGCGCTACCCATTCGATGGTTGTCTCTTCCTCAAAGACGCAGATGAATGTCTCTTTCTCCGGGTCGCATAGGCGAGAGACCCAAACGTCATCGGAGAATTGCGATTCTGCCTCAAAGGTTGACGAGAAGGCGGTGGGTGATTGTCGTAGAGCCTCGAGTCGTAAAGATTTGTATTTCGCAGCAGCCGAAGAAATGTCCGCAGCGGACTGGTCAATACGAACAAAGGAGTACGTCATGACGACAGGTTCTTTTTATATTGTGCTTTGATGTGCTCCAAGTATGGTCTGAAAGAAGCTGTCGTGCTTTTTTTTAGACGCTTTAAGAGTTACTTATATTGCTTTCGAAGGAAGTAGAACGAGAGAGATGATCCGGCGTCAAGAATTGTGTGACTCCACCACTCTCCCTATAGTTGACAAGACCCACCAGAGCTCCGCCATATCGGACATGACCGTCTGACTTGGATGTAGAAGAACCAAAGAGCCCTATTAATTCGTACCTTAGTGCGTTTTACGATTAATAAGCTCCACTGGAACTCCATGACTGATAGCCATCCAACTGTAAGCATTTCTAAGAAACAATGACAAGTGTCAATTTGTGGTCTAGCACGCTCCCTAGTAGTGACACGACCCACTCGAACTCCATGGCTGATAAGCCGGTCCAACTATGAGCATTGTTAAGAAACGAAGGAATATCGCTTCTGGGGCCATCCTGATCTCCATTTCCTCTCCCCCCTATGGCCCTTATCCCCTATTATGGCCAACGTGCAGCCGCCAATCCTCAGGCTTCAACCTCACGAACCAGACATCACCCTTGGTGATAATGACGATGACCTGAGCTTTCGACTAAGTGACCAGACTTGTCGTCAAAGATGGCGCACAAGTGTTCTTGGTGAGGCCTACGCTCAAATTCATATATGGGTGATGATTAATTGCTCGATAGTGGTGCTCTGCTCTCACTTCGTGGTCATGAATACCTGGGGCTTTACAAACTCTTTTGGGGCGTTCCAAACCCATCTTACCGACACCCTGAAATCCTCGCCGTCCACAATATCCTGGATCGGGTCGATGCAAATTTTCCTACTCTTCTTCATGGGTACCATGTCGGGGCGTCTGACTGATTCAGGGCATTTCAGAGTGGTTTTCTTCGTAGGATCACTCGCAACTGTCGTCGGCATCTTGACATCTTCATTCTGCCATCAGTTTGGGCAATTCTTTCTCGCTCTCGGCGTCGCTGTGGGTGTAGGTAATGGGTGCTTGTTCTGCCCAATGCTCACGGTCATGTCGCCGTACTTTGATAAGAGACGAGCAATGGCGATTGGGATTGCTGCGTGCGGCTCTGCCTCGGGCGGTCTGATTTATTCCAGCATTGCACGTCAACTTGTTCCATCAGTTGGATTTCCATGGACTATGCGCACGATTTCCCTGATTCAATTTGCTCTTCTGGCTGTCGCAAATGTGTACCTCCGTCCGAGAGTACCCGCGAAAAGCTCTTCACCGTGGGTTGACTGGGCGGCTTTTCGGGATATGAGGTATAGTTACTACACGATGGGTTCCTTTTTTGTGAGTAACCCTGGTGAATGAACAACTGCCTGTGTGCGTCATAGCTCGCAAAGCCTTTGTTATCTCCCAAGTCCGCAGTACACATTGGCTGACAATCACTAGTCCTTGCTCGGTTTATATTTCTCTTTCTTTTATCTCGCTGCCTATTCTCGTACTATAACAACACCGTCGCTAGCCTACGAGGAGTCTCTCAACCTCCTTTTAATACTCAATGGTGTCAGCGTAGTTGGCCGTTTGGGTTTCAACTACGCTGCGGACCGGTATGGAACTATCAATGTCTACATACCTGTGGCCTGTGCTACAGCCATCATCCTTTTTGCTTGGATTGGCGTCAAAGATGTGCCGGGAACTTACGGTTGGGCAATTGCCTGTGGCATCACTTCTGGTGGTGTGCAGAGTCTTTTTCCTGCCGCCCTGAGTTCTCTCACAGAAGACACGCAGAAACTCGGCGTCCGAATCGGTATGATCTTCACCATCGTTAGTATTTCTAGTTTGATAGGTCCCCCGATTAGTGGAGCTCTGATCGATGCCCTAGATGGGAGGTATCTCGGCGCTCAGATCTTTGCTGGTACTTCCATGTCTCTTAGTGCGCTGTTCCTAGTCGCTGCACGAAGAGTCGGCCGCAAAGCCAAACCAAGCTTTGGACCTTCAGCGTCAGATTGATGACGTTAAGGAGGGGGGGACGGGAATGCAATTGGGAGGGGGATGAATGGCTCTCACCATTGTAAGTCAAGGCTGCCTCTGGGACGACTCATCACGTCATTATCAACGTGTGATTGAATAGAATCTTCGACCACATCGAACCTGATATCTTACGCGCTTCCGCCTAAGACAATACTTCACATCAACTGCACTCCACGGCCGCCTTCTGCGAATGCACTTATTGCACGTCTCAAATCAAGGCGCGGAGCGACGGCGCTGATTCCCCGTGCATTAACGATTAAAACCCTCCAAACAGACTACGGCGATGTTAAGAATAATCGCTTTGACTAACTATTGACTCATTGCTTCAGACTTCCTCTCACCTCGAGGTCCGCAAGCAGCAGAGCAACGTCATTTCATTGGCTGGATCGGCCTTCCGGAAAGAGCCTAGCGATGCTCATAGGGATAAATTTGACACGAATTTTGTGGGCCGGCTTCATTTTCTCCGCTCAGTTCTTGGAGACTCCGTGGCGTCATCTCCCTTGCTCCTTGCGTTGAACTCGATTATTTCTCGTCTTGCCCAATTCTATTTGTAAAAACGATAGGAGTTTTCCAGTATGGCGGATCATTATGAGCTGGAATTCTCTCACAATACCGCCCTACTCGCCACTCCCGGTGCCTCCGAGGACACCGATTTCATCCTCGATGGGAACGCGTTGGCCTTCAACGATGCGAGTTTGCCCTTTGATGGCGGCAACGACTGGGTATTCGACGACGCTGGGTTTGCCTTTGACAACACCGACTTAATCCTCAATGTTCATCCCCTCGACACTGAGGCTGAGGGCCACTTTCCCTCAGGAATACCCTATTCCTCGAGGATTGTGCAAAGTCCCGATGACTCTGCCGTTGAAGTCCATGTCCCTGAAATTCAGACCTGGGTCGGCAGTCTGGGAGACCTTGATGATCGCCGCATACAAGTCTTGCACCATAACAGACAAGAAAATGACGATGTGCCCCTCGGTGCGCTAATCGACGACACAGAGTTTCGGAAAGATCAACCTAACCTTCTCGCTCTTCCGCATGATATTCCAGTCGTTCCCAAGACTGGGAAGCGATTTTCCTCAAGCGCCCTCAGAGTACTGAAAAATTGGCTGATGAGCCATACGAATCGCCCTTATCCTGCGGTCAGAGACGTAGAACTTCTCGAGAGACTGACCGGCCTCAGTAAACAACAAATTCTGAACTGGTTCTCCAATGCTCGTCGACGAAAGAAGTTTTCTCTATCCACATCCCTGGCACACACTGCGCAATCCTCAGAAACTCCACCTCTCGAGATACCTCGTCCGCGTCCGCCTACCCCAATAGTCGGACACATGAATCCCCTGGAGAGATGGCAAAACTCTCCACCTGAAGACGACCCGGCCAATCTCAGTGCGATTGTACGTGCATTATCTGAACCACCGACAGATTTAGACAATTTGGCCGGTACTCGCTCAACAAACCATACACTTGCACGGTCCCAAGACAATACTTGCTCCGTCAGCAGTACCGGCACATCCGACTCGAGCCGAAGTTCTCGTGCTTCTGCTTACTCGCACACTTCGCAAGCTTCGGGCCATTCCCTCGGCTACCTCAAGAAAACTAGGAAGCGAAGAAAGCGAGCCAATGCCAAGAATGAAAGCAATGCCCGCAGAGCCCTGATTCAAGTCTCTCATCCTTTCCAGTGTACTTTCTGCACAGAGACATTCAAAACGAAACACAACTGGCAGCGACACGAACAGTCCTTGCATTTATCACTGGAGCAGTGGCAGTGTTCACCTCACGGCCCTACGGCTGTCAATGCGGATCTAGAGTCTGTATGCGTTTTTTGTGGGCTTATCAGTCCCGATGACGACCATATTGATACTCATAACTACGGATCGTGCCAAGAGCGCGAGAAGGAAGAGCGGACATTTTACCGAAAAGACCATCTCATACAACACTTAAGGTTTATGCACAACTCCCAGTTCAGGAAGTGGCCAATGGAAGACTGGAAACTCAGCCTCACCGGAGAGATACGGTCTCGATGCGGATTTTGCAAAGTTCATTTGACTTCATGGGCGGAACGGACTAACCACCTGGCTGAACATTTCAAGGAGGGGAGGACAATGGCTGACTGGAGCGGCGATTGGGGATTTGAAAACCCTGTGCTTGATATGCTTGAACATTCTGTCTCTCCATGTAAGGATCTCTCATACTGTTAGGATCGCACATGAAGCTTGCTAACACGCTCATAGATCTAATACAGTACGAACGGAATTCTCCTGCGCCATTCACGCCTCATTCAGGAGCGCCTCATAGTCCCACCAATGCGTTCGAACTGATCCAACTAGAACTGGACTATTTTTTTGCGAACCACAAGGAAGCCAATAACCGCATACCTTCAAACACGGCAATGCAATACGAAGCCTGCTGCATTGTTTTCGGCGCTGAAGCCTGTCATCCACACTCCGATAGCCCTGCGCAGTCCTGGTTACGCGATCTGATCATGTCGTCAGAAAAAATCACAAAAGACGCTCGACTTCGTCCTATGAAAAGTGCAGCTAGGTCCCGACTCACCATGTTGAACATCTACGGCAAAGATGACATCTTTGAAAACGATCCACTAGAGAGTCAATTGCGTCAGCACGTTGACATGCTTCAGCTACTGAATTTCGAGGTGGGGGATGATGAGCTCCAACACGAGGCATACAAACTTGTCAATCAAATGTCAGACTCTTCAGTAGTGTTCATAAAGCTGTTATACGATCTGATATACAGCTCGACGCATTGGTTGGTGCCGTTTCGCCTTCGCGCAGGGCTGGAACCTGCAAAAGTCCTGTTGCATACCACTAGCAACAAAGACTCTACGACACAGTGTCCTTTGACTGCTAGCATAGATCTTGGGACAGAGGTGTTGGGCCAGGACAGTTTTATTACAGCAGATCAACAACCGAGTTCTTCTACTTTTCAACCCACACCGGCTAGATTCTCTACCGGCGAATCTGGACAAGATGTTGGTATTGGAGCTAAGAAAGTCGTTCTTATCAACGATAACAATTTATATCGAATGCTCACTAGAGAGCTATATCGGTTTGTAGCGAGTGCAATGTCACCACTCAATCCAAACAGCCACATACCCACTGATGAAGAGCTTCAGTTTCAAGCACGGTGGATTATGTACGATGAGTGAGTGAAGACCACGTCCTTCGTATACCGGTTTAGTACTACATGCTTACGATCTTAGTGATGACCCATGGAATCAGACCCCGGCTGATAATCCTGACTGGCTTCAAGATTTTAAGAGAGATGCTGGGCTTTGATAAGTAAAGGCGATACTAGCAATGCAAAATAGCCGACTGGGAGTGTATGGAATGATGGGTATTTCAAAAGAAGATGATCTTCAAGGCATAGAACATCTCGACCATTGTATGGATATGCTTCGATAGAGCTTAATGGTAATACTCGTACTGTGTAACTGATGCAGCACTACTAACACTGAACAGTGCAATGCAGATATAACTTCATCGACATTTGCTAGAGAGAAAAAGGGCAGCCCTGGTAATGCTGTCGCAATGTCCTTCGTAACTGTCAAAGTTTTGATGATGTTCAAACATGGGCTTGGGATAGAGGATTCCATACTAGTAGTGTTAACCTGACAGTGGCTGTTACTGATGACTCGTTAGGATGGGGAGATTATACATACATATCTTAGAGGGTTATCCTCTACTAAGTAATGCTAAGTGCATAATAAGCAGTGTCAACTATCACTGCATTACGAACTATTTATATCTTTTTTGTCACGCCGCTCTTCGCTATTAGCCTCGAAATCGCATGGCAATGATACCCTAGAGAAAGGAATGGCTAATACCATGACATGTGCCCTCTGAGGCCGATTTCTCATATCAACCGAACTCTCCTCCAATCTAAATTGCTTTCGTCAAAGAAATCGGGGTAAGATTCGTCCACGTAAGGATGTTGATCCACCAATAAAGCGCCAATTCGCGTTGCCGTCTCATCATCTGTCCATTCAACCACAAGCAGAAATCTCCGATGAGCATTGCTGCTAAGATGACAGTCGCCAAGAAGAAGACATGCCCAAGAGCCATCGTCTAGATGGCCAATGAGTTATTTTGGCTTCCAAGGCGGTAGAGCCATTCTTGTGAGACATAATTTGTGCATCCCCACCGTCCAGCGCGCCCAATCATCAGGGTCAGGTTCTGTTTCGTCTGTTTCGTCCGTAGAATCGTCAGTACTCTCTTCATCTTCGTCATCTGTGTCTGGTACGCCGACATATTCTTCTCGAATATTAAAGAAAAACAAAGAAGAAGGAACGGCTCGCGCCTCAAATCGAAATGCTACCACCCGATCTAGGTGGTAGTGTTCCGGCACTTGCCCAGTTCTCAACAGGTGTTCGGTGGACCGGGTACTCTGACCGTCTCGAAATTCAAAATGCACGTCTCGAATTTTTGAGTCGCATGAATGAATCCCAGAGAATGGAGGACCATCCATCTCACCGCACCAGCCCAACCAGCCCACGTCTAGGAGGGAAACCGGAGCCTCCGTCGTGCAGATGTCCCTGTGAAGTGGTACCAGGACATAGAAACAACCAAACGAGTTTCGACATGCTGAGAACCTTCGGCCTTACTTGGCAAGACGCACGGCAGACCACTTATGTTGAGCACAGGTGGCTCAACTCTCAGTACGTGCTCGAAAGTATGGGAGTTCCAATGGGAATACTGAGAGAATTAAAAGTATTCCGTGAGCCTCTCACACTCCATTTTCAGTTGCAGTAGTTCCAAAGCAGGGCACCAAAAAGAGCGACGGGATATTTTCGAGTGTGTAAGTGGTTTCTTACGTATCTACTGTTGCTTCATCGTCGGATATTGGGACATACTTCTCATCAACTGCGCTTAGGAGCAAGAACTACTGAGAATCGGAAGCACTCGACCTAGCAAGTGATTGCTTGATTGTGCTGTACAGAACGTATGTAGTCGAGTTACAGAGTTGACGTGTGATGATATCTTTCTTTACTCCAAATCTATTCTTTCTAATTGAATGTTGATAGAAATAAATTTATATTTTGAGTGCAGCACATATTAAGCAACTCCCAATATTCCCTATGTGATGTCTTTCCCATTGATAGGCTATGATAAAAATCTGGATATTCTCAAAATCAGTAGTTGTATGTATGTGCCAGTGGTTAAACTGGTGCAGTCATACGTGATGGACTGGTTCATTTGGACATTCATCAAACTCGAACCAGGTAGCCTAGTCTAGCAGGCTTGAGTACAATTTAACATGATACGCTACCTAATCCAGGCCAGGGGCGGTATGAAGAGTGCGATGATGTATTGGAATGATTCTAGGCGAGAGACGAGTCATCTACAGCATCTTGAATGAAACTGATACATCAACTTGAAACAACGGAGCCTGCACCCTCAGCCCTCAGCAGCTTGCAGGCTGAGAACAATAGTTTCAAAAGACGGCTCCGACTTCGTTTTCCACTCTTCAGTCCAGACAATGTTTCCATCCTCAATCAGTCGAACCTTATATGTCGCAGGGTCTTGGGAGGTGGTCATGGTCTCCATGTGCCACTTCCCGCCGGTGGTAGACTTGCAGTCACCATGGATGCGGTGCCAGGTCCCAACAGGCTTCCAAGAGCCCGTCATGCTGGCTGCGTCGAGATTGTTCACGTAATCTGACAATTTTTGTTTCTTGGCCTGTAGGGACCCGTTCTAATTAGCACCTTTTTCCCTCTGCTTGAACAAACAAGATCTTAAGATAGCAGCTTCCCATATCAATACCCTCAGCTTAAGTCTAGCAAGCTCACCATTTTAGAGACCGCCGTAGTTTGATACACAAGTAAGGGGCGAGGCAAGCCTATTGCTTTACTGTATGTTGCCAAGGGGTGGTGATTATCGAGATCTTGGACCGCAAGCTATCGTCTGACGAAACCAAGGAGCATCAGCCCTCATATACAAAATATTCTGCTCTCGTGCGGGGTCAGAGGTACATCTGCTGGCCTCAAAATTGCCTTGCCTATGCCAATCGCGTGGGATGTGTAACCACGACGCTCGGTTGTTGGACTCGCCAGACAGTCTCACCAGGCGTGGGGGTTGAAATGAACCATGTCATTGGCTCTTTTGATGGCCCCTTTCAAGCACATTGTGCACTTTACCCTCTTACATGCCGGCTCAAAGTATCACTTGCAGTTGGGTGATCATCTGATGTGAATGTGCAACGCTCTGGACAACACACTGGGTGATATTGGCCTATCGGGTTGGATGACCTGCCACACTCGGATCACCCCGTCACTGCTTCTAGGCACACAGATACCTTATTCCTGTCACCTTTAGTACCTAGTCATTGTCGTGCACGTGTTTGTCTCGAATCTTCCAAGCTACGAACCTATGTCAGGGTGATACAGGGTAAGTTGATGCCTTAGGCCGCCATCAGGAACCTATCACTTTTAGGCATCCAACTATGCATTCTCCTCCTCCATTCTCGCGATACCCAACAGCACGATTCTTCTTATCCTACTCACCCCTTACTGTCTTCCATTGAATCAAAAAATGGAAACATCCGCGTCAATATCTCAATATGCGGATCATAATCCCTACCCCGTTGGCCAAATTCTACGCCTGAAAGCCGCTCTCAACAACTCGACACCTGGAGACTACTCAGAGCTGCTAGTACGAGTGAAGCGGCAAAATCGGCCATGGACACTCTCTTGTGGCATGGTTGTCGAGAATTTGGAAGACGTGAGCGACTCAGATGATGACCGAGGCCTACAACAGGGTCAAGGGCTTGGAAACGACCGGGAGGCATTCCTGAAGATTTTCGACAGGAGATACGCGCAACAACTCCGAGATGATAATGGTATCGAAGAATGGTCGAATCTTATCGAGCAAGAATTTTTGGATGGTATACGATCTGGGAAGATGGATGACTTCCTACGCAAACTTCGCTCCGACAAGCAATTTCAACAAGACACCGAGGATGACTGGGACGCAGCTGAGAACGAGGCCTTTCTGTGGGACGAGGTGTCAAAGTGTTTCAAATCAGAGGTTGCAGCATATTCCGTCCTAACAAAATACCAAGGAGAGTTGATTCCTCGTCTTCTTGCCGAAATAGCTCTCGATATCTCCCCGCCTGATCCAGCCCTCGGCGCACAACAACAAGAGCTATCTCGGGTTAAGGGCATCCTTCTCGAGTATCTTCCAGGCTTTTCTCTGTCTTCAATTACGCAACGTGCTCCCCAGGCGGCATGGCAGAATATTGTCGACCAAGCAATTAAGATAGTTCACGTTTTAGGTGACAACAACATTCTCAACACAGATGTTCGTCCCGACAATTTTGTGGTAGTTCCCAAGCGGAGAATAGCGCAGGTTATGGATGAGGAAAATAGTGCAGAATACCGGGTTTTCATGATCGACTTTGGTCAATGCAGGCTCCGCAGAGAGGATGAGTCGGATGCGGAGTGGGGGCGGGCGAAATGGATTCAGGATGAAGAAGGTGCTGTCGGAGCCGTGATGAGAATGATGCTGGGAAAGATTGGCTTTGAGCTTGATTACCGGCCGTCTTGGAGGTATTTGGAATGGGCACCTGGGGAGGATGATTGATGAGGGTTGCAATAAGGAATAGAAAATTCCTTCCTGTGGAGTCCATCCGTTTGCATCCTATCATAACATCGGGGATCTTTAGGTGCCGAAGTGAAGATACCAAGATATCTTCGCTGGAGATTCCCTACCTGCTGATGGAGAAACGATCACTCTCATCTTCGCTGGTGCATCTTCAAATCCAATATCATATTGCACACGCATCGCACTACGGTTTATTGCTCGATTTTGACGTTCGTTATAACACTAGTGATCTCCAGGACGTAAATCGCAAATATGTATTTGTGGCATGATGGGGCATCCTCGAGCTAGCAGGCCGAAGCGAACCATTTTGGCCACGTCACACAAACGGATGGTGGCGGACTACCGCATAAGAAACGAATTAGAACTGAATATAAGCCGACCCGGCTTTCTCTCAGCTTTCTCCCCTATTGATAGGTCTTGACCGAAACCGACTCAACCAAATGGGGGACATTGCCGCGATGTCGAAGGTTGCCCGCTTCGTCGTGTTCCTCGTCCCACCTGGCCACTTCACTCTTTGGGACCTTGACAATACGATGAGTATTGGCTCCATTGTCATCGACGCTTACAGTCTCAGTTCGAACTTCGTATCCTCTCCATTTCGGGAGTAAATACATCCAAAACACGTAGTACAGACCGCACACAATGATGCTTCAACCAGGTCAGTCGGTTAATCGTAGCAGATCGGAAAGTCACTTACATGGCAATACCAACAACGCAGTACGTAGCGTACCAGAAACTCACGTCCCCGGCATAGGCTCCGCCCTTCGGTGGCCACCAGGGCATAGCGAGGATGAAGACTTGGATGGCATTGTAGAAGATGACAGCGACGTGCCACGCTCTGAAGCCAGATCGGCCAACCCCGGAACGCTTGCGGCGGCGGCGAAGGATATAGACTCCGAAAGCCATGGCAAGATTGAAGAGGGCCGAGGGGTAGGTGTTTAAGCTGACAACTGTGCGTGAGTTAGCAAAGTATTCATACCGTAGGCCAGCTTGCATGTATTACCAAAAGTAAAGGCGTCACCGGCAGGAGGCGCGACAATCATGATAAATGTCAATACCCATTTCAAGAGGTAGGGGCCTAGGGGAGTGTTGAATGGCTTTGTGGACACCCAGAAGTTGGTCCAAGGGAGAACGCCTTGTCTGAGGCTGTGTTAGCACATGCGTACGGCTACAGCACCAAGCCCATCGTAGCTAGGCGATATTTATAGGAATATCTTACCTCCCGATTTCTCGAAGCATTCGCGAGGAGCCGATCAAGACGGCGAGAAGATTGCCGAAGGAGCTGAGCAACACAAGAAAGTTGAGGACGTTGGCTGCCGCCTTGCTGTCTCCGAAGAGCTTGCTGAAGAAAACAGAAGCGGCAATCTCACTGGCCTCTGCAGCGGTGATTAGAGAGCAGTCTGCGATGTGAGGAAAGCTCAACCGTACCTTTGAATTCTGCCTTAGGGACCACTGCAAAATAGGCAATGTTGCACAATATGTATAGAATCGCGACCACACCCAAAGAAACGGCGCCATTTCGCTTCAAGGTGGGGATTGGGTTTTTGATCTCGTTGACCACATTGAACGAGTTCCAGTATCCAGCATAAGAGAAGACGATGCTGACAAAAGCACTAGCGAGATCATTGCCGTTTGGTGTATCTCCTTCAAATGCGTTGCGGAAGTTGGCTTTCGGGTCCGGAATTCGATCTACATGGCCGCCCAGGACGACCAAGCCGGCGATGCTTATGCTGCATGCTGAGGTTAATGACTGATGTCTTCAGGTATTAGGGCATAGGATGTCAGTGTAGTTACTTACAAGATCAATGTCAGGAGTTTGAGGACACCGATAAAGTTAGACAGCCAAAGCGAGTATTTGTTGTGTGCAATGACGAAAACAACAGCAAGTGTGTATGCAGCAATAGCTACACCTCTCATTTGCCATTCCGTGGGAGTCGAGCCGGTCATTCTCCATAGGTATCGGGACAGGACGACTGCGTTGCTACTGCTGAACGACAGCAGCACAGACTGGATCGCAAACGTAACCGGGAAGAAGTGTTTCGGTCGGGGGTATGCCTGTTCCAGGTAGACGACTTCGGAGCCGCTGCGGTTGGGGAAATAGCTGGCCAGTTCGAGGTAGACGCTGAAGCCAGCGGCAGCCATGAGGAAGCCAATTACCCAAATGAAAAGGGCCAGACCAACAGATCCCGCTCTGTTCAAGATACTCGCGGCTATTCAAAGTCAGTTGAGGCTATGGACCAACTTCACCAAGACCCGACTCACGCGTTGAGAAGATACCAGTGCCAATCATCCTAAGCGCATCGTCAGCTCCAGCTCCAGCAGTCGCCACTACCACTTGTCTTACATGTTGATATTCAAGAAGATGACGGTTATCCAGTTGACGTGATACCCCAAGGGGGACTTGGCCTCAACAGGAGCACCGACGGCCTCCTGGTAAGACGGTTTGGACCCGTTGCCTCCTTGGACACGTGTGTACGCGAGCCCTCCATCGTGAATAATGGACGCTTCCGAGTCGCTTGCTTCCCTGTCAACTTCAGGGCTCTCTTCAGGCTTGGAGCCTTTAAAATAATCGGCAAACCCCATATTCGCTACCAGCCCGAGCTGTAGTCCGTTCTGTTGCTTATAAGACCGGAAAACCTGGTGTGGGTTAATTCTTGCTCAACCCAACACCGTAGTATTATATATATAAGGCTTGTTCGGGCTGACGCGTATCTCATCCCACTATTTGCGTGAAAAGCAACGCCTATGGCACAATTGCCACTGCATCGCCCGACGATAGCGGTGCCACGCCTCGATCCCACCGGAAATCTAGCCTCTTTTGACATTTACCCCATGTTCGGGGATCCCACGCCGCCACCCGACTGCCTCTTACAAATGTAACGCTTCGAACTGGAAAGTTGACGCCTTTCTTGGCTTGGTGACCTCATTGACCGAGCGTAGTAGCGTCCAACCGGGTGGCTTTAGGGAGGGTTTCGGCTAACAGATCCAGCATCAACGACGTTGCCTCGGATTAATATCGATCATGCTTAGCCTAGGGCATTTTACTTGCTACCTTCCTAAAGCGATACTGCTTGCACCGATCCAAGGATAGCTGAGAAGGCTAAACGAGGTTTAAATGTGGAGTTGGGTGTCGTGCTCGCTGGGATGTTATATGTCATCGGTAAGGCCGAGCCAACGAGCGCTTGGCCAAGCTAAGGGGGGCGAAAATAGAGGTGCAACTCCCACTGATGAACCTATAGAAGGTCTCGAACTTTCCACTTGGGTTTGGACATCCTAGCTTGTTTTTCAACTTTAAATGAATCGGGCTGTTCATATCACACCTTCTCGCTCATAGTACGATCCATCGTGTGAAATTCGGCAATTAATTTCTTCATTCTCTCCTTAGCTTCCCCTATATGTACTAAAAGTTCTGCAATAGCTGCAGGCGACTAAGAATCACGCAAAAGGTCTCTGAGCCTAGGCCCAAGACTTGACCACAATCCATCTCGTAGCGATGATTGAGTGACTGGGATGAAGTAATCGCCCGACGGCGTTAGTGTTGTTGAGAGCCTCGAGCTACCCCAAGTTCCCCTTTCGCGTCTGTGTACCGGTCGTGCTCTAACCTACTATGTATAGGGTATAGGGTAGGCCAGGACGGTAGTGCTGAACGGGTGAACCGTAGATTTATGGGAGCAGAGCGGTTATACATAGCCAGTATCCGTTATCAGGAAATGTGATTATTATCCAGTTTATCTTTTGAATTTTACTAAGTTGAATAATAAGATTAAATGGATAGCCGACTATGTCATAAAGAATATCCACAATATTTAGACATCAATACAGCTTCCTAGTCATTCGTTTTCACTGTCTGAGAGCCATCGTTTAAGCGTCCATTGCATATATCCGTGCGCGGTACGGTGGGCTAAGCAAAATCTTACAATATCGTTTCCTTTTTCGTCCAAGTCCAGTTAAACATGGCCAGTGATAAAAACCAGTCCGTGGCACGCGGTGACAACAATTGCTAATAAAACGGCCGTCGTGGCTTAGCCGACGTCCCCGCCTCCGCAACTATGGCGTATTGCAGCTCCCGGGCTGTTGAAGACAATCGCCTTACAATGGCGACATGTAAAATAGCCTTCTTAGACAGGCGAGCATGCTACGGATCTTGATCTTCGGCCGTCTTTATCACAGTATCATAGGCATGATCGTATTTGTCGGAATGGGGTACAGTCACCAGGTCGGTGAGAGTTTCGCGGAGCACCTCGGCCATATCTGCCCAGTAAGACATTCAAGGTAGAGAGATACAAGAAAGAACCTATGCTGCCACCTCATGTTTCTGCCATTTATGCGATATCCGAGGAGCTAGTACTGATCTTTCATCTGTCGCTCCAATAGTCCTATCCACAGTTCCCTTTTCGAGTCTAGGATGGCTCCTAATAAACAATGAGACCCGGAACACGTGGGATCCCAAATACCCTCGCATATCGCGTTTGTCGGCTGTAACTTCTAGTGAGTCTGTGTTGGTAAATAGCACGGCGATCGTAGCGTCGAAACCGAATGTCGCAAGGAGGGGAATCGCGTTTATGGTCTGCAGCCTGAATATCTCTTTCAGAAAGGTGTGGCGATGCTCTTGGCCACATTCATCCAGTGCGTCTGTTACTAAAAACACGCGTAGGTATTCGGCGACAATCTCCCTCAAGGCGTTGACGATACTACTCGCTGAGGGCCGGAAGCCCGTCGCATAGTATTTCTTGATCCTATATGCAGAAGACCAGCGATGGAGTGGCGACTTGAGCAGTTATTGAATGAGGTTGAAGAGCAAATTTGCACCAGTTTGCTCTTCCTGGAGGCTGAAATTGCAGTATAAATAGGCAACACATACTCTGGAATTGAAGACGGACAGGCGACACGTCACGGTCTCATTGAATCGATCCATTCATTTGCACCCTAGCGTCTCCACTGTAGCGCGTCTGGCCAATCAATACTCTATTATTGGAAATCCGGCGGGGAAATGGAAACGCGAAGGTACCTAAATCAATTGACAGCACGAAGTAACTTGGGCGAAATCGAGCTCTTCATTCAATGAGAGCAGCGAGGTCTCGACGGTAGGAGCTTATCAGCGTGGAATATGAGCCACAAATAGCCCATGCTCGCATTCAAGGTAGTGGTCAGCAACTCCCATCACCCGTATGCCTCAGGATTACACCACCCCAACCTCTTCGTCCTACCTACATTTCTGAGACATCACCAACGTCTATTTCATTATCTGTATTGAAAAGAGACCCTGTACTACGAAACCTCCGATAGATTGATATCAGGACCTTGGTCAGAAGGGGGCTCTGATAACCCCTCTTCCGGCCGGTCCGGATGACTGGAAGGGACGGAGATCAAGATCATCATCATCAATTTGAACCCTATTGCATTGATCAATTTGACCGTCACGAATCCATTAGTCTGCTATTCTCAGCTTTGACAATTGGAGCCTACTTTGGTGATTAGCGCTTACTTGTACAACGACGGTGAGCATGACATGCATGGCTAGCGAAGTTGGACGAATAATTTACCTTCAATTTGGCCGTGGTACGACGCCACCACGCCAATTGTTGAGCCGCCAAGTGGTTGGGGAAAAAGAAAATTACACCAGGGCTATCGTTATATGATAAGGGCAAAAGCCGTGTTTATACCCCTCACCTCCGTATTTAATCCGGCGGTGTCATATCACGGTCCTTCACGCGCCTCACCCACTCAAAGGCTGCGATTTAACACGCAATTGTGAGCCATGTTCTCAGCAACACTGGGGACCTTTGTGGTCGGCGGTGTGCTCTGGGCTTCCCTCAGCAAACAGTGTCTGGAACCAACGTGCTATCTCTCGCGCGGTATAGCCATCGGCATAGCCTGCAGCACATGGCTTCTGCTCTACAACATTGTTTTGTATCCTTTCTATCTCAGCCCTCTCCGACATCTTCCGAGCCCCAAGCAGCGCCCTCTCCATCGCCGTCTGCTAGACGAGGCGAGTTACGCCACGCTCGTCAGATGGATCAACGAGATACCGAATGACGGTCTGATCCGCTACTACGGCTTCCTCAATGCAGAGCGAGTGCTTGTTACGACGCCGCAAGGCTGCAAAGATGTACTTCAGACCCAGGGATACAACTACATCAAGCTCCCGTGGGCTTTGGAGGTCATGGGTCAATTTGCGCCTCGCGGTATCCTTGTCGCACCGCCCCATAGACACAAGGTATTTTTTCTCACGCCCAATTGATCGAAGGGTGAACTAACCCTTCGCCACAGATTGATAGAAAGCTCCTTCAGCCAGCATTCAAGTTCAAGTACATCAAGAGCTTATCTCCGATATTTTGGGCCGAGGGGGCCAAGTTTCTCAATGCCATTGAGAAAGAACTCCGTGATGCTGGAACCGGCATCATAGACATTGGAGCGAGACTCCATCACGTTACCTTGGACATTATCACACTGACCTCTTTCGGGGCTTCCATCAATGCTGTCGAGAACCCAACGTCGACCAAAGTCAAGCACTTCAGAAATCTCTTTGCCACCAAGAAGGACCATTTGATCTATCGCCGCAATGCATTTCTTCTCCCGTATTTCATCTATCGGCGACTACCGGTCAAGGCCAGACACGAGATCATGACGGCGCGGGATGTGATTGCGGATTTTATCCGGCCGTTGATCCAACAGCGACGGAAAGATGCGAAAGATGCAAAAGAGGGAACTTCGGAGCAGTACACGCAGGGCGACATTATCGCAACCCTGCTGCAGTCGGGAGAGACGTTTTCCGACGATTACTTGATTGATCAGTCAATGAACTTTATGGTGGCCGGCCAAGAAACCACGGCAACCGCTGTTACGTTTGCCCTCTACTCACTATCCCAGAACCCCGAGTTTCAGAGCCGTCTTCGAGAGGAGGTCCGAGAAAAGCTTCCTTCGCCATCTACAAACACAGAGGTCGACGCGGGGCTCGTCGAGTCGCTTCCCTATCTGACCGCCGTCTGCAACGAGGTCTTGCGTCTGTTTTCGCCCGTCGTTTATTGCCACCGACAGACCACGGCGCCTAATACGACGATCGGCCCCGTACCCATTCCGCAAGACACGGTAGTCACGGTGGCTCCAGGAGTGATTCACGAATCTCGACAGGTCTGGGGAACCCGAGCCGGTCAATTCGACCCGGAGCGATGGTTGACGAGAAAGGATGGAGAAGTCAAGGTTGATCCTCTCGGAGGGACGAATGACCCATGGGCCGTTATGCCCTTTACCTACGGGCCTAGGCAGTGCATCGGCGAGAGGTTTGCCAGGGGCGAGATGATGTCCCTTGTTGCGCAGTTGGTTGGCAGGTTCGAGTGGAAGTTCAAGGGGATTGGAAGAAATGGCGATAGGCCCATGAGTATTGTTCACACCGTGGTTGCTGGACCAGCTGGAGGTGGTGTTACCATGTATGCCAATCGTATCGGCGGGTGGTGATTGATGGCGGCGGTGGCGCTCGTGTGAGGCATGTTTGCGACGACCAGGGCTTTTGGGAAGGGTATAGAGGCTCATGATGAATGATAGATTACATTGTGCATTGGTTGTCTCGATGATCACTTGACTAACCTCTCCAGCTCTATGGTGTGTGTTGTAGGGCCCCAAGTAGCTTCCTCTTCATGGCCGTCTGCTGAACGAGGCGAGGCACGGAAATGCTTATCAGATGGATCAACGAGATTCCCATTTGTGAATAGGGAGATAGAGACACCCCAACGAGTAACTACGCACGTTTAATTATCGATAGTTGCAGCATTTACAAAGCAGAGGTAAACTTGGAGATGTGGATAATCCATTTAAGTCTAGGGTAGCCAGCCATCAAATCCGGGACTTGCACCCGTACGGACGTCACCCCTTAATCATCAATCAGATACGGATGATCTTGAGAAAGTCGCCGGTGAGTGCTCAGCCCTCTGCCAAGTTTTAAGCTGGATGAGGGCAGCTGAGGTCCGGCAAATCCGAATCTCCGACACGGCGAAATACGAGTCTTCACCTGTACCTAGATAAACCCAACTCCGCCCATGATCCACGTGGGGTCAGCATCTCACCCCCTCACTTTCTCACCATCTCATCTCAGCATGCCACAAGCAACATTTGGCTTCCGGGTGCTCGCCAGCTTGGTGCACGCCTACAACTCACTCCGTTACGGTCGTAACAGCATGGAGGCCCTTATGGGCCAGGCTATGAAAGATAACGCGACATTGCAGAAGACGTCGGTGCCGTGGAACGACGATGAGCCGCATCCGCAATCCTGGTACACATTCGACTCGGCGACTTCTTCCTGGGCTTCAAAAACGTCGTCAGACGATAAGGCTCAAACTGTAAATACTGGCGGAATCAACACCATCGCCCTCTACAGCTGGAACATCGACTTCATGCTTCCCTTCGCCGAAGCCCGTATGAAGCCAGCACTCGCCTACCTCGGTAATCTGATAGCCTCCAGCCCGCCTAACAAGGCTCCCGTCATCTTCCTTCAGGAGTGCACGCCCTCTGACTTGACCACTATCGCCTCCACGCCGTGGGTCCGGGAACGATTCCATCTGAGCGACTTGGACGCAACCAACTGGGCGACCTCTCTCTACGGCACAGTGACGCTCATCGACTCCCGCCTACCCATCACAGCGGCCTTCCGTGTACACTACTCCAAGACTCGCATGGATCGCGACGCCTTCTTCATCGACGTGTCTCTCGAGGGCAAGCCCGTCCGCCTATGCAACACCCACCTCGAGTCCATGGCCCTCAACCCGCCCTTCCGCCCGCCCCAGATGCAGATCGTGGCGGAATACCTGCGCGAGGAAAAGGTCCATGCCGCCCTGGCTGCGGGAGACTTCAACGCCATCCAACCGTTCGACCGCACGTTGCACACGGATAATGGCCTGAAGGACGCGTTCCTGGAGCTGGGCGGAAAGGAGGATAGCGAGGAGGGCTATACCTGGGGTCAGCAGGCCGCGACCAAGCTCCGAGAGAGGTTTGGGTGTTCGAGGATGGACAAGGTCTACTTCTGTGGCGGCGCTGAGGTGGTCAAGTTCGAGAGGTTTGGTGCGGATGTGTTGACCGAAGGAGAGGAGGAGAGCAGTCAGATCGTCGCCCTTGGCTTTGAGAAAGCGTGGGTGACGGACCATCTCGGTATCAAGGCCGAGGTAAATATTACCGCGGAAAAGAACGCGACCCGTGTCTAGAGTCGTCGACGAAGGCAGTTGTAGAACTAATAGAAGAACTGGAAGCATTGAGTTTGAAAGAGTTTGAACTCTCTTCGGCGTCAACGTGAAGAGCGTCTACCTCGACTCTAAGATCCTCATCCACGAGATGAAGAGAAACGGTCCGGGTTCGACCGTCGTCATATCCAGCGAGAATGCTCTCCGCATGGGCGCCACTCAGACCTGGTGCAACGTGACCAAGGCCGGGGTCTCGGCCGCAACTAAGTCCATGGCTCTTGAGTTTGCCGGGGATAGATTACCCCGGATCATGCACCACCTTTGGGGCTAACTACCAGGCACGGGTATGGTTGGTGTTCCACTGGATCCACCAACAACTATGGATTTTTTGGTGTTTTGCATGACACCATTCTTATAGGGCGGGACTAATTTTAAAGCCTACCGCGAGGCACATGTAGTTGGTGTTACAAACCCTGAAAATGGGCAAACGGACTCCGGCTGCAGAAAAAGAGACCGATGGAGAGCGTTCAGTGACCAGAATCAGAATCACCACAACATCGGATTCTAGAAATGAAGCCGAGCCGCTGAAGGTTTTACATACTGCGTCAGTCAGGCCAGTAGATAAACCGTGTTTGTCTCGCATCCATGGGGTAGCCTGACCAGAGGTTACCCATTCTCAACTCGTTTCATTCCTTAGCTGGGTTTGTTATCCGTGATATCCGTGATATCCGCAAAATGTCTTGCCCCGTACGTGTTTATCCTCTGCGCAAGCCGAAGAACCACCGCGTTCCGATTCCAAGATGGCAGCTTGCACTTGCCAAGACTGTCACGCACGTCTTCACGACCTACATTGGAGTCCAGATGCGCTCGGAGGACGAAGCCTCGATGCAGGCTCGAGCTCATGTTTCTTCTGCGATCAGAAATTGGCTCCAGGCGGATCATGGCCCAGGTGCATCGGAGTCTTTCACGATGATTGATGGAGCCGAGAAATCTGATTCCTTTATCTGGGTCTGCTACTGGCTTGATGGTGCCAAGTATCACCAGGCCCTGAAGCACCTTTCGTTAGCCACCCTATTCTCCGGTTTAGAGGAGAGAGGCCGGGGCTCTATGGGTATCTGGCGAGAAAGTTTTGCTACTGCCATTCCGAGACTAGAGACCAATTACTCCGGTCTTGATTATCTTCCGGGTTTGGCGAGGCTCCCAGGCGTAGGTACTGAGGAGCACAACCTTTCTTCTTATTGGGGCGCTGCGAGAGATCGTATTCCTGATTCTGCGCATGACCTATTTCCGAAAACACTCGCAACCCTGCCTCGTACGGTTCCTATAGGCCTTGGACAACACTTGCTCGGCAACAACCAACACAACCTCGTTCACATCCGGTCCGGCCAGTTTTGGGAAGATTGTGGCCAGCAAGAGGCCGATGCATACGAGAGGAAACTCGAACCTACACTGCACGAAGGACTCCGGTACCTCTGGGAGCATCCTAAAGAGACCGAAGCCATCGGTGTTCGTTATCTCCAGAACAAAGACGATGCCCCATCGAGCGGGCGACCTCGAAAAGAGACTTGCGGTACTGCTTTTTTCAGCGGCCTTGATAGATTGGAGCACTGGGCCAAGACTCATCCCTCTCATCTAGCTATATATCGCGGCGCACTGACGCACTATAAAGCATTTGGTGTTGCTAGGCTGTTGCGCACTTGGCATGAGGTTTCCATTTTGCGGGAAGGAGATGCAGTCTTTGAGTACATCAATTGTACTCCAGAAACGGGCGTGATCCAGACTGTTGAGCTCGAGGTCAAGGGCAGCTGGGACGATGGGATATCAAACGGGGAAGGGATGACACAAGCGCACACAAGGACAAGCGTAGCATGTTGAAATACGATCGGGCTGACGTCTGCTTTCAATATCCCGCATCATCCACCGATTCTCCTTTGAGTTTTCGAACAGCTCGCCGAGGCCAAACAGTCTCATATTAGCCCCCAAAGGCAAAAAAGCTTGATATTTGGTCATCGTGGCAGCATTGGGTAACAAATGCTTGAATTGTGGATAAAACTGTGTTTTTTTGACCTTGTGCCGGCAACTTGCTCACCTTGAGGGAGCAGACAGAAGTTAGATTAGTTAATGTCTGCAGCTTTTTCACAGGTCCGGAAGATCTGCCCGATGAAACAGTAGTAGGAGGTTGTCAAGGTGGAGGTAGCACGATTCGACAGCACGGGAACCAGTACGCCGAGTTCGCAGCGATGTTGTCAGGAGACAACACGAGTTCGACTGGTTACAGATACCTCGAGCTGGCATCACGAGGTCCGGAGCATCGGCGCTAGAGGGTAACATTATGCGTTGACCATGGCTTCTCCGCGGACGTCGATGACGACTATAGAAAGGTTGCTGCCGCGGTATTGAACTGTACGTTCCAGCCGTCTACACTCCATCCATCAAGCTCCACCCAATCTCCAGACATGCCACCAAATGTCCCTTTGCCAGCTCATGCAAAGCGTAATCTCTCGCCTCCTTCCACTACCTGCTTCCGGAATCATGCTATATCTAGATGGAGGGCCTGGATCATGGAGTCCTTCGCCACGTAAAAGCCCATCGACATCGGAAAGATCCCCATCTCGACAAAGCTATGAGCCCAGAGCTACCGGTAGTGGGTGTCAGGCCGATTAGGCACAAGCATGAGTGAGTGGCTTTGCCAGCTGTCCCTGCAGGCCTGCAGAGCGAGCACCAGGTCCCCACACGACGGGTTTAACAATGAACCCGTTCCGGACCACACCGACGAGAAGGGGTGTCAGCGTCAACCCCATGCTGATATGGAAAAGAGTTCAAGCGGAAGCTAGAATTAGTGCCGAATGCGGTCTTTGTTTTATTTGCCGCTGGTCCGAGCCGCCCAGCAGCTGCAAAAGCGGGACGACGCTGTTCGCTTCACTTTGAGGAATTCTGCGACATACACTATAAGTCAAGGTCTGAATTTCTTTATCGTGAAATCGCTGGACACCACACATCACACGTCTTGTCGAAACAAAAAAAACTTCAATCATGCCCTCTTTCTTACGGGTGGCCGCTTGCCACGCCTCTCCTGTGTTTCTTTCCGCCAAGCAAACAACAGACAAAGCTCTCACTCTCATTCGGCAGGCCGCCAGAAATAAGGCCAACCTCGTTGTCTTCCCCGAGACTTTCATCCCAGCATTCCCGATATGGAGTGCATTGCGCCCACCAACCGATAACCATGACCTCTTCAAGCGGATGGCCCTGGAATCTGTCTACTCTGATGGCGCTGAAATCAACGCCATCCGCAGGGAGGCTAAGAGTCTCGGCATTATAGTCAGTATTGGGTTCTCCGAGAAAGTCCGCTTCAGCAGCGCGACCTTGTATAACTCGAATATTATTGTCGGCGGCAATGGCGACGTTCTAGTACACCATCGGAAGCTTATGCCGACCTTCTTCGAGAAGCTTACTTGGGCTCCGGGCGATGGGCATGGGCTACGTCTTGCTGATACGCCGTTTGGAAAGATCGGAAACTTAATCTGCGGCGAGAATACAAACCCCCTTGCCCGATACACCCTCATGGCCCAGGGAGAGCAACTCCATATTTCGACATGGCCCGCCATCTGGCCAACAAGGGTTCCCAAGCCACCATCTAACCAGGACGACACATCTTCAGCGGGAATGGTACAGACATCGACTGTCTCTCGGGGCGCAAACTACGACAATGTCGCTGCCAACCGAGTTCGTGCAGCTGCGCACTGCTTCGAGGCGAAATGCTTCGGCGTTCTTTGCACAGGAAAGCTAGGACAGGACGCCATCAACGCGATATCATCAAGTGCTAGCCCCGATGCAATCCGGGCTCTGGAAGAGGCTCAGCAAGGCGCCACTATGTTTTTGGATCCGACAGGAGCACCGCTGCCAAGCTTTGTGTTTGAGCAGGAATCTCCTGTGCCAAAGGACCTGTTGCAGGACACAGAGGGAATTTTATACGCCGATATGGACCTGGAGGACTGTATTGAAGGCAAGCAGTATCATGATGTGGTTGGCGGATACCAGCGACTGGATGTCTTTGATTTGAGAGTTGATCGAACTCGGCGCGACCCTGTCCATTTCGTTGAAGATGCTCCTCCAGCACAATCAAGTCAGAATCGGGAACGTCCCGAGCGGGTCTTGGATACTACCAAGTGAGAATGAGGGTGGCAGATGATAAATATATTTCGTCGATGGAAAGCTCAGTCGCCAGTCGTGTAGGTTCGGTGACTAGAGGGTCAAGCAAGCAGACCATTGGGATCTAGAAACCCATTGACCCCTTGACAGCTAATTTCCAAGCTCATGGTGCCATCATCCAGTCGCCTCAGAAGAATAAGATCGAGAGGCACATGCCAAGAGATTGTCACGGAACCTCATCTCGCGCTTTATGCCCTGTAAATATGCGTTAAATCATGGCAATCTGGCGCCGTTAATAGAAGAGGCTGACAGAAACCAACCCAAGGCTACCTACTTCTCGGTATGGGGCTACAGCCTGCCTTGTAAGTCGTATGCGCCAAGAATTACTAACGGTACGACTAAGGTATGTGCCACAAAAGGCGAGGTGGGGACTGCGGGGGAATCGGGAGATGCGGGAGGGACGGAAAAAACGGGAGAACCGGAAAAGACGGGAGGAATGGGAGGAATGGGAGAAGCGGGAGAAGCGGGAAAGGCGGGAGAAACGGGAAAGGCGGGAGAGGCGGAGAGGCGGACGAGGCTGGTGATGCAGGGTATAGTTGTAAACCCGCAGGCTCTCCTATTGCAACTCATTTTACGGAGTATTAGTGTTAGACTTGTTCATTGGTGCGTGGAGCAATATGATGGCTGCATGTTGAGGCAATAGTCATCCTACGCAGGACGTTAAGCTCCCACGCTCGGTCGACAAGCGATGACCAGTACGTCGGCCGCGGTTCTGGAAACCTTTCTATATGGAGACAAGATAAGTATCGCCGCCGTCTTTTTATTTTCATAAGAGGGTGTTTGAGTTGAACCCTCCCTGTCCCCATTCCGACCGCAAAAATATGCCGCCTACAATACCATTGTGAGTGTACTGTTGATCTTTGAATGGACTGGGTATATGGTCTGTATTGTTGATACTATTGTTGGTGTTTTTTTCTACTGTTGAGCTTCTAGTCCCCCCTCTGGGTATGTGTACTAGGGCACCCTAGCCTCTTGATATGCTTCCTCAACATGGCCATTGCCGGCACCATGTACGCGCTAAGTATCGTCCAAGTTGAGCTACCCAGACTACTCGGTATCTCCAACGCCACATCACCTCTACCCTTCTCTGCCACCTGCTGCGGGTTATGTGTAGACGTAAGCATAGGTGATAGCCCCATTCAGCGCCATGGTGCTTGCTCCATCACTGGGAGGGGCACTGCGGTCTGGGGTCTGGCCATCGTGGGGGACACGGTGCCGGCTTCAGCATCCTGCCAGTTCTTATCTAGCAGCGCGTTGTTAGCCCAGAGCGTTTTGCCGACGCTTATAGCAGAGTTTTGGTGGCTTGGGGACTTGCTGGGATGGCAAGTGCTGTCATGAATGGCTTGCTGATGGTTATCGTTGGAGGTCCAAGCCTGGTTTCTCTTGCGTCAGGCATAACAGCTCTAGTTGGTATCCCATTTTTATATATTATCAGAATCAGGATGGAGGACAGGGGCATAGGGCAAAATATACAGAGCTTAGTATAGGCAAGATTCCCTCAATATAAGTGTGTGAACATTTCAATTTCGACGTCTTATTAATAGCAGTCCTCAAGTTGGCAAGTTAGAGATTTATGGACGATGACTGAGCTACCCATGGGTGTCCCGATGTCTCGTACTAATAGCCCTTATCCCAGTGCCACCCACCTCTGAACTGCCGCCCACAGTAAGCGGCTCGAAGTTAGGAAAGGTTTCCTCAATTGGGATTGAATCGATATCGAAAAGCCCGTCATCTACTAGCGAGCCTAGGGCAGCCATATATTTCATATATTGGGCCTCGGCATTAAACCGGTTGTCCTTAAATTCGCCCTCGATCGGTCCGGGGAGCAAGGTGCACTCCCCTCTATCTAGAATGTCTTTAGGGTCGTATTTCACTTCTACATCAACGCCTTTGACCTCCTTGACAACCCTGACGAGCTCGTTGAGCGTAAGGCGGTCTGCGATTGCATAGTAACGCTTATCCCAACTGGGAAGATCCAGCATTAAAGAGACGAGCTTGCCAACATCTTCAGAATGAGCGAAGGCACAGGAACGCTTCCATCTCCTGGGATAGCAGCAGCATTGCGCTCAAGGTGCAGCCATACAGTCTGACACTGAAGGTGAGATGGTATGCGAGGCCACACTAGATAATCAAGAAAGATTCCGGTGTGAATCAGGGCGAACTCTAGCGTCGACTTCTCGAGTCGGCGAAGTGTGTCAATCTTGAACGGAAAAGAGGGGCTCCGATGGCAATCCTAAGATCAACTTGTCAGTTAATCCTCTTTGCACAGGCTACAAAACCTGAGAAGATCAGTGGTTATGCTAGAACCAGCGATTATGCGAGGCTTACTCTGGCTTTGTCGGGATCCCAAACTCGCTCGGAATGAATCGTTCCGTACAAGGCGTTAGCTCTGAAGCCTCAATAAGGTTCAGCTGGGAATGGTGGTGACACTCGGTATATAAACCAATGGTTGAGATAACCGTATGAATTCTCTCTCTGTCGAGGACGCTTCGCAAGCTTTCAACGCTAGAGTAGTCGACAACGATGACGGGAGAGTTTTCGTTTGCGCGACGACTCAAGATGACAACCTCGTGCTTCCCTTCTCTTCGAATTGCATCGACGATTGCTTTTCCGAGGCCATCAGAGCCACCTGCAACAGCGACCCTGACCATTCTGGAAACTTTGCAACAGTAATTGACGTTCAAACAAGGTTATTAGCATACATCAAAGCCTACTGAAAAGGAAGAATTGGCCGATGATCCTTACTCCTCAATTAGAGGTTGACAGACAGCTCTTAAATAACGGAACGCTCGAGATTTTTAATCCAAAGGGTAGCGCTGAGGTTAGACTAGCAATTCGGAGCACGGTGTCTTGGACTTCCCGTGCCGAACATTAATTAGTCAGTGAGCAGAAGTAAAGGGGAGAATATATTTTCACCCGGGACTACAGCAGACAAGTCAGGACCATGGAAATACAGCTAAACGACCCCTGGTCTAAAACCGATCAAGCCTCACTCCCGGTGCGTGCAGCTTGCCAAATCAACTGAGGACCTTGTGGAGTCCATACCCACAACAGTTCTTTCCACTACATTGCTGCTTCCTTCGTTTCGAGTATAGTCCCACATGTCCATGCGAGATGCGGCTTGAGGATTGAGACTAGTCGTTGGGCATTTGCTTCGGCAACTCGGATGTTCGAGCGGACCGGACCTTGGGACCCGAGCCGGAGATCGTCTATCTATCATTGGCCCGCCAAATGGCATCACCGCTTGTGCTGATTAACCATTTCCACACCCGTATTCGTTTTTCGGAGAGATCATAATCCCGCCATTGCGTAAGAGGGGTCACCCGTGAAACGCTGGCGAAAGCAACTATGCGCAAGACATGTTCAATACCAACTCCCAGCCCCCTGAGACGTGCAGCTACTCGTGCATAAACAAAGTATCGACTCATCATGCTCACGTTGATTATAAAGCACCATCGGCGTTAGTTGCTGCTCTGGTTATGTGGGTTGCGCTCGTGGAGAAGCCGATTTCCCGGCTGCTAATTAGTCAGTTGTCCCAAGAACACACCGAGTTGTCAACCGTGAATTATGTTTGGCCCATGAGAAACATGTGGAGTCTGCGGAGGCATTCACATAAATAGAACATAATCCCTTCACGAAACTCGATCCAGTCTGCTTCCAACACACTTTCATACATCCCAATTTCCGCCTATTCTTACAGCCATTTGCCCTCATTCCAACCAACTTTCCGCCATGACCATGGGTATCATTAAGAACGTTGCCATCATCGGCGTGAGCACCAACCCTCTATTACTAGCGACTATTGCTGACTTGAACCCTGATAGAAAGGCAACGCCGGCTCCGCCGTCCTCTCCGAGCTGCTAAAGGGCGGCTTCGGTGTCACAATCCTCAGCCGCTCTAACCTGGAGGCACCTCCCGGTGCCAAGGTCGTCCAGGTTGACTACTCTTCCATTGAGAGCGTTTCTTCGGCATTGAGAGGACACGATGCCGTCGTCAGCACTGTGGGGGCTGCCGGCATCGTTGGCCAAAAGACTGTTATCGACGCCGCCATCCTGGCCGGTGTCAAGCGCTTCATCCCCAGCGATTACGGGTCCGTGAGCGCAGACCCCAAGGCAAGAAACGTGACTGTGTTCCAGCCGTTCGTCGATATTCAAGATTACCTCAAGGAAAAGGCTGCAGCTGGGGAAATCGAGTACACCATCCTGTCCACCGGCCCTTTTCTGGACTTCATCTTTGGTAGCCCAGTATTCGTCGACTTCCACAACCACTCTGTGGAGTTCTACGGTGATGGAAAACTTCGGCTCAGTTCGACCAGCATTAGGGGTATTGGGAAAGCCATCGCCGGTACTCTACGCAACGCGACTGAGACGAAGAACCGTGTTCTTCACATTCAAGAGACCATTATCAGCCAAGTTAAGGTGCTCGAGATGGCAAAGAAGGCCTTACCTGAAGGAACTGGATGGAAGGAGACATTCGTTGATCCAGAGGAGACCCTAAGAGCGGCTTCTGCCAAGTTTTCTGAGAGCCCAACAGATGTTTTGGCGCTGTATGCGCTGATCAAGGCCGTCATGCTCAGCGGCAAGTATGATACCCAGTATCATGAGTTGGACAACGGGATCGTCGGTCTTGCGCAATTTTCGGACGAGGACTTGGAGAAATTTATTCTCCCTATTCTGACCAAATCACACTAGTTGTAGTCAGAAGCACCTATCGTCTCGTCCGTCTCTTATCGAACGATACGATTAAGGCATGTCTGGTACAACAACAGTACTTCGATTCTGTTAGGTAGTAGGTGGCAATTCACGAGGCGGTAGCTGCCTCATCACATGGTATCACACCCAACGTTTTCCATTGCCTCGCTCTCCCCAATGTGTCCTCTGTCGAAATCTTGACGCTGAGAATGTCTCGATGCCCTTCCCCGTAGTTTATAGTTCTGTTAAGTGTATGATTATAATAGTCGTGGTTAATATCGTACTACCTGACACTGGTCGCGGGGCACGAGGTTTGGTGACCGAAGTTGTCGGCTACATCCGTGGGTGTGGCACCCTGATTCATAGATCTGAAATTCAAGTGCCCCCTCTAGCTGATTCCTAGAAGATTGGATTTCTTCTTTCGTGTCAAGGGTCAAAGCTTGGAGGTTCGAGGCTCTTTCAATATCTCAGAATTGTTGTGATTAGACTCGAATGCTATGGAGCCAGCCGTTGCCTTGGGAATACCGTGTAGCATTCGGAGAGGACAGGGATGTATTATTACCAAGGACGTTTGGCCTTATTCCACATTCACGAACTCTTCACCTCGATTTTTGGCTTTGTTGGCGTGGTTAACGTTCGCCTGGCCTTGAAACAGCCTTGGTGGGTAAACTCATGACAGGGTCGCGCTTGGATGTCTCCATATCGCAGATTGCCTGCCAATGTCGGCGACTCAACCAACCAGCCAGTTTTTGTCTGCCGTTCGAATCTAGGGTAATATCATCAAATTTTCCTCATTGGTGAATGGGGACTTGGGCAGATTGGTAAACAGGGCTCCATGCAGCGCGCTGTGATCGGTATACACTGAAAAGATATCTGCTGCATCAGCAGCGTCAGGGATCTCAGATCGGCTCAGACAAACATTGGGCCCGTCTCTGGCGCGCTGTTCCTCCAAAGGGGTTTGGAACGGACTGTTCTGAACGGGAGGCAGAGTCGTCTCGGAATACCAATGCAGAAGTGAGCTGATTTGTCTTTGAGCCTCGGCATGCCGTACTGGCAATGGCACTTTATCGGCCCATACGACCCCGCACAGTATCCCAAACCTCGGCTTCATCAAGATTTACTGGTGCAATCATCTCAAAAGAAATTACATAAGCCATCCAACGGAAGTGCCTGCCAATCGTTATTTCTAGCTTTCTTCAGGCATCTGACCATGTCTTTTTCTGCTGACTGACTGGAAGAACACGCGTTGACCCTTAACCTGCCCTATATTCAGTTTGCTTTCGATCCAGTAATCATTTGTTACTGCCTGGCACACTCCTTGGACTCAATTTGAATTTGGTAACATTCAGGCAAAACCGATTTTGCACCATGGCGTCTCCACGTATGACCACACTGCGAGAAGAAATATGACAAGGTACTAACCATGTTGACGTGGCAGAGAGAATCCAGACCCCGATCACCGACTTGTTCGGCATCAATCATCCTGTAATGCTCGCGGGAATGAATGCTGTCGCAGGCCCCAAACTTGTCGCAGCAGTAACAAACGCCGGTGGCCTTGGCGTCATGGGAGGCATGGCATATAGCCCAGCCATGCTTCGGGAGCACATTGCTGAGCTCAAGAGATACCTCATCCACAAAGATGCGCCTTTCGGAATCGATCTACTGCTCCCTCAGGTTGGCGGCAGCGCCCGAAAGACAAAGTGTGTGCCTCCATTATTACTTCTTCCAGTATTCTCTGATCCAAACATGAAGTGTCTACTTCTTGAAAAATCATAACCCAAGCATCTTCATCTGCGGCTAGTGGCTACAATACGCTTGTAATATCGATTTATTCAATACCTGCTAACACTCATCCAATTCTCAGTTATGACTACACAAAAGGCAAGCTTGACGAGCTTGTGGATGTAATCATCGAGTCTGGCGCCAAGCTCTTTGTCTCAGCTGTGGGCGTACCCCCGAAGGCGATTGTCGAAAGACTCCACGCGCATGGAGTGGTTTATATGAACATGGTTGGCCACGTCAAGCACGTCCGCAAATGTCTCGACCTTGGCGTTGATATCATCTGTGCCCAGGGCGGAGAAGGAGGGGGACATACGGGCGACATCCCAACCACCGTCCTCATCCCTGCCGTCGTTGATATCTGCAAAAACTACAAATCTCCACTCACGGGTCAGACTGTGCAGGTTGTAGCAGCCGGGGGCATACATAATGGCCAATTACTTGCTGCGGCCTTGATGATGGGAGCAAGCGCAGTATGGGTTGGCACACGCTTCGTGCTTACGGATGAGGCGGGTGCACTTGAAGCACATAAGAAAGCTCTCCGGACAGCCGGACATGATGACAACGTTCGCACCATAATCTACACTGGGCGTCCTATGCGTGTACGGAAGAACGGGTACATTCAAAACTGGGAGACAACTCGGCAAGAGGAGATGAAAGGGCTGCTTGCAAAGGGTATTATCCCTTGGGAGTATGACCTGGACAGAGAAGAGAATGATTCAATTGATGACTGGGAGGGCCTCTTGAAGTATCGAAGATATCTTATGGGCAATTGTGCTGCTCTGGTTAATGAGCAAAAGCCAGCTAAGGAGGTCGTGGATGAATTTGTCAACGATGCGGTCACCTGGATAGAGAAAGGGAACCGGTTGATTACCAAATTATAGTTGAAACAGTTTTAACTTTTGTGTACAGATGGTGTATGTAACGTACTCTGTTCAAGCTCATTATTCATGGAAAGTACTCCTGCAGGCCTTGTGCCGCGCACGTAGCGCTCAGAGTCATTATGCTTGACCTTGTGATAAAAGGCCTAAAACATAAGAAGACGTGCATGGGTCGAAATGGAGTCGACGGTCTGTTCGTCTGTGGCTGGTTCAATACTAATGGCGATTGCACTGCAGAATAATCACTTTGCACACAAGGTGATGCCGCTTTACAGGTGCTGTCGTAGCTTCAATTATAGTTGTTTGATTCATTATTCATGTAACTTTCATACGCATGAGTCAGCTTCTAAGTATATAATTTATCTATCGAAAATAAAAACGCTAAGGCATCAGACGATTCAAAGGGCACCCTCGTTTCTTCTATCCCTGGCCCATCACTGCGCTAGCTTTTTTGAAACCATTAGATCTGATGACATCGGACGCATCCTGAGTCCATAAATTACTGCCTTGGGACTTCCGGCTCAACACAACATCGGATGACAGATACAAAGTTGAAAATGGCATGCCGATTGACAATATTTAATTAACCAACCCCCAAACGGATGGGCGGAAGTCGATTCCGTATTTTAAAGCTTTTGAGTTTACCCAAGTATATGATACTATTCAATACCTCTCTAATAGTCCGATGATCTTTCATTAGCCTAGCAAACTTCCGCTGTAATTCTTTCATTGTAGGGATCATGGGCGACTCTCGCGGGCCGCAGCGCCGGACTCATTCGAGTACGACTCTAACGTGCAGGCGGGGTAGTCACCGGGATGACGGCTTTTCGAGCCGGAGCCAAAGTTCTTGTCTTAATAGGAATTCGGAGGCCGAAAGCCGAGAAATCGGGAGCCGGGCCCGATTCCTACGATGCAACAAGGCCATTGGAAACGGAGGGTTTTGATCCGCCTCACCCATTGAAGCCACAGCACTTGATTCCGAGATCATTCGTGTACAGTCTTTCCACTTTTTCTGCTTTAAAGTATCAGCTAGTCCACGCATTCCTCTCAATGTGTTTGTACTCCATCAGAAACATCACCTTTGCCATCTCATAATGAAGGTACTAAGTCTTCTCAGTTTCTGGGCCGTAGCTCTCTTGAGCGTTGCCCTCGGCGCTGAGGTCGTGCCTCGCTCCACCTTCACCGAGGTGACAAGCTACGGCTCCAACCCAACGGGCACCCGCATGTTCCTTTACGTACCCAAAACCTTGGCTGCCAAACCCGCCATCGTTGTCGGAATCCATTGGTGCAGCGGCAGCGCCCAGGCGTATTATTCGGGCTCCCAGTGGGCGCGGTATGCGGAGACGTATGGCTACATTGTCATCTATCCTCAGACCCCTTATACGAACGACAATTGCTGGGATGTGGCGTCTAAGATGACTCTAACCCACGGAGGCGGCGGCGCGAGCAACTCTATCGCGAACATGGTTGAGTTCATTCTCGAGCAGTATAGCGCGGACAGCAGCAAGGTGTTCGTGACAGGCATTTCATCGGGTGCCATGATGACGGTGCGTAGGTCACCTAAGACCACTCTTTTCCATCCAGAGTCGCAGAAGCCAATTGAGCTGACTTTGAGGTAGAATGTCATGGCCGCCACGTATCCCAACTTATTCGCCGCTGGAATCGTCTACGCGGGCGTCCCTGCAGGTTGCTTCATGAGCGCCGACAACATCCCCGACTTTTGGAACTCTACGTGTTCGACAGGCCAGTCTATCTGGACACAGCAGCAGTGGACCAACGTCGTGCACAACATGTACCCGGGCTACACAGGTTCAAGACCCAAGATGCAAGTTTACCACGGAACGGACGACCAGATCCTCAATGTGCAGAATTACTACGAGACCATTAAGCAATGGACCGGTGTCTTTGGTTATTCTACCACTCCCATCTCAACTGAGGTCAACGTTCCACGGAGCCCATACACCAAGTTCACATTTGGAGACAAACTGCAGGTGAGATTGAACCCAGGGCTTAAGTTGAAGGAGCCTAGTAACAAATTGTGTCCAGACATTCCTGGGTAGCGGCATCAGCCATTCTATTGATGTATTCCCCGACGGAGACCTGGCCTGGTTTGGCATTACGGTATGAAGACAAGCGACATAATTTTCCCATGTGTGGATAGCTCTGACGATCGATGTAGTCCTCAGTGACGCCGACGGCGACAACAACAACTGCAACTGCCGCACCAACAAGCACATCGGGATCTGGTACGGTGCCTCATTGGGGCCAATGCGGCGGAAGTGGCTGGACCGGTGGTACCACGGTATGTTTTGAGGAGGAGAATGTCGACTGATTTCAATACTAATAAATTTCTACAGTGTGTGAGCCCGTACACATGCGTCAAGAGCAATGAATGTAAGTAATTCCGGCATGATCTTCTCACAGGCGCCTGCTAATAAATGCACCAGGGTATTCCCAGTGTCTGTAGGTGGCAGCAATAGTGATTACACCCAATGGGTAGAACCTCTCAGGTGGATGTCCTTATTTGCAGGAGGTCGGAGACTCCATAGATCGACCGAGCTAAGGGCCTTTGATTTGCACGTATGGTGCCATCAGGAGACTACTATTCGGCTGTGTTCTTCTACTTTGAAAGAATGTTTTTATATCTTTTGTAGCCTGAAAAGCATTACTGCTTCACGTCCAATTACGAAATCCGTAAAGCAGTACTTCTTGTAAAGTTGGGCAAGATCGTCTTGCATACCACTGTGAAATCAACTAAAAAGCCTCCAAAGCATACGCCATCCTTTCCCAGATTGTGTCATATTTGATACATTAGTGTCTGAACCCAGACAAGCTTTTTATTTGGTATCCTATCTCACTAGACCTGTCGGCTTCTACCAGAGCGTAGCCAGCATTGCTTGACCTGAGGTCTGAATCCCCCTCACCATACACTAGTCACGTAGGACCATCTTCACATGAGTCATTTCGAAAGGCCTTAGCCATTACCCATCAGCACTATATCTTTCCATTAAGATGTGTGAAAAACAATGAGCCAATATAGCACAGGCCAAATATAGGCTAGAAATGCACTCTGGTGCCCAGTTTACTCACTTCCCTGATCAACGCATTCCACTGTGGCGAGTCTGCAGGTCAGTCAATTTCTCAACCCAGAGACCACAGTGCTCCGATCGAGCTCTATTAATTGCCACTTGTATATCGGAACCTGCCCGGGCTAGAGCTTCAGCTTTTGCCCAGTGACCCAACCGAATAGCAAGCATCAGGGCAGAGTCGCCCCTCATATCCTTGGCATCAAGTAGTGCTCTGCCCCCCGTTGAACCCATCGTCTCCACCTGTTCTGGATTCTTGCATCGAACCGCTTGGTGCAGCTTCGTATCACCATAGGCATCTCGCATAATGCCTTCTATTTGAGCTGGCTCCCACAAAGAGGCCGCTTTTTGAAGCAGGATACTCTCGGTGTTGTGTTGCCGGTCATTCCTCGCCATGAACAGCGCCTTCATTTGGCCCCGCAGGTCGTTTGGGTACATCTCAATGACGCGCCGAACGATCTCCTCGTTTCCACTCTTAGCTGCCGTCATAATGTCTCCCTCCTGATATATGGCGCCGTATTCAGAGAGGATGGGTATGATGTTGTGCAGTTTACCATTCATCGCGATGCCAAGCAGCGATTCACCACTCTCTGCCACTTGGGCATTAGGTTGCGCCCCGCGCTCGAGGAGTATCCTGACGACGCCCTCATTTTCCTGCCGTACGGCGACGTGCAACGGCGTTTCACCAGTTGAACTCAAACACGATACATCGTCCATTGCTTCAATCAGTTGTAGGACACCGTGGTCAAACCCATTCCGGATGGCATTGCAGAGAGCGTTAGTGAAGACTGACAATCTCATACTCTGGTGTGCGGGGTCATAAATATCCTCTGCGATAGTTGCCGCCATCTGATCAGCCTCGATCAGAGCTGTCAAAATCTCAATGTTGCGAAGGTCTGTAGCTGCAATCATGGCCGGCTTTCTAACCCCAGAAGAAGCAAAAATGCGAACCAGTTCATCCGGCATTGTCTGGATGATGGCATTGAGAAGGAGTCGCAGATTCTCGGTGTGGGCGAAAGCAATCGCGACACTCACGGCCGTGTCTCCTCTTGGATCAGCCTGCGCTGGACTGGCATTGTTTTCCAGTGCCCATTTCAGCAGGGTACTGTTGATCTCAGTGGCTGCTTTCTGGCAGATGGTTCGACCTGTTAGGTCGACGCCGTTGATGTCGACTCCAGCGTTCAAGAGCATGGCGGCTGTCTTCAGAACCTTTTTCTCTGTGTCGTCGCCCTCATACCGCACGTTCTCAATGATGTCATGGAGAGCGTTAGGAACTGCCTGAGAATACAACATGCCGTTCGTGATAAAAACTTGAGCCACATCCCAGTTGTTGCTCTGAATCGCCTCACGTAGCGATGTGCAGCCGGCAGAAGATTCGTGGGACTTTTGTGCTCCCCCTTCAATGAGCCGAGTCGCGAAACGAGAGCCATGGTCTGAAAATAAGCACCGCGCAACCACATGAAGAATATCCTCTGGGAGTGTCTCCCTCGCTGGCGGCCAACAGTCGAGCAAGAAGTTGGCAACTTGGATGTCTATCGCCTTGCTTGTGATGATCTGCGGCAAGACACTTTGATGGATGAACTGGACGTCAAGCTTTTGACGCATCGCCGTGATAACTTTCTCGTCTTTCTCCGCTGCAATCTCCGGAAGGACTGCCACGATACTGGAGAGTGTTGAAACTGAAAGCAGCATCGCAAAGAGAGCCGCGTTGGGGAGAGATTTGGCCATTTTGAGGCATGAGCCGTCATTCTCTAACAGCCCAATGATACCTCGGCCATGTTCCTCAGCGTGTTTCAAGAGCAATTCAACTCCCGGTATGAAGTTATTCGAAACAGCAACCAGAAGTGGAGAGCCTACTGTTGAGGACTGACTGAAACTTGTAGGTGGTAAGGGAGGAACGTTTTGAGTCGAGGATGAGCTTCCACCACCAGCGCCACTAGGTGCATCATCTCGGCTCGCCCTTCCATACTTTGCAGCCATCAGATCTCGTTCTTGTTGGGAGAGATCACTTGGAAATCCAGTACCGCTGGCTCCAACTCCCACATGTGACGGTACGTGTCTCTGATTCTTAGAAGTCAGAATCTGATTGGCGCAGTCGAGGTGTTTGTGTCGCATGGCAGCGTGCAAAGGTGTCCAGCCATTCTTGTCTTCTATTCCGATACAAGCACCCTTCGCCAGCAACGTCTTGGCCACATCTGCGAATCCTCGGTCAATGGCGTAAAGCAATGGTGTCCAACCGCTTTGATCCACTGCGTTTATATGGTCAATGTGGAACTCTAGAAGAGCCGAAGTCCACGCTGTGCTCCCGGTTTGAGCTGCGACGTGGAGAAGTTCACGTCCGTCCCGCATGGCAAGTTTGGGATCCGCCATTTCCGATAGCATCGCAGCAGGGTCCTCCCAAGTGTTCTCAATGGCAATGAAAATCGGGGTTCGTCCATCGATATCCGGTGAATTGACATTGGCACCTACTGTGATCAACTGCATGGCGACTACCTCGTCTCCAGACTCCAAAGCGATGTGAAGAGGAGTCTGGGCCTTCTCATCGGTCGAGCGAATGTAACTTGGAATCAAGAAAGTCTCAATCACTTCTTCTTGCCCATTTTCAATGGCAGTGTGTAATGGTGTCTTATATCCCCAGGTGGTGTGTGAAGGCTGCCACTGCGCGTTACCCAAGGAAGGGTCAGTCATGAGAAATTGCGCAAGGCGTGGAAGCCCGTGTAGAGCAGCTGCATGGAGCGGCGTCATCTCTCGAGGATATTTGTGTTGCCCGTGGATGTATCGCGATATTTTGACCCAGAAGTTGAAGTAGTCCTCGCTCGGTTGGAAGAATGGGAGCAAGACGGTCTTCCATACGTCATCCAGAGGCTCCCCTGCTATTCTCGAAACGTAAATCGGCCAGTTATTAGTCGCATGCTCCAAGAACGGCGTGGTCGCAAATATCTCAGGGTTGACATAAGTGTCGTCGTCCGCAAGGGCCTCTTCTACCTCTGCTGGTAAGCCGGTAGTGCAGACATCCTTCATACTCAAGTACCGAGCACAGGCCATGAGAAGTTCAATATTGCCCTGTGCTTCCTCTATATGTATCTCATTCGGGCGGTTCCCCTCGAGGTAAGCAGACTTGAGAAACGTGTAGACAGAGTAGTGAGCCAACTCTATCTTGCCAGTTGCCTGAGACTGGCGAACCAAGCTTCCACACAGATCGAAAACATCTGTCTCTCGGGCCAGTGTGTTTTGCTTCACATCAGCAAGGGATCGAGTATCAGCGGTGATTGCGATACCATCGATCAACTCAGCCAGGTCAAGGGGGTTGTTAGACATCATGACGAATTGTAAAATCCTCTTTGCAATGACTCTGTCCTCTTCCGGGAGCTTGAGGAAGGTTTGTTCAAATGTTCGCTCAAGATTTCGTGGCAGTGCCTTCAACACTGCCGGGGTGACGCGGGTTCGAATGCTGGAAAGGTAATCCACTTGGCAGACGACCCAAAGAAACCTTGGGATAGAATATCAGCAGCTGGATAAAAGATGCGAGGAAATACATACATGCCATCGGCACGGGCGACAAGTTCCTGCACAATCTCGTCCACTTGCGTTCCGCGGAATCGGCGTTTGGTGAATTGCGCTCGAACGAACCGTTCTATATCCGGGGTGATATCATCAGGTGTGACTGTGATGGTGCAATAGAACGAGAAGGCATTTTCCAGGTCCATTTCTGCACGGCTCGCGACGAGAACCTTGAAGTCGCCGTCTATCTCGGAAAGATTCTCCAGAAAGTCTAGGATGCTCCAACGATCCGGCATCTCGTCCAAGCCATCGATGACGAGGAAAATGCGGCTGAAGTATTGGGATATATCCATGAAGATGGCTTGCAATTCCTCAAAGCTTGGATGTGTCGATCGTCTCTGATGTTTCTCGTATAATTCGGTCACAACTTTCATGACGACGGCTTGGTCGGAAGATTGTCTGAGCAGCTGGCCGATGAATGATCCTACTACTTGGCTTGGCGAAAGGGTTGACGAATGGGAAAAACGGCAGTAATGAAACGCAAGTGCACTTCCGTCCAAACCGACATGCGTTTCTTGGATTGCTGCAACGATTTTCGATCTGTCGGTAACATCAGCTCCTACCCTGCCAACACACCTGATTAGAAACTGTTGAAGAACCTTACTCACACAATAACGGATTTGCCTGAACCTTCTGCATGAAATGGTATCAGCATGGAATTTCTTTTTAAAATCGGTTTAATAACTCACGAATTCCATTGAGCCAGAAAAACGAAGAGCCTTGAGAAGAAAGCCAAGACCCAAACTCGTCCCGGTTGAGGATCCATTCGCATGAAGTCGAGTCTCTTCGTTCGCATAGATCGGAATGTTCTTCTTCTGTTACCAAACCGAGCCACTGTATGACTTTTTCGCGGTGTTTCACTGCGAATATAATGTTAGGGTGCCAGCTATGAGGGTGAAGCTCTGCCGCCTACCTTGTTCCTCATCTACTAGCTTTTCAACGGCCTTCTCGACCCTTTCCTGACTTTGGTTGAGAGTTTTTAAATTGTCGACAATCTCTGTCATTCTGACGTGAATTGTTTCGGTTTGAGAGCTGACCATCTGTCAAAATCTACTTTCCACATGTGACGTCAGATTGCCGCGGCGGTACAGGGTATTCTCACCTGCTGTCCAAATGGAAGCACAAAATAAAGAACAGCTTGTACTGCTCAATCCGTTTGAATAGCTTTTCGAGCCTCTCTTCTCTTCCGTCGCTTGTCACTAATAGCACGAGGCGGTTTGCAGTGGACAGCTTTTCGAGCAATGCAGCAATCTCATCCAGTGTGTTTCTGCTCTCTGCCAGCATTTTGCCCATAGATTCTGGGTCCACGAGTATTGACGGCTTCGACTCTAGGTGTGCTTTGACCGCTAAAAGAATTCCGGAGAAGCCCGCTGTCTCGTTGAGTAGAGCTGCAAGGTCATCGACATTTTTGCTCATCTTCGACTTGAGCTTGTAGCCAGTCGAGACGACAGAAGCGGCGAGACTCAGCAGGCCAGCAATGCTGGCGGCCAGTGAGAGAGGATCCATGAGGCCCTCACTCGTACGCGATGTCCATTGAATTTCGGGGTCTGTCGCTGAAAAAGTTGTTTTCTTGAGGACGAAATGGGCGTCTTGACGTGGTTTTGATAAGAGAGCGGAGAATGCCTTGATTGAGGCAGTGCATTCAGCCCATCTTCAGGGCTGAGTTGTGGCGTAGCACTCAGCATTCAGCTACACCAAGCGACTGATGTTTTAGCCGCATACTTAATAGTTAGCTTCGCCAACTGGATAAATCCCTTGCACACTTATTGGTTCGCATGCAGCGCTCTAACTGTGACTGATCCGATGGATAGCCCAGCTCCGGGGTTACTTGAGCGCGACGGGAACATTTAGAGTCGGTCTACTATTTCGTATCCTTGATAGCTACAATCACTTGCATCTGGGGAACTGCGGCTGGGCGGGTGGCTTGCTACTGCACGTTGTTATTGGCGAGGGCTGAATTTGCGAGATTAAGGCGGGAGCCATCTCCGTGAGCCGCGCCGGATAGTGTCAGGTGCTGTGATTCAATTACGGTGGAGAATGAAAACGCCTAAGTTATAGTGGCACTTTAGGCAAGACGAACGCTGCATCCGAGCATCTCTGAACCCCGGATTCGGCAGGATCAGCTCTACCGGCCTAGGCCTATATTGGTAATCTCCTCAAGATAGCCCGGATTGCCGACAAGAAGATTGATAAATGGCGGCTGCTTTTCGATTGTCTTCGGTCTTTCACTCCTCCCGGCCACATTCATTGGACTTTCCCACTCTGCAGCTCTGAATGCGACAGTGAGGCGTAGACTGTACGCTGGTTTGCCTGTGGCGAAACCATGCTTCAGCCAATTCAGCCCCCAATGGAATCCCCCAACCAGGTAGCCTGTGCCCAAGCATCTGTCTAGGCGAACCGGGCAACTTCCTGGGGGAAAAAAACAGCTCGAGGGTGCTCTCTTGACGTCCTGGATCCTTCGGTGTTCACTTTGAATCGCACGAATAGGTGTTTCAGTAGCTCTGTCGATCGGCATCTTCGTACGGGGTTCTGAAAGCCGAAAATCCCGATTCTTCTCAAGCTGTCAAAATCTTGCTTCTGATACATATCAATGCGACACAGAAATGATCGGGTGTGGCATCTACCCAACACGGAGCATGTCTTGTCAATGGGCTAAATTGTCTGCCAGATGCGAATCCTATCTCGAACGGCTGGCTAACAAAGCATGGAGGTGGCATTGCTTACAAGTTTGGTCCCAAATGTCGGATGGAGTCCCTGATCTCTGTCATAGCTTGTTGAAGAATTAAATTGCGTCTGGGCATTTCCCTTGCCAGGCAATCCTGGTTTCGGCAATAACCCGATGTTTGTCTTGGAAGGTATCCCGCGAAAGTCATCCGCGTATAGGTGCTTTCCGTTGTGAAAAAAGCAGACAAGCTCTATAATATGCGATGAACATGCAATTGTCAACGTAGCTAATGTAATATATCAGATGAAGAAGACAACTAGATCACAATTAAAGGCAGGCGCTGTAATGGCATCAAGGCTAAAAAAATACTACAGCCGTCAACCATCATCCATCGCCTACCCTACATCTCCTCACCGCACCTCACCTCACCCGCCATGGCCCAAAAAAAAACACAATCTCCAGACCTCCGTTGCCCGCAGCCACTTGTTCCAACATGCCCCGCTTGTACGGATCCGGCATTCTATCACATTGTCCCCCAGCTGATGGCTTCATGCAGGGGTAGATAACAACCCAACATGCCTCCATCATCACCATCCCCATCCCCCAGGCTCTCGCCAGAGGGTGGCTCAGCTCGTCTCGGAATGGCTTCCTCCCGCGTCGCGCCTTCAGATACACCGTTCGTCCATCCTCGACCAAACCACGGGTCACCATGTTGCCGGCCCCTGCCAAGCCGCATTTCCTTGCGGCATTGACTCGATTCTGACCCGCACGTGTTTCAATCTCGCCCCCATTCAGCTCACGGGGGTTTTGATGCTACCCTGGCTGTCCAAGCGCAGCGAGATGCTGTGTCAGAATTCCCACAATCCCAGTCGAGGGGCGTCATTCTCATGGGCTGGCTAACCTTATCGCCAAGCTTATCCTTAATTGTGAGACTGTTCCCCGTGTTGTAGCCCCTGGTCTGACATGGGGTTTAGGCACTGCTCTTGGTTTGATCGACCTGCCAAGGTCAGAGCTTCGCTTCCGCTCCCGCAGAAATATGCCTGAGCTTCATCCGAATGTGCCTTTATTGACCCGACTTGCGAGGCTGCGCTGCCTTATCGCGGCATTCTGTCTTCTGAGTGTCGGCCGTTGCCGAGCCGATGTTCCAGACGAGCTGACAGCGTCGCATTCGCTATGGCCCAATCCACACCAATCCACTGTCGTGAGAAAGACGGACACTAACCACGCTAACAATCGTTAGGTGAATCAGGCTTGTAATATGTTACTGCGTCAGGTATCGCTCCTCCTGCGACCGCCTCCCAGCCACGCTACCCATCGCCGACTCATCCGAGGGCTGAATATCCCAACGCCTCCTCTCGCTGTCAGACTGTTCCAGAGATCCCTTGTTTGCCTGAAGGTGATGGCGGTGCCTGTTTCAAATATTGGACGACAGATCGGCAATCACAATGCCGTCTGAATATTGGCGTCGTCCATCCGCCACTCATTGCTCAAAACTCCAGCTGTTGGCAATGGCCTTGCTCCAGCTTCTCTCCTCTCCCCAAGTCCTTCTTTTCTTGATACCCAAGTGCTAAATCGATCCTTTCTGGTCCTAGTACCCTTTCCTCCCTTTTGCTTCTCAGTGCGATCTGGTATCACTACTTTTTATTTTTGTATATTCTTTCACAATACCTTTTGCTACTCGCTTTCTTTTCACAGGAGCTAGTCTCACTGTACCGTCGCGCCTCTTCCTTCCTTACTTCAACAAGTCCCTTATTCAACGAGTCCCACCGTCATCCTGTCAATCATTCGCTCCGATCTATTCGACTCCCTCGATCCGCCACCCACCTCACAATGTTGCTCTCAAACATCGCAGCAATAGTCGCTTTTGCTGGTTCAGTTACCGCATCTCCATCGCGTCTTGGAAGACGCAACGAAGAGCCGGAACCAGCAGAGAAGATCGTCACAGTCCATGTCACAGCTCCGCCAGAGACGGTCCACGTCACGGTTCCCCCAGAGACTGTTCACGTCACGGCTCCCATAGAGACAGTCCACGTTACGGTTCCACCAGAGACAGTCCATGTGACGGCTCCGCCAGAGACAGTCCACGTCACAGTGGTCGAAACCAAGCACGTCACTGTTACCTCCGTCGTCGAAAAACCCGTCGAACACCTAGTCACCCTCATCCACACATCAGTGGTCGAAAAGCCCGTCGAACACCAAGTTACTGTCATCGAGACTTCGGTGGTCCATCAACAAGTCGAGGTCAAGGTCCCCGTCACTGTCGTCGAAACTTCTGTGGTCCATAAAGAAGTCGAGGTGAAAATTCCGGTTACTGTCGTTGAAACCTCAGTGGTCGAAAAGCCCCTCGAGAAGCTCGTCACTGTCATTCACACTTCGGTGGTTGAAAAGCCTGTCGAGCAACTGGTCACTGTCATTCACACTTCAGTGGTTGAAAAGCCCGTCGAGAAGCCAATCACCGTCATTGAAACTTCTGTGGTACACAAAGAAGTCGAGGTGAAAATCCCCGTCACCGTCGTTCAAACTTCAGTCGTCGAAAAACCAGTCGAAAAGCTAGTCACCGTCGTCAAGACTGTGGTAGTTGAGAAGGCTGTGGAAAAGCCCACCACCCTTATCGAGACCTCGGTCGTGCACAAAACAGTCGAGGTCAAGATACCCGTCACTGTCGTTGCAACCTCCGTCGTTGAGAAGCCAGTCGAAAAGATAGTGACCGTCATCCACACCTCGGTCCTGGAGAAGCCGGTTGAGAAGGTTGTGGAGAAACCTGTCACCGTCATTCACACTTCGGTCGTTGAGAAGCCGGTTGAGAAGATTGTAACGGTGATCCACACCTCGGTGCTTGAGAAGCCAGTCGAAAAGATTGTCGAGCATCCAGTCACTGTCATCCACACCTCCGTGGTTGAGAAGCCAGTTGAAAAGATTGTGACGGTGATTCATACTTCTGTCGTTGAGAAGCCAGTTGAAAAAGTCGTGGAGCATCCAGTCACTGTTATTCACACTTCACTTGTTGAGAAGCCGGTCGAGAAGATTGTGGAGCACCCAGTTACTGTTATCCACACTTCAGTGGTTGAGAAGCCCGTCGAGAAGATTGTGGAGCATCCTGTCACCGTCATCCACACCTCCGTGGTCGAGAAACCTGTTGAAAAGATCGTGGAACACCCCGTCACTGTCATTCACACTTCTGTGGTCGAGAAACCGGTTGAAAAGGTCGTCACAGTAATTCACACCGTTCCTGGTGAAGCTGTTCAAGAAACCGTCCATGTTACCGCCATCCACACGGTGACTGTGACCGCCGAAGCGGGAAACATGGCTCACGAGGTGGCTACGGACACAGCCGCAGAGACGCCACATGTGACAGAGACACCAACTTTGAGCGAGCCACTGCATTCAATGAATGCGACGACTTCGGAGGCTGCAGAGGAGACCAAGGCAGCCGAGCATGAGAAGATGTTGGAAGATAAAAAGATGAAACATGAGAAAATGCTAGAAGAGAAAAAGATGAGACATCAGAAGATGGTGGAAGAGAAGAAGATGAAGCATGAGAAGATGGTGGAAGAGAAGAAGATGAAGCATGAGAAGATGGTAGAAGAGAAGAAGATGAATCATGAGAAGGCAAGATCCCTCCCACGACGGGCGATCTATCGCAAATGGTAGAGAGGCTGAACATCACGCAACCGGGACGAGATCTTGTAGACTGGCTTCTGCACTAGTCTTCTTGGCCATCTTGAGAAGGATCTACTGGGCACTGAAATGGTGAGCGAAGAGTGAAGCCGCAGGCCGCTTCAAACTCTGCAGTTAATGATACCTGGATATTAAATGGATAATAGAATGTCGATTGACGGCCGGATTCAAGGAAAGGAAAGGAAGGGAACAACCTATAGTTTATCTTATTCACCCTTTGTTAGCTGTGAGCTTTCTTTCGCTTCAATGATATGAAGATATGAACTTAAAGAGTTTTGTTGCATCCGGTGATCTCATGACAATATTTGATCGAGAGTAGATTAGCAGCACTATGTCTTACGAGGAGCTAGATAAGCGTCATAACAGTGTCTATCCCGACGTACGGGGACGCAGGGAGGCCGAGTCTTGATAGGAGTGGATTATGACGTTGACAGCATGCGTGGATTCATTCCAGCTCAGTTAAGGACTAGTCTAGCTCTCAATGGGGCTGTGCTGAGCTCTACAGGCTGTAAATGTTATTAATTCTCTACTAGCGTTAACGAAATTGGTCACCATTAGTCAACAATAGCAGTGTATTAGCTGAGGTGTTCTCAATGTATTAGACGGCAAGTTGCGACTGTGCCGGGACTGGCTCAAGGGCGGACAAGATAGAACAACCAATCAATGAGGGCCGAGGCCACTCAGGAATCTCAAATCAACATTTACGCAGAACGGCTGTACTGGATAACTAGACTAGAGTGGATGCGGATAGAGATTGAACGATATTTAGCTATCTGCCAGATTACCACTGGAATGCTGAGGAAGTCTGATGCAATTGACTCATGCAGTCTTGCCAGCCTTCTCCCATTCCTGAATCCCGTTAACTCCAACCTTGAGGAACTCATCATCCTCGTCAATTCGTTTCCGCAGCGGCCCTCCCCGGAGCTCATCCACATCCCACTTTGCCCACACGAAGCGGCCATGCAGGAAGCGTGCCTCGGGAGAGGCCGCCCAAACAGCAAACTGCCCGGGTAAATTCTCTATACCGTCGTTAGTAAGTCTTGTATCCGGCACATTAGTAAGAAATCCCGGCATGTCGACATACCATCGTCCCATTGCGCCTCCTCCTTTTTGAAGCCAGATTGTTCCGCCAACTCCGTGAAGATGCCGCCTGGATGGAAACTGATGATCTGAAGCTCATCAGGGTTCACATCCTTAGCCACTTGCTGCATCAGCATAGTTCCGGCGCTTTTGGAGGCACTGTAGTTGGGGTATGCGCCGGTCATTTTGTTCTCATGTATGGCAATCGAAGTTAGATTGATCAGCACCTATCAATCAATAGTTGTCAGCTGGTCCTGTTCCTTGCACGTTGGCTTAGGCTTACTTTCGGGCGGCCTTCGGCGCCTGGCTGTTTGACCAATCGTTGAACAAAATCGAGATTCGATCGGACATGGAGGAGATAATCACTCCAGGCAGTGTCCCGAGTGAGGTCGAGAATTGGCCCTACCGTGACCTTTGCGGCGTTGAGTACCACAACGTCAATCAAAGTTCCGTCTTTCGCAAGTTTTTTCCACAACTGATCAACAGATGCGAGGTCGGCTATATCACATGGATATCCGATAACTTTGGACGAAGGAAACTCAGAGGCAAGTCGAGATGCAGCAGATGCAACCACGTTTTCCCGGCGGGCGACGATGACGATTTTCTCTGCACCAGCCTGAGCAAAGGCACGCGCAGTGGCCCATCCAATTCCAGTGTGACCGCCTGTGATGAGTACTGTCTTCCCCTTCTGGGATAGCTCGGCGCGAGAGGGCGAGATGGCTGGGTATGGGGTGGTGTGAACAGTCTTCGTGAAGTTGAAGCCAAACGGCAAACTGTTCTCAGAGCCGGCCATGGTGAATGATTGATTAATGATATGAGATAAAAAAGTTGTGATGGATGGATATGATAGTGGTAGAGTTAGATAGTCGAAAACAGAACGTGGGCGGAAGGCTCTCTTTATAATGTGTGGTTACGGTAGATGCCAGCTTTCCTTTCAGTGTCATTAATAAATCAACAATGAATATTTCCACGGCCGTGTTCTCGACGGTGAAACTCCAGAATGATTCCATCACCTTCGAATACGTTACCTTCCATCCCCTACCGGGAGCCTGTGGCCACTAAACGTCTTCTCCGCGAAACCTCCGCCGCATCTCCGCCAGTGAAGCCCAACTAAACCCGATTCAGCCCGCGCAGTCTCAGGACGCCGAGAACTCTCCTCCCTTTCCATCACCGAATCCACAATCAGAGCCTCCAAAATAGTCACTCGCTAGCATGGCCCGCCGCTCGAAGCAAAAGGCCTGTTTTGGCTGCGTCGGGACCAAGCGGCGCTGCGACAAGATCATCCCCTCGTGCTCGCGCTGTCTTGACCGCAGCATCGATTGCGTATATCCGGCCGGGCCGCCACGACGACAGCGTCTCGCGCTTGGTGGAGCTGGAATCACGGCTGCTCCTGAAATCAGACTGAGCGGGATCTGGTCGCCTTCGGGTCTTGATATTGGAGACCCAAGCGAAGCGGATATCATGTATCAAGACCTGTTGCGGGAAATGGATGACACCAGCCATAGCACCCTCGTTGACTCGGTATCGTCGACTGACCTTGTTGGCACACTCTCAGAGCCTCCGTTTATTTCGTCAGTCGTGCCATTTTGCGGAGCTGGAGCCATGTCCGTCCCAAACCACCTTGCGGCTTCATCGGGTCTTGGTTGGTTTCTCCAACCCTCTACCTGGGCTGTGATCAATCACTACCAACCCCCTGCCTCGTTCCCGCCGGGGATCGTCTTCTCACACTTCATCCAAGGGTTGCAATCTTGGCTCTCCTGCTTCCTCCGCGCGGGCCACAACGCCTTCATCCACCGCCACCTCTACACCAAGTCCGGCATACCGCAATGTATGCGTGATGCCTTCTCCGCCATTGCGGTGTCGCAGCATGTCACTCCGGGGAATGAGCACATCGTCGATGACGTCTCGTCTGCTCATATCTCCAACTTGCTTGCGTCCCAGCCCGAAGAGACACCGCTCTCCGTTTCTCCCCTCTCGACAGTGGCACACTTGGCTCGCACGCAAGCCTTACTTATTCATCTCCTTTTGGCTCTCTTCTCTCCGTCGATACCGCGTCGAGCCAACGCAGAGAAACTCATCCAAACTCTCCTCGAGTGGAAAACCCAGCTTTGGGAGTCCGCAATTCGAGACGCTACTGCTGCGCAAATGTGCGCAAATGAGGTTCTATTAGCTGATGACAATGGTGACTTATCCTCGGATTCAGTATCCGCTTTGCACAAATCATTTATCCTCTCCGAGTCTGTTCGGCGCACCTGGCTACTCTGTAGTATTTCCCTTGGCGTGTACCACGGTCTTAAGGGTGACTGGTCCTACAGTTGTGCGGGAGATATCTGCATCACCGCCCGCGCCGAACTATGGAATGCGACTTCGCCGGCACGCTGGGAGATTGCGGCTCGCAGCCAGGACCCCTTGTTTATTTACAGTCTTCATGGTCGGTCGCTGGTGGAGCGTGGCGTGTGTGCCTTAGAAGTCGACGAGTTTGCACGCCATATTTTTACTGTTATGTGGGGGCTAGACCAGGTTGAAGATTGGGTTGTGCGGACAGAGGATGCCGTTGGGCATGTTAATACCAGAGATTGCTATTAGAGGAAGCGCGCGGCGGTTCAGTCCGGAATCTGCATTACACTGAAACAAAGAGTGCATGGTGCCGAATCATAGCCACCAGAGCCTCATTCAAAGGTGACTGCTGCACTATGAGCCGTTCATCTCCGCTAATTGCCCGCAAGCGTTCCGCAAGCGTGGTGTAAACTCCGCCGCCAGTGCGCCGTGAACTCCGCACCAATCATGCGCAACGAATCATCCCGATGAATTGGATACGAGCATGGAGCAAAGCTTAGAGGAGAATAAATGGCGTTTGTATATGTAAAGCTATATATACCATTCAATATGAACATGAGCGCTAGTTCTGCCAATCCATACTCAAGAAGGATTTTCTCCTTTCATCTACCGTTTACACTTCCTACAACTCAGTATTATTCGGCAACCAGCGCAATACATATTCATACAATTCATTCAGACTCATGGAGAAACAGTTCAATGGGGTGGCGGACATGCCAGATCTTCATGGCAAAGTCGTCGTGGTGACTGGTGGGAGGTAAGTCCATCGATTAAAAGCTTTGAGAGCAACCCCATTGACTTTCCAGCTCCGGAATCGGCTTCGTACTCGTCAAGCGCCTTGTGCAGAAAGGTGCAAAGGTGTACTTTACTACACGGACTGAGGCCAAAGCCGAAGCGACCAAGGAGGCCCTGGTCCATGACCCGAGTATTAAGCCGGACAATATTTCTTGGCTAGTGATGGACTTCATGGATCCAGCAACTGTCTGTCATGCCATCGATGTATTGAAGACAAAAGAAAGAAAAGTAGACATCTTGAGTATGTTCTAATACGCTGGATAATCCGAGTCTTGATGCTTGCTAACTTATTGACTTTCTAGTTAATAACGCCGCCGTCTCGGTAGGTTCCACTGAGTTGGTGGCTGGCGGGTATGAACAACATATGGTTGGCAAGTAAGTACATCTTGAAAGGGCGGCTTGGGTACATATTGCTTACAAAATCAGTCATATGGGACCCTTTCTTCTTGTCAACCGCATCCTGCCACTTCTCAAGAACGCCACAAAGGACAAAGAAGCCGACGTCAGGATCATTAGCTTCAGCTCCACCGCCCCGATCTCCATGCTACCGAGAAACTTCAACTTTCAGTTCTCACACAAATCTGGTCTTACTGAACCCGTCACTCAATGGCCTTGGGCGTGGCGGTATGTTGGTAGATTCATGTTCGGCTTCGATATGATCCGCTACGCCGTTTCCAAAGCCGCCGTCGTTCTATTTATCAAGGAGCTACAACGTCGCCTGGATGAACAAGGCGTTCCCATTTTGTGTATGGCTGTCCATCCTGGCGAGGTCGCCACCGAAACCCTGCTGGAGATCAACAGTCCCCCCCTCAGGGCCATTGCCCGTATGTCCTTCCTCACGGCCGAGCAAGGTGCTTTGCCTCCCCTCTTCGCGGCCACAGCTAGTGAAGTCCGAAAAAACGCAGCAAAATACAAAGGACAGTTTATCATGCCTATTGGGAAAATTGGAACCCCCAACCCAGTTGCCAATGACGACCGACAAGTTAAAGGACTGTGGGATGTTACAACTATTGAGGTTAATAAGCAACTCGCTGCTCTGGTGCTTCCTGGACTACAAGCTTGGTAATTCGATTTTAGTTTTCTGGACTTGGTATTCTATAGGCATTGTACTTTTATTAGTCTTTAACTCTACCACACACAAAGTCTTAGGCTTCTGAGGCTGCTAGATATTTCCTCTGGCATCTATAAGAGTATTGCAATGCAATCCAAAATACTGTTCTTGATTTGTTAACACATATTAAGGCTCACGGTTACTCCATAGATTAGTATGGTGCAAGGGGGATACTCGAGATATGTATTATGGTGGGACTGGGCATTGCACTGAGTAATGTAGGTTAGGGTCTGACAATGGTTATCAGGTGCAATAGGCTGATTAGCGAAGTGTGTTAATAGCTAGGGAGAATGTCTAATTCTTTTCACGGTGAGCACTGTACATTATAGATAGCTGCTCCTTCCATTTAAAGTAGGTTGAAGACAATAGTATTCGAAAGTTATCGATCCAATCTGTATCGGCTTGTAGAATGCTCAGGTGGGGGATTGGGAATGGATGATAAACTAGTTGTAATGAATAAATGCGTCCTGTTCACACTTGTCCGCCAATCTTAGCTAGAGAAATCTCCATGCCATAACTCAAGGACGTGTGCTTCTTTCTCAAACATCTCTTTGATGGAACTTGACAGGCTATATACGATGCAAGTTAATCGAATTCATACATGCCAGCATTGACGTGAATACTGAGGCATCCGGGGGCCTAAACCTCTACTTTAGCCCGAGTCACTCAGGCGGGTGGATCCTGTCTACAATGGCACATTAGAATTTGATACGTTGTCTCATGCTATTTCAATCTTTACTTTAGCTCCGGAGGACGCTCATGGAGAATCTGGAGGCTTCATTTCCACCAATGAGATTATAATGATGCTCTCGTACGCCGCCATCCCCTCCATCTCAACCCCACATGAAACAGAGCTTAAAAACAGGCGCTTTAACTCTAAAAACATGCTATATTTTAAACTGCATCCTTCCGTTCTGATCATGATCCGGTACGTCACATCAAGGCATCGACCAAAGCCTTGTCCCATTCCACCAATAACGTAGCCAGATCCAAAATACACTAGATCCCTCTTAGAACTAGTATGAGCCTTCTGAGGATGGTCCAGGCCACGTGACAATGCGCATTGTCCTAGTTCAACCTGGCCGTAGCCGCGTTTTTTCGCGTACTTCCACATGGACCCAACTTACAACAATCCATACGCTCTGTCTGCACCACTACGAACATGGACGAGTCACGGCCCTCAATCTTCAAGTCAATAGAGAAGAAAATGCGACAGCGCAACCAGGCTCCTCCATTGCGATCAGCAAACCCAGACATAGAGATAAATCACCCTCCCGTTCTCGCTCCTCCACCGCCACCGGCAACTCTCAACATGAACAAACCCGGCCCATCAATCTTCAAGCAAATTGAGAAGCAAATGCGGCAACGCCCACCAAATGTCACTACAACACCGCGACGTCCAAAAATGGCCCAGGTGGAGGTGGTGCCACCACCACGACCATTTGCTGTCCAGGTTTGTCGTGATGTCTCGTCAATTGACCAGGCCAACTAACTGTACGCCACCCAGTTTCGCCTCGGGCTTAGTAATTTATCTGCCACCGGGACCTTTTTTGACTACGAACACCGACACGTCCTACGTGTGACCATTGTTCGGAGCCTCTTCGACCGCGTCCTCATTGCGATCCTTCTCCTCCTCCCCTTGATACTCCAGTCTTTCTTTAAGAAAATCTGGCCGGGCTACTTCCTTCCCTCGACAGTGGTATTAAAGAAACTCAAACCAGATTGGGACGATGAATTCGAGAATGAAAAATACATATATAAACGCCTAGAGTATCAGCAGGGGCGCTTGGTACCCGTATTGTATGGGGAAGGGCGATGCGACGAGACTCGTGTTTTGATTCTCTCCTATATCGATGGCGTTCGCCCATTTGAGCAGAAACCCCCTGTGCTAAGACGTGAAGATTTTAAGCAACGACTGGAGGCGGCTTATCAAGAGCTTGGTGTGCTTGGCCTCTCGCACGATGACCCCAAGCTGGATAATTTTCTGATTGTTGATGACAGAATTGCATTGGTGGACTTGGAATCTGTTGCTGACCCTGGCTCTGACTTGGAGCATGTGATTAGCTCATATGTGCTACATGTTATGGACCAATATGACTCGTTCCTGAAGCGGCAGGCTTGAGAACGACCTGTTTAGCATCTGGATTTTGCTATCTCGATGTTTCCTTCCCTGGCTAAAGTCTGTCCGCTGTAAATTGGTTGGTTTGTGCCTTTCAAGAAGAATCCTAAGACCTGGATAGAAAGCACTAAAGCGGAACTCTCTATCAACTACCGTTCGATACATGTACATGCAACACCAAGCTATTCTGCCATTCATCCACCAATGATTCTTTCCTGTAAAACGAACTTGGAGAGGCGGCTCGATAACGGTCCCTTTGTACGAGGGAGAGGCATTGTTTCGAAATCCCTAGGACCTTTCGGCAGCTGCGTGCATTATCCAATGGAGAATTTCAGTGAGCTGAGTCCTAAAATACCCAGCCAATATTACGCAAGTATTAAACTTATAGAGAAGTTGGAGCATTTTTTCGCCATTGGTTCCTCGCTCTCACAATATAAGGCAGTGCCTGCAATGCAATGAAGCAAGTCACAGCCACGGTACAGGAGGAACGATACGCATAGAGTGTTGTTTTTGAGGCCCCACAAGGATTGCGAAACGCGGGGTAGGTTGCATTTTATAACATAGACTCCTAATGGAATTGTAGTCTATTTCTAAAAGTGAATGGCAATGCTTCGTTAGCGGATTTCACAAATCGTCAAACATGAGCCATAATGAATGATTCCAACGATGATCTACCAGGGGTCTTATTGTTTTTCTGGCGAACTTTCCCCCAATTACTGCTTCTGTAAATCTGGCCTCCTCCGTCATGAGAGAACGTCATGAGCGGGTAAATGGAAAAAGTCCACGGGATGGCATTTCCGGGCCCTAGAATGCTCTCCCCTGCTATTAACCCCGCTCAACTAGGGATAATTCAGCAAAAGTCACTCGGAGTGCTACTAATTGAGAAGACAGGCTGGCATATTTTTCCCATTGGTGGATATTTTTAATATGCTTCGACAGACGCGAGCACAATATCGAATAGAACTCATATAAAGGTGCGTCGTCCAGTTACTCAATTTGCCGTTAGCCCTTACTGTGTATTTTCGTTACGTGCTGGGAAATTTGTTAAATCATGAAGTACTCTTTGTTTATAACTCTTTTGTCAGGCCTTTCAAAGGTGTCCTCACTGCCCTTTGATGTTGAACCAAGAGGCAGTAAGCCGCCAGCCTTCATTTTGGCAGGTGACTCTACCACAGCCGTGCAGAGCACCGGTGGAGGTGGTTGGGGCAACGGCTTTCTCAGCTTTCTTCGACGATCTGCATGGGGCGTCAACCTTGGGCATAACGGTGCCACAACTGTCTCCTTTGTGAGCGGTGGCGATTGGGGTAACGTGAAGCAACATATTAGCGACAACGTCGGGGATTTCGATGTCTACGTCACGATTCAGGCAAGTCCGTCTAGGATTCCTGTAATGCCCGGCATTACTAATAACACGGTTTCAGTTCGGCCATAACGACCAAAAGACAAAATACAATATCAGCCTCGATGATTACCAAACCAATCTTGGGAATCTAGCGAATGAAGTGCGACAGCTGGGTGGCCACCCTGTGAGTTCCGCCCGAGGCAATACGAACGTAAACGTAGGTTGACAATATCTAGATCCTTATTACACCACTCACCCGGCGTAACTTTGTGTCTGAACACAATGCAACCGACTCTCTTCATAATGAGCGCCTGCGCACAATCGCAGCTGCGTCTGAGACGAATACCAAGTACCTGGACCTCAATCAGAAGAGTCTCTGGTACGTGAATTCTATTGGCGAGGAAGCCAGCCATGTGTATAACCTCGCCCCGGATGATAACACGCACTTGAATGACTATGGAAGTGTGGTGTTTGGACGTATGGTGGCAGATTTGTTGTTGAAGAAAGAGCCCCGCTTGGCACGCTGGATCGCAGCGAATGACACTCTAAGTGCGGCACTTGCGCAGGGCATTCCAGCTTAGATAACTGCCGATATATTAGAAGTCTGGCCTACTAAATAAGCATTTACATCACTTCAATGGTGATGATTACAATATCTGTTTACGCGACTGAAGCTTGTAGTATCAAAAAGTATGGAAAATAGCCGGGCTGTCAGTCACGTACTCCGAAAAAGTTCCCGGCACGCTAGGCGCTATGTTCGCATGCATTATCCGAATGATGATCGATTGTCGAATTTTAGCTATGAGGTATTACGCGGTTGTAGCTGGTAGCATTGACTACATCCAATTTGTCAGTCGCCAACTTAGAACGTCAAGGGAAAATTAGCGGCATGTCAAAACGGTGGGTGCCGATATTTGACGGCAATGATAGGATTTTGCTCAAACTCCAGCAAAGGTAATTGACTATTTCTATTCAGTTAGATCTCGGCTTCATTCTGCTCTTGGTTCATTTCTACGTTAATATCTCGTGACCTATCACGACAGGAACCATTTTACAATTTGGTCAAGAAAGGTAAACGGAAATGAAGCCAGTAAGCACCATATTAAATCATTTATCTACTTATGTACCTCCAATAGGACCACTTGATGTTCTCATAACTTTGACAAAATAATTCAAGGAAAAGAAAATACATTCCATGACTCTATATAGTCGAGCATTCTAGAAGCACTTGCGGTGCACAATAGCCGGGCCACTCTCATCATACTCTTGTTTTGTGATCCGCATCTGCTGGAACGTCGAGAGGGAAGCAAGAATAGAGCCACCGATCCAAACCGAGTACTTGCGTTCCGGAGGAGCAATGACCTTGACTTTCATAGATGAAGGGGCCAGGTTCGTTATCTCTTTCTGCATCCGGTCGGCAATGCCTGGGTACATTGTAGTGCCTCCAGACTAGGGAGGTCGGTTAGTGTCTATGCTGAACATTGGTAAATTATAGTGCTTACCATAATGATGTTTCCATATAGATCCTTGCGGATATCGACATCGCATTTCATAATTGAGTTGAAAGTTGTACTATGAATCCCGCCGGATTCGAGTCCGAGAACACCAGGTTGAAAGAATGCTTCGGGGGTGCGGAAGCGTTCATTGCCAATTGTGATGACCTGTCCGTCTGGGAGCTCATAGTTCTTCTCTACAGCCGAACTTTGTGCCGCAGTCTCAATCTCCTGATTGTAGTCGAGCGCAACATACGCGAGTTTCTCCTTGATGTCACGGACAATCTCCCGCTCAGCGGTAGTCGAAAACGTGTAGCCACGTTCAGCCAACAGTTTCATCATGTAATCTGTCAAATCTCTGCCAGCCATATCAATCCGAGAGATTGCGTGTGGAATGGCAAAGCCCTCGTAGATGGGAACTAGATGGGTAACGCCATCACCTGAATCAAGGACAATGCCAGTAGTTCTTCCCGAGGCGTAGAGTGACAGGACTGCCTGAATAGAAACGTAGAAGGCTGGTGAGTTGAAGGTCTCGAACATGATCTGGGTCATCTTCTCCCGATTCGATTTTGGGTTAATTGGAGCTTCGGTCAGGAGGACAGGGTGCTCCTCAGGCGCCACACGAAGCTCGTTGTAGAATGTATGGTGCCAGATCTTCTCCATATCATCCCAGTTCGTCACAATGCCGTGCTCAATAGGGTACCTCAGAGTAAGGACACCGCGCTTTGACTCGGCCTCGTCTCCAACGTAGGAGTCTTTCTGGCCCATTCCGATCATGATTCTAAGTGGGCGAGGTTAGATCAGATTCAAGATGTCCCAATATTCAATTCCGCAATCTGAATGCTTCGGCCTTGGGCAATCTTTCTCAAACTCATATTTGCGGTCAGAATTCGAGATATAAGACAAAAAATGTGAAATAGCGGCTCTTACCCATGATGTCGTGGCCGGCCCACAATGGAAGCTAAATAGCATGAGTCAATGCGATGTCGCGGCGAAACCATGGAGGCGATACCGTGGATGCGCCATTCCGTAGGTATAGAGATTTGGATACAACTTACGGAAAACAGCACGAGGAGCATCATCACCTGCGAAACCAGCCTTGCACATACCAGACCTGTTGATTTATCCAGTTAGCAAGCCGACCTTCGTGGCCTTCATAACCCTCCGTTGGCTGAGAATAGAATCATACCCATTGTCAAGCACCAAAGCCGTATAATCTTCTAAAATCATAGTAACAGTTAGAAAACGGTTACATAGCCAGCATTTGCAAGAAATAGATTGACTCTGGTATAGCCTACCGACCTTCCATTGTCGACCAAAGTTGAGTAGTAAAGCGACAGATTGAGTGGGACTGAGGCTTCAGAAGGCGATGCTGAACGTAAAGATTTTTGAGACAGATAAATCCTGGTGGAAGATATCTATCGATTTTGTTGTCCTCGGGATTGGAATTTAAACCATGTAGTGGCCAAGGGCAAGTTGATTACTAGCAATCAAGAGCCAACGGCTTCGAGGTGCATTAAATCATTCGCTGGCCCTACCCCTTTATTCCAATCCCATACCATTCTAGCATTACCTGCTAGACAATAAATTACGAAATAGGGGTGAAAGGGGCTCTCCAGACCAATGGCTGTCTGGCAAATGTGCAATGATATGGAGGCTCGGTCACTCGGGCCCGCGGGCGCCAGGGGCCGCGGTCCCCACTGCCAATTTTAGAAGTCCTGTTTGAGCAGAGTTTGACCGCCACCCCAGCTCAGATGAAAAACGACAAGAAAATGGCCCGTAGAACCTTGGTCAGGCTGAAAGTAGTTCGGTTTGGAGTGGGCCGATTGGGATATGGCCTCGTCCGGACAACGTAATTCAGTGGTGATCACTAGAGAACTGACCGTATAAATACTGTCATGCTCCCATTCCAATGTCTCAGAATCCTGCACCTTCTCTCTCCCTATTCATCAACTCCCTCCTTTTCACTCCAAAACTGACGACTACACGCCTTCAAATCCTGCTTGGATCCCAAAGTAGCAAGAGCCTTCTTTTTCATCGAGTTGTCTATTGCTGTGGCGAGATCAATTCTTCTCCTGTCACCTAACCAAAAGGAGAGCATGTCTGTAAGTTTTCTGTCTTAATTAAATCATAATGTCGATGGATCTCTGACTGGAATGAGTGGTAGATCCCCTCAGGGTAAGCCACAGTTCTTTCGACCTCAATCTCGATGGCCACCCGCGTGTATTAACTTCGGCTTTACCAGTGTCCGTATTGCGGATGAGTGCATCTCTGCCGTTAACGACCTCCGCTCCAAAAGAGGGCCGACTAAACCTCAATTCGTCATCTTCAAGATTTCCGATGACCAAAGGACTGTTATAGTGGAGGAATCGTCTCCTGAAAAGGACTACGAGGAATTCCTCCAAAGAATTTCGTTAGCAGTGGAACCGAATGGTGACGCAGCAGCTCGCTATGCGGTGTATGACGTGGAATATAGTCTTGGCGGCGACGGTAAGAGGTAAGAGTGTCTCCATGTCTGGTCTGTCTTGACGAATGGTGATTAATTCTTGAGTAGAGTTAAAAGCATATTTATATCCTGGGTTCCGAGTCAAACTTCGATCAAGGTATTTAATCCCAGTTTGCCTTTTTTACCACCGGATTGGCATCCTGACAAAATCTCGCAGTCTCGTATGATTTACGCAAGCACAAGAGAACAATTGAACAAGGCATTGAACATTGGTGCCTCGATCCATGCTGATGACTTGGAGGACCTCGAATGGAGCAATGTAGTAAGGGAGGCAAGCGGGGGAAAGGCCTAGACGCCCATTTAAAATTGTTTCGCTTGGATAGTTTTGAGAAGTCTTGGAGTCAATTAATTCCCAGCAGTCTGAATAGGAACTTGGAGATCATAGTATGGATCCATGACACATGAAGGGGAGCGTCATCAGGATTGAATGAAGGTGTCACGTAACCATCGCAACCTGCAATGGTTGCAATATTGCCGAGGTAGTGGTTATTCAGGGCCGTGGAGCGCCTCCTAATCCACTGTTCCGGCTACATGAGCGAAACACGACCGGATTGAACATCTGGTAGAGGAATAGAACGAACCTAGGCTCAGAGCAATACGTAGCTGGAGACAAAGTTACCCTCGAACATGAGTACAGACGCGAAATTTTGATATTTCCGCATTTGCTTTATCATTGCTCTTGGTAGACTGGCGTCGTGGCTCGCAGAGACAAAGATATCCAGAGCAATATCGTCACTCTAGCCGCCAGCGACGCGAGACAAATTATTTACATCGTGCTGACACTTTAAACTAGAAATATAACATTGCGTTCTGATAATTTCGCAAATATATCGACTAAAAAAGACAACCGTGAATCTTGTGTAAAGAGAGTTGAAAATAGCTCACTGCTTAGCCTGCGTCGCTTTTACCATCCGTCATGGCCTCTGCTGGTGGCTTAGGGGAAGGGAAGATTAAAACTGGCCGAGACCACCTCCAACTGGGCCACGAATGAAGTCGACATTATTCGTCTTCACCAATGAGTTTTCTCGTGCGCGAGTAAGCATACATCAGGCCACTCCGAATCGGAAGCAGGTGATGGAGAAGGCCTCAGTGGGCTGACGTCAGGCTTAGTCTGAATTGTACTTCTGTCTGCTGACCGCCGACAGGTGTGATATAGGCTAAATGATCAATTGATTGATTAATTGGAATCTACACTATCCTACTTCAGCTAAGCCTATAGTAGGTGTAGTATACTGTACATTTGGTCCACCCATGTCTCCGAGATTACTTTTAAGCATGGGCTGATGAAATTTCGGCTGCAATCATCACCCATGATCATCCATCTTCCGCCATGGCCCCTATCCCGTCTGCCCTCGCCTCTTCACCCGAGCAATATCATGCCCTTGGCCTCTCACCTACCACTATCGAGGTACGGGAAGACGGCCTTCGAACATCTCCTGAACAAAGAGGCTGCTGGGAGTGGTGGTACTTCGACACGCACCTAGCCAACGGCGCAAAGCTCGTCGTCGTCTTCTTCACAAAAGATCTTGCGAAGCCATACACGGGCCTTGATCCTCGCATCACCATCCAACTTGACACGCCCGACGGCCGTAGCTGGGACGTTCGGCGTGTCTTTTCCCCTCATGAATTCGCGGCGAGCAAGGAACGTTGCGATGTGCGCATATCAGCTGGCGAGGGAAAAGAGCCCTTTTCTTTCCGATGCGACGATAACCTGCAGACCTTTGACATTTTTGCCATTGTCGAGGACCTCGAAGTGAGGGTTCGCCTTACGAGGACTACAGAGCCATGGCGCCCTCGAACTGGGTACCTCGTATACGGCAAGGAAGAGAAGGAGTACTTTGCCTGGCTGCCGTCAGTCCCGCTGGGCAACGTGACGGCGACTTATCGAGTGCCTGGCGAGGAACCTGTGACTACCGAGGGTAACGGGTATCACGACCACAATTGGGGAAACGTTTCGTTGACAAAGGTCGTCAACCATTGGTATTGGGGGCGTGGTACTGTTGGGCCCTACACCTTCATCTCAGCATCGATTGACGCTGAGCGAGCGTACGGCGATAAAAAACTCAATGTGTTTATGCTCGCCCGCGATGGCTCCATTGTGGCAGACGACGGAACAAAGGTCGTTTTCACCGCCAGCAAGATTGCCGTCGATGCACCGACCAAACGTCCTGTGGCGGATCTCTTGCGATTCGAGTACCGTGATGGCGACGTACGCTATGTGCTCGACTATGAGAGGCAGAAGACAATCCTCCGCAAAAATCTCATCGATACCATACCTGGGTTTTGGAAATTCCTGGCTTGGCTGGTCAGGTTCGACGGCCGCTATCTCAGATTTTCGGGCGTCTTGAAGCTCAGAAAATACGACAAGGAAGAGTTGGTTGAAGAGTATGAGAGTGAGGCTTTGTGGGAGCTCATGTGGTTTGGAAAGGTCTTCGAACAAGTTGCTGAACACCCAGCAAATTGAGTTGAGCAGTCGCTCCCTTGAAGGTTTCTTTTCCCATACTATTATCAAACGTTTGCGATGTATCAGTTTGTCTTTATGCAGAAGGAGGTGGTCACGAGTGTTTTTTTTTACTTGCAGTTAAATCTTAGTTTTCTCGATAAACACTGGAAGCTCCCCTCAAGCTCACCTTAGAAGCCAATGGCCTGAGTCAAGGTTTCGCCGTTGTCTTTTCTAGCTTATCCGGGTAAAACCACTTCCCAGTATTCCCAGATAGCCTCGGCCAAGATTGACTCCATAGCCGACCCATGCCCGCCTTTCTACAGAACATGTCCGTCCCTGAGCTTGTATCATTGCTGATTAACCTGTCGCTATAATTCCCACTGAAACAATTCAGTTCCGTCTGGTCCCTGCCCAGCATCTGGCGATGTCAGAAGTTGAAATAATGCGACCGCTGAGCACTGGTATTTGGTGTCGCAAGGTAGCCGGCGAGACTTTCCAGGTCTTCTACAACGCGATAGCTTGCCTATCACCAACTTTGCGAAGATACCGGAGATCTAGCACAAAATTAGCTTCGTCAATCACTAGAATTTGTTTTGTGACGCGAAATGCACGTTGGGATAAGGAAGGAAGGACATAGGCGAGACACAGGTCATACATCCGAGCCATCACATACTTGATAATACGATTTAGGCTCAATCCTGTCACCAAGTTGGAATTGTGGTTGACTAGTCCTTCTTTTTCTCTGCCTTAGTAGCAATCATAGCATCAATCCTCTGCCAGCAGGTGAAGCCCTCAACCCAGCAGGTGAGAATCCACTTCCACCACAGACTGCTCCATCTGCGCACTCCGTGTCGGACCATACGAGTGCGATCGAAGGCAATCACCTCGAGGCTGTGAACGGCAGTCAGAGACCAGAAGCCGATCTTGATGATGGACTGGAATCGGGTCGGTCCACCTGGGAACCCGTTTTCAAGGAGACGCCAGGGGACGCTGCTGGGGACGAGCCATGGCAGGCCAACAAAACAGGCAACATTCAAGAGTACTCCAGAGAAAACGAATACACCAAGGCCACGCGGGGGTTTGTATTCCGCGATCTGGACTGGATGCGAGTTGGTAGACATGGCGAGGTAAAGTGGGGATGATTGTTCACCCGTTTTGTCGGTTAGACTGGTAAGGAAGGAGTGGTATTGGGAAATTGAGAAGGCGAGATCCCGCAGAAGATTCGAGTTTTCAAGCAGACGAAGTTCGAAGTCGTCTCCGAGGCAAGACGGTATCCGGCAGGTTGTCTGAGTGAGGCCTTTTATGTTTTGTGGGGGAAGCGCGGATGAGGCAACGTTAAGCCCACGTAACCAAAAATGAGGTCGGTAAATCCCAGTCTGGACTAGCTTGCGAGCGGGAACACTTCCCTCGGTCTCGGTATGGTTGATGCCCCACCAGTTGCCGAGGGCATTTCAAGCTTGTGATGGGAGACCGTAGTCAATATTCGAACCTTTTTTTCTTTATCATAATTAAACACTCGGAATAGACCCTAGTTGAGAAACTTCGAATGCTCGGTTTTCGGTATGCTTTCCGGAAAGTTCGAATAATTGCTTTGCTCAAGATATGTGAAAAGTTTTGCTCGGACAGATGCCACCTTCAATGCCACTGAGATTATTAAATCGGAATCTTTTCGCATGGCAGCTAGTCATCGTGGCTTGAGGAATTTATTATTTAATATTGACTTATAGGATCTAAGTCAGGGTTCTGGCCGTATTGCTGCTGCGGGACAAATGTGACGAGAAGGGTTACGATAAACGGTCGGTATAGGGTAAGCCGGGTACTGTGGGGTCAATACTGTAGACATCATGTCGGTCCGCGTTAGTGACAGGTCTCTACAAGTTGCTAGTACAGTGGGCTAGGTATAAGATAATAGCTCATGGATAGGTACTATAGGCGAAGTTAACCAGGTGTGTTAATTTGCTAGGGCTTTAAGTAATGGTCTAGGTAACTTGTTTTTGATTCATCTTGGAACGTCAGTGCACATGACTGATGTCGATTTTGGCCTTGCACCGTCACTGCGGGCATTTCCACAGTAGCTAGAAGTCAACACCCGATTACTACATTACAAAAAGAAGATCGGTATCTACCCAAACAGTTAGAGAAACATATGGACCCCTACACAGGAAGGCCTCACCTAGCGGATGGCTGCAAGACAGCGGAGGCTTTTGGGTATAATTTGGCTCCAGAAGATTCCGAATATTATTGAGAAGCTCAACATAGCTTTGTTGGGGCTTAGAATTCAGGGCAGTGATAAATGCCCACGACATTGCACCGGTAGCTTTAGAATCAATAGTTGCATCGGCACTGATGGAAGAAGTATGTTAGCCAAGTGTCCCTTGATAATAGGTGTGTGTGTACTTGCGATGTTTGGTCATCCTTGCTACCTGCCCACATAACAACATCTGCTGGAGATGTCCGAGTCTCGATGGTTTTTTGATAACCCTCATTTCCATTGAGAGCCGACTTGGTGAAATTGAGAATGCTACTGGCAATGCCTGCGACGTCGTCCTTCAAATACGCAGCATAAGCGCCGAGCAACCCTTGACCAGCTTCCTTGGCTAGATTTGGCTCCTTCAGAACTCCCTTGGTAGAGTAAACATAAGGAAGATCCATTGCAGTAGCAGAATGGCAGGAGTCGAAGATTGAAGTCAGCCTGACTCCTGGTTGGAGCGGCCGTACAACGCGCCAATGTATCTCATCATCAACGATGTGACCTGCTCGCTGCCAATCAACCGGATATATGACATCGTCAAACCCATCATCCTCATCTCCATCTAAGTCTTCAGTTCGCCCACCGTGACCTGGGAGAACGTTAGTAATTTAAACTAGGGATAAAAGAATAGTCAACTTCCCTGAGTAATGAAGAAAAAGCGAGTCATGAGGGCGCGCATCCTTGACTAGCCACTCAAAAGCTGCGATTATGTTCGCTTTTGTTGGATGCATAATTGGGTTAGATTGGTCATCTGTTAGAATAACCATATCTTCTCGTTTGTAATTGTAGCGTTCGACGAGAAAGGCCGATACATTGTGTACATCATTGATACAACCCCTCAGCTCGCCCTTTTGGCCAAAGTAATTGATTCCGATGAGCAAGGCCTTGCGACGTCCGGTACAATTGGAATACTGGAATTTGTAGCCTTGCGGAGCGCCGTTGCCGAATTGTTGGGGCGCAGTCGGCGGTGGAGGGCCAGGTCGTGCCGATCGATTGATGTTACCGAATTGTTTGAGGGGGAAGCCATACGCATCTAGATTAAGCGGAGGTGGTCGAGGTGGCGCGTTGAAAGGTGGTTGAGGTGGTCCGTAACCGTTGAATTGCGAATGAGGAGGAGGGAATGGAGGTGGAGGTCCAGGAGGCGGTCCAGGAGGTAATCCTTGAGGGAACTGACTTCTGTAGCCGTTCTGCTGGGGATAGTATGGAGGAGTGCCATGATATGTTTGATAGGGAGGGGGGATATTCCCATAATTCTGGTGTTGCGGAGGGAACGACGGTTGTTGGGTTCGCTGGGCTGGGCTGTAGTAATTTTGATCAGGATAAAAGGACATGGTGGGCGACAATGCAGAATCTCTGTCGATACAGCTCTGTGTCGCTGCAGAATGCTCATCTGCTACGATTTGTCCCTGCAAATGGAAATTCCTCAGTCACAACGCGTGAGAATGTGATATAATTATCAAACGTGCCGGCCAAAAAATTGTTACAAGACAGTTGAGATGTTTTCGCTCACTCCGCCAAGCGCCACACCACGTCAGCCCCAGTCTAGTAGACCGGATCGGGTAACTCGGCTGCTCAAAGCAACTTGGCGTTTACTGCGTAAGACGGCGACTGCACAAACACGAGCAGGGCTTACAATCTGTCCCATAAATGACGTTTCTGTGGGTTCTGAGCCCTTTGTCTCTTCCCGCCACGGGAAAATCCGCGGCTTGGCCGTAGATGTTTCGGCGCCGTGATGTCATCCCGTTGCAGTCCACTGCCGTGTTCTCCGGCATGGCATCGGCGATGCCGGTGCTTAGCGTCGGCCGCGGAGCACAGCCACCATGACGGTGAATATCAGAGTTGGAGAGATCAATACCCCCAGAAATCACTGGCTTTTACCAGACTTGGTGGAGATTTCATTTGCTGGGCTTGACGATGACAGCATGGCCTGTGAAACTGGGGGAGAACGGCGCCCCTCAGGAACCACGGATGAAGCTATCCGCTAACATCAAGGGCTGCTCCTCGATCACACACGTAGTTACTCTTCGCCGATGAGTCTTGTTCTAGCGAACACGTCCACTACGTCTCCACTATCCAATCGTCAAACGAAAAATTGGCCACATGATTCGAGATTGGCGACTCCACCGGTCACATCCCATTACGCTATTTCGGATCAAAAATGCCGTTGAATCTAATCGTGTCTAGGAATGGCAGGACATCTCACTAAACAGGTCTAGCATATATTTGAACTGCATATGCGTTCTAACTCTCCCTTGTAGTTAGTCTTTCGCTTAATTCCATACCATTCAAATCCCTCTCTGCCTTTCTTGACAATTTATGCCCTGGAGGTGGTGAGTTGAGAGCCAGAAGACCTCATATTCTCATGCTGAATAGATGCTGACAACGACACCCTCCGCCTCACGATTTTGTCGTATCAATATATTTAAAAATCTTAGGCATACTATCCAACGCAAGACTCCATCCTATCAGTCCTTTCCTGATGCCAATAACTAGGGGCAAATATATCTGTTAGAGCACATAGACCATCTTCTCCAGTTAACATTCCATTTTAACTCTTCCTTAGCCCGTAAATTGGCTCTACATTGTAGTGTAATAGACTGTACAGACTGTGGCTTGCCGCATATCTCAATGTGGGATGGCTCTGTGAGGTGTTGAAGTGTATTCATGCTGGAATTAAAGCTTGTCACTCAGAAATGTGCTTTAAAACTTCCTACACAAAACCAACATTCAGTTCTCACCCTGTCAGAACGACCGATGTGTTTTCACTGAGACAAGGCTCTCGTTGAGGTCATCGCGTGTGACTGGAGTGTGCTGGGCTTGCGTGTTATCACCACGGGTTCAGCAATTCGGCAACTGGGGTCGTTGAATTCCTCCACGGCGATACACAGTATCTTTACAACATGGGTATTATTATGTGACAACAAAGAATCCCGATGGGGAATATTCGCAAGAACAGCACCAGGCTTAAGGCTTACTACACCAGCTCAGCTGGCCTCGCGGAACCTGTGGTCGTATTCAGACCCTGTCACTAAAGTCAGCTAGTAGTGACGTAGGAGTGGCATGTAAAATACGTGTCAATGCAGCTGCTTGTTTGTCCAGCTATTACGGTCACAGCGATATGTGCCTATACTAAGTAAATATTTAAGTCGTTCGCCGAGGCTTAGCGATGTTGGAGGATTGGTGTTAAGGCGCAAGTATGCCCCTGCCATCCTATGTTCGGAGACATAAACGCCACCATCATCATCAACCACCAAGAATTCCATCCAATGCCTTCTCGCCACGATGTCTTGGACCACTACCCTCCTATAATATCTTCCATCTCAAGTTATGACCGAGCCGATACCTTGCCGTCTCGTTGATCTCGGCTGTGCAAGGGCGCCTGGATTTGGGTGTGTTTGGCTCAGTGTTGCAGTCATCACACTAACCCTGTGACATTCTGGCAGCAACAAGTCAAATTAAGGTGATCCGTAGTTGGCAGTGTAGGTTCCTCTGCGTCCTGATGGGGTGGAACAAAAACTATCCGCTTGTTCGTTGGACTCATGCTCTCTGTCGCGTTACCAGCTGAGGCCAAGGGGAATGCAGTGTCACTGTACGGTCGATAATAATGGCTTGTGGCCTGAATGTGGGTTGCCCTGTTGTCTCGATATCCTGGAAAAGCACTCACCTAGGTCTGAATTCTTGAAGTTTCTCACTTGGTCGGTATCAAACTTTTTGTACATGGCAAATTACAGCGGGTCTCAGATTTATTATTTAGGCAGCCGTTCAGGCAGCATGGCAAGACCAGTTGCTTAGCCGCTTATTCATCTGCTACGTGTCCCGACATAAGATGATGCGACATTTTCAAACCTGCAACTTGAAAGATTCCTCTTAGCAATTGACACAGATGAGCGCGGCGCATCTTACAAAAGGAAAGAAAAACAGACAAGCCATTGCATTCTTGCTACTCAATTATTGCCAATTTCCTAATGGCTTCTCTCGAGTCTACACCTCATGAGGTCATTCTCGAGATCGTTCACCGTCTCGCAGCCCACGATCTTACCAAGCTCGCCCGGTGCTGCAAAAGCATCGGCAGCATTGTCGAGCCGTTGCTATGGGCTCAACTTGAGCTTCATGGTGAAGGCCACCACGAGTCGCCGGGAGAGTTGAGCGACCCGCCGCCTTTCATACCAGCCGTGCAACGACAATACCACCCCCCAGGAGACCGCTACAGTAGAGACGGAGAAGCAAGTTATAGAGCACATAGACTATTTTCTAGCTTGCAGGATGTTCGATCTCATGATGAGTCGAGGCTGATTGCCATCACTAGACGAGTCCGAAGCTTATGCACCGTTGTCGATAGCCTTGAGGTGTGGAATCTCCTGCCCTACTTCACGAACCTTGAGATGGTCGAGCTACACGGTATGTTTGTGCATGGCTTCCTTGAGCTTCAGCTCCAAGGCCGTCGCCTACCGCACCTCCGCTACGCAAAGCTCTTTGGGTACGTCCCACGCGCTGTTGCTACATGGATACTCAGATCCTCCACGGCACTGGAGCGCTTGGAACTGGGGCTTCTGAATAGACCCATCTCGGACCACCGGATATACGATCCACCGTTTCCGCCCTTACCTGAGGAAAAACTGGGAGCAGACGACGACGGGGATTCAGACTACGGCAGCTTGAACGACGAATATGTGATCCCGCGGCCATTGGGTGGAATATTCCCGGACGAGGACATCAATTTGCCCGCACTTCGACACTTGCACCTGTGTCAGCCTCGTGGTATGGATTGTTATTGGGGTACTGGTTCATACTCCTGGTCTTCTCGCGCCGAGATAGCATTGTTGACCGACTGGAGGCATTTACTTCTTACTTCCAGCAAACGACTAGAGACATTGGTGTTGCAGCAGAGACCCGGTGCCGAAATGATCGAGGGCGATTCAACTAGCAGTGCGGAGTTCCTTCAAATTGAAGAGACTGGTATCGGCAGCAAAGAATTGCTCGACATGCTCGAGGGTGTTCTGTTTCAAGCTGGCGTCTTTCCTGCCTTGAAAAAGGTGTATCTTTATGGCATCACTGTCGGTCAAGATGCTGATCAAAATCCATCCGCGTCAGTCCCTGGTGGTCGTTTCATGTTGCGTTTGAAGGATCGAAACATCAGGTGCGAGGCCAGGTTAGGGACATGGACCCGTTTCGATTCGGATGACGGCCAAGCGCTCTGGACGGAGTGGTGCGGAGTTAATGAAGATGATCACGAAGACGATGATAGTTATATGGAGATGCGGTGCGATACTTTACTGGCGAAGGTATAGGTGGGCATCATGGATGTTAGTTGAAGTCGATTTGGCCGTTAATCCCTATATCTCTATTCTTACTTCTGTAGAGTAACAACGATTAAGGACGAACAACCGGTGTCGATGTTTCCTTGAAAATCAAAAGTTATTTCGCTCAAGAAACGGGTCAGAGAGAAAGACGCAGCTGTTGAACAACTTCTCAAGAGTGGCGTCTTCCATACCAGAGGCAAACGCTGCTTTCTCATTTTCCTACACTTACCGATCTAGTTTGCACCGGCTGAAATCGACACACTGATTCTTGCTTCACTGTACCCTTGTATTAGTTTATCCATAGTATTGGTGTATCCTTGGCATTCACCGAACCGGTTCAGAGTCCTGAAATATACTGGCTGTACCGTCGTTGAAACAGATCTGGTTCTTTTTACAGTAAAAGAGACTCCTAAAAAGGCCGCTTGTGATTCCTGACATGCGAAATTAGAATAGTAGCCATCGGGCGCGAATACGCGAATTCGCGCCACGTAAATCACTACTATAGCACTTGATGAGAAGATGCATTTTCACAAGGACCTCGCTGCGTGCGCGGGCCAGATGGGTTATATTTGATCATTTAACTCATCAATGGTACAGTTAATACTCAAGCAGTTACTTCCAAGTCAGCTTCTCCTTTGTCCATTTCGCAGTTCCCGGCAATAAAACCACAATGCGCACATTGCGTCCCCCACCCTTATGCCCAGTCGGATTCGGGCCCCGAATCATCCTCACGCATCGCCCCGGGACGATGATGTTTGCATCTTGATCGAAACAACCCACTCTCTCAACCCGAGTCGATTCAATCTCCTTCAGAAGGGATGTTCCTAGATGAAGTGCTCCAACCATCTGCGGTATTGTGGCCACAAAGCTTTCCCGTTGTTCAACGGAATCAGGATCCAGCTTCAGTGCCTTCTTCAACCCCATTCCAATTTCATCACGTCTGTTGTTACCGTTCTGATTCTGGCCCGAGACGGAGTAAAACCTAGGCTTTTCGATTTCCGGAAGATATCCCTTCGTCCACTTCATCCCGCCGTCGCGAAAGCAGAGCTTCGTTTTGTTCACTTTGCTGATGTAGGAACAAACACCCTTCAGCACAATCTTAGGAACATCATCCATAGCTGCCACAGGTCGGATTCGGTCTGGACCTGACCACTTCTTGAAAAGGGAGATGGAGCCATTGCTACCGTCGGTGTATGTTAGAACGGCTAGGCGCTCGTCGTACCCCCCAAACTTGCCTGAATCAAACAATTGTTTTTCAAGGTCATCCAGATCCGGTTTGCTTGAACCTGCTGATGGATAGAGAATTGTGCGCTCGCTGGCTCTTAAAAAGGCAAACAAGTCTTCTCTGTGGACCAGACCCCGAAGCATCTTCGCTATTCCTTCCAGTGTCACCCCGATCCCTAGGACTTCAACTCCTACTTTGACGCCCTCGTAGAGGGCCAAAATTGCTTTATGTCTTTCTTCCATCGCGTCAGGCTTTGGTGGTAGTTTCTCTTGTTCAAAATCCGTCCAGCGGAAAAAGTTCGCATCTTGATGCAGCACTTGCTCATCTGCGAAATCGCAAGAGTCTTTTTCATTATCAGCGCCTCCATTCTTCGAGGGGGTTTTCTTCGCCCCAGAGCCGTTTCCCGTTCCAGAGTCGTCCTTGTTCCCAGAGCTATCTTTTGCTTCGGAGCCTCCCGTTCCAGAGTTTCCCGTTCCAGAACCGCCCTGTTCCCCGGAATCATCCTGTGGCCCAAAATCTTTCCGTGTCTGAGTGGTATTATCCCCTTCGAGATCGTCATCTTCTTCAAAGTCATCTTCGCTTTCATCTTCTGTATCCTTTAATTTTCCTAGCATGTCCAGAAATCCAATAATGCTCTTCCCGAGACTCGCCTTATCCCGTTCAAACTCGTCATACTTGTCCTTGATTCGCATCCTGAAGATTTCGTTTGCAATGAAAGGAGCAAGAGCTTCCTGCAATGGCTGGGGGAAGCCATGAACTTCTCTCATAAGCTCATCCTCGTCATTTTTTGGCCTGGAAGATTCACGGTCAGACTGACTCGGAGTGTGTGGAAAGTCCTGTCCCTGACCCACCTCTTTCTCCAAGGGAGATCCCACGACCCGCCGTTCAGTATCTTGAATGAAGATATCGCTTCGATCCGTCAATGAGCTGGACTCCGAGACCAAAACGTCTCGGAATGAACGCCTCCCAGGCTTGTCGGTTGTGGGCTTCTCAGGACCCAGCAGTGTGCGGCGCAATCTCCAACCCTCGTATGCTTGTGATGGATATCTTGACTCGGTAATCCTCGCTAGCTCGGTGATAGTGAGGCCCTTTGAGTTGGGAATGGACTCATCGACGGTTGTGAAGTTATACACCTCTGAGTCAAGATCCACGAGTCGATCTCGCAGGGCAAAAAAGAGCTGGTAAATCTCATTCGTCTGCCACCTTGTGCCGTAAAGGAAGGTTAAAATCTCCACAACCGGATTGCCGAACGGAGCATAGGCGAGGATATTCTGATAAACGTCTCCATCGCCAGTCTTTTTTCCAGACGCAATTCTGTCCTTTGCTGCTATAACCTCCTCGCTTACTCGCGGGAATGGGATAACTTGACCACCTGGATCTTTTGTCATGACGGCCTCGAGTATCCAGGTCAAAACAAGATCTGACAGCACCTCGTTGGGTTGAATCACCTTGCTGACCCAGGGCGACCTCGCCAACAGCCGTTCTAACCGCCCGCCCCCAAACATGCGAAAGAAACGAAAACGCTGCCGGCCCAGGTCATAGTGCACGCCAGGAAACCACTTTTGAGTAATTCCGAAGTTTGCTGGCTTCCCGGGGTGGTGATTCCGCTTGGCAAGACAAGGGGGGAAAACATAGAGGTTGTCGTGAAGGGACAAGGCGTGGTACACCAGCTCGACGACAGTTGAGACGTTTTGATCATGGAATTGAGGCCAGTCCAAGCCTATACCACCGACAAAGTCTGGAATTCCTAGGCTGCCGACCGTGTCAAACAGCCCCATGAATTTCACGGGAGGTGTCAATTCTGGATCCCCGGGTTGCTCGTCTCCAATCAACGGCCAACTGGCCTTTTGACGGAACTCCAGAGCCTGAGCGGCGTGCGGGTCATTAGCGGGATCGGTGGAGCGGTAGATCCGGTACACTTGGTGGCAGAGTAGGTCAGTTTTGGCGTGGTCGATTGTGCCGTCGTCGTGGATTACAGGTTTGACGATGCCGCAGTTGTTGATCATGCCGGCAACTGATCGGACCATATACGCTCCTCTAGACAAGCCAAACATCCAGATCTGGCGCTCGGGATATGTGTAATTGCTGACGATGAATTTGTATGCCTCTATGCATTGCGCGGCAATATCTTGCGCCGTTATTCCGTTGAAGACATAGCTACCTTCATATTAGTAAATGATGGTCAATGGATTGATGACGTACTCAAGAAAAGTGCTTTCCAGCCCAACACCGTGGATATACCACGCTTTGTCTTTCATTACATGCACATCTGTGTCTGTGGGATCCTTGATTTTGATTCCGACCATATCGGCCAGTCGATAGATGTTGGATCGTGTGTCTGCCTCGCGACCACACCAACTACCATCTCCGAGGAGAATGAGTGGCCTGGGTTCGGTTTGTGTCGTTGCCATTTTGATGTTTTAGCAATGCCAAGGTGAATTGACACTTGAATCTCGCTGCTCAATGTGTGGATATGTGTCCGATAGTGGGAGAAAATCGTGACCAGCGGGTCGAATGATTAAAAATGAGACCCAAGTCCTACGACCCCGTCATCCCTTCGTAACCACGAGTAGTCTTGTGAGCACTATGTAACCTTGTTAGCCACCGTTATATCGAACAAAGCGACTGTAACCGTGATCAATCAACCGACGACCATGGAACCTTCCGGTCGTGCCTATCAGGGACCGCCACGAGCGGGTGGCGCACCCACCTCTTTTCAGCTCACTTTGAGAGGCACCCCTAGGACTTGTAGGCAGCCGTTTTCACATGCTAATTGTTTCACATGCTGATCGAGGTTGAAACTCCCTGCAACAGATCCAGGCTTCCAGGCTCAGCCCTGTTATTCCATTTCTTGATGCACTACGGAGTAACGAAGCCTATTTCCGGTGCGTGTGCGTAGTCCCCGCGAATCACATGATGCGGGAATTACCGAGGCATATTGATGACTAGGTGGGAGAGTGCTAAATAGACTATTCGACTTGACGATAATAGCAGCGCTATACCTGCTCTGTTTGACTGCTCGTATCGCACTGACCATGATGATCGTCATGATGATGTCTGTGTTGTTTTACCCTGAAGGCTTGATGCTGGGCCCCCACTTTAGTTAGTCATCGGGGCTGACTCCTCCGTCTCACAGGAAGAGAAGCTGGCTTAAAATGCATGATAATGAAAGCATATTTAGGTTAGGGGATATACGGAAACTGTTGGAAGTTGACCCTGTATTGCGGAACCTCTGATAGACTGATATCCTGACCTTAGTTTGGAGGGGAGTCTGATAACTCTTCTTCCAGGCGGTCCCGATAACCTGTACAAGCAATCATCAACATCATAACGGCTTTGAACACTGTCTATTTGATCTGTTTGACCCGAACGCTGGGTCACGTGTCCAACATCAGCTAGCGTCACCTGATTACCCCGCAGCCTGTTGGCAAGGAACGGGCGAATCCATCATGACATTTTATTTCTCAAAGCTTCGTCTAGACTAAACACATTTGTTTTCGAGTGTTTTTCTATCTCACATGAGTTCACCGATTCACGAATTTGACCCAGGCGGTGATACAGAGCTTGTTCTCATCACCACACCACGACGGTTCCTATGGAAAGATGATATGTTGTGGATGGCGATGAAGGGGAAGAAAAAGCCTCCTCTCGAGATTCCCAAAGAGCTCTTGTTAGAGCTCATCGCCGAGGAATTTCCTCGTGCTGAAGAAATTTCTCCTGCCGAACAATTTCCTCCTGCTGAAGAACTTCCTCCTCCTGCTGAAGAACTTCCTCCTCCTGCTGAAGAACTTCCTCCTCCTGCTGAAGAACTTCCTCCTCCTGCCGAAGACGCCCCTACTGAAGAAGCCCTCGCTGATGAGTTTGGCGAAGAACCCTCTAGGGACGGATACAATGATACCGGAGGAAGCTCTGTCAATGGGGTCACTTATGACACTAGGAGAGGAGGGGTCGACAAACCTCGAGGCGACTACCAGCTCGAACGTCACGAAAAACTTATTCGAATGCGCGTGTCGTCGCGACACTTGATCCTCACTTCACCCGTTTTTCAAACAATGTTAGACGGGCCATTCAAGGAAGGCACTATTTGTGAATCAGGTCGTCAGATCATTACGAGGACGTGGGACGTCGAGGCGATGACGATTATACTAAACATCATTCACGGTCGTCATAGAGAGGTGCCAAGATCTCTCAGCCTAGAAACGCTTGCAAAACTTGCCGTCGTTGTTGACTATTACGAATTTCACGAAGTTGTTGAGGTGTTTGTCGATGTCTGGCTTAACACGTCGACTAAGGATCTTCCCACCGCCTATGGTAAAGAGTCTACGCTTTGGCTGCTTGTGTCATGGGTATTTGGTCAAGCTGAGATATTCGAGACTATGACGAGACTCGCAATGAAGCATAGCACAAATGAAATCGCCATGATAGACCTTCCAATCCCGGGAGAGATTTTGGGTGAGTTTTGCGATCACAGACTCTTCATTTTGCTGATCAGTCTTGCAGGCAAAATTGATGAGAAACGCCAAGAAGCTCTATCCCTGACCTTCAACTCGCTGTATGGCTTGCTCGACACCCTTTGCGATGAATCCCCTTGTTCTTACGAATGCTCATCTATGCTTCTTGGCTCATTGAGTAAGGAACTGAAGCGATACGGGATTCTGTCACCGAGAGTCACTAAAACATTCTCTGGTCACAGTGTGAAGACCGTCATGAATATGGCGAAAGGCTTTCGTCCCCTTACTTGGACCCCCTCCGTTGGTTTCAGGGTTTACCACGGCCATTCCTGTAGCATCATCGCACAGATAGAGCCAGCTCTAGAGGAGATAGAGGGAGGTTTGCAAGGATTGAAACTGGAGGATTATCAGCGTCCGATGAACCGGAAAGCAAACTTGTAATTAACACGGGTATGAATGAATATAGATATTAATGTTTCTATTATATTAATGTTGCGCTTTGACATAAGGCATGAGGTGTGAAGTAGCAGTAATTGCAATTAAATTAACTAAAGTCAGTAGATAATAAGATTAATATAACTTAATTAAGATACTCTAAGTTAGTTTAATAGAAATAAATTAAATAATATTCTTAGTAACTACTTTAAATAGTATAATTCTTTTTTAAGAGTATTATTAAGAGGTTAAAGTGCCCCAGTATATATATACCCAGAGGGGGGATAAAAAAGCTTAATAGTAAAAAGAAATACTAAGAATAGTATAAATAATATAAACTATATACCCAGTTATAATTTATCCTTAACTTTAAGATACTAATAAGAGTATCTATAATATAGAAGAGCCGGTATAACCCCCCTGCCGCTCTATTTTATATCCTGGTTAGGTATTAGGTAACATCTTATATATTAGGAGAGACAAACAGATCCTCCGACACCTATTGCATCCAGCGTAAAGAAATTAATACGCTTCCACTTCTCTAGCATTATTTCCACTTACCTCCACAATCTTATAATTACCCGTCTATTTTCAACCACGAGCTAAGCTGGCACAAATCGGCTCATCCAGTCGATTGACAGCTCTCTGATGCGGATAAATCAACAATCGGCAGCCTTATAAATACCGGGAATAACCTTATATTTCTCTTCAATTAAGATAACCATATTAGACCCTTATCCCTATACGTTTTCCTATGCTGAAAAAACCCTCAACTTGGTCTGTTTGGCCCGAACGCTGGGGTCACGTGTGCAACCTGTTGGCAAGGAAAGGGGGTAAGCCACGTTGACTTCAGATATGCAACCTCATTTACATAGGTATCCGTTGGCCAAGAGGGGGGCAGAGAAGCTACAACAACTTCATGCAGCTAGGAGGTTATTCAGAGAGTCAATCAGCCAGCCTCACGTAGTGCTAGGGACGCCAATTCCACCAACCCAACAGAGCTGTGTTGACGTTGATTTGACATCGAGTCTACCTTGTGAAAACCAGTCCAGCATTACAAACTATATCGGAAATCCGGGTTCTCAATATCAGTCATATCCTCAAAGGCATGAGCGTGCGCGATTTTCTCATCACCCTTATTGATGCCCGAAGCCGACACGTCACCGATGTCAACAGCAGCCGCTGCCATCTTGCTGTGATTGCGTTTGGTCAAGATAATTCGCATCACAACTAGGGTGATGTTGAATAGCGCGTAGATGATAAAGTGCGCGGTGAATGCCTTGGTGTATCGAGGTTTGTCACTGTCCTGGAATATCTGTGGCGCCGTCATGTTGCCCGCGGCCCAGAAAAGGAAGGTAATAGTTAGAGTCGTCGACTTTTTGGTTTGACCAGCGATGTTGCGCGAGATCAGAGAGAAGATCAAACAGCCGTTGCCGAGGAAGAACTGGGTGCAGTAGAAGGCGATGAGGAGCCCGATGCGATTAGATGCTGTTGGTGGGAAGCTGTAGATGATGGCAGTACCAATGATGGGTGGGCTCGGAAAGGTTAGGGCATAGTTCGTGTTTGTGGGAAGGAGTAGGAACTTACATGGTCCAGGCATGCATAACCATAGACGTTTGCTTTGTTGCCGTGGCCAGCCAAGCACCGCCTACCATGACCAAGACGGTCACAGCTCCCTGGGCAATGTTCAACAGCTGCGTCTGCAGATAGGTAAAGCCGAATGACGAGATGATGAGGTTGGAGAAGACACCGAGACCGCCGATGATGAGAGTCGACAGGACCTGCAGCATCACGTAACACCAAACGATGGGGTCCGTAAGGGCTTCGACCATCTGATAACGCTTCCAGACCTTGTTCTGGATACCAGTCTCGTTGGCTCGGACGCGCTCAATCATGAGTCGCTTCTGGTCTTCATTGAAGCACTTGGCCTTCATGGGCGAGTCGGGAAGCCACCAGCCGACGAAAACAGCCCAGACACAAGTCGCCAGACCGAGGACCATGAACAAGAGTTGCCAAGACTTGACGACTCCATCGTCGCCATCGGTGTTATAGTGCGATACGCCCCAAGCGATTATACCACCAAACTACAGTTGGCTGAGATTAGTAACTAGACAGGCCGAGGGTCGACAGTCATCACATACCATGAGGACAACACCTTGCATACAATACCACAGCGACGTCAAGAGGACTTGCTCTTGCGTTGTGTACCACATGCTTGTCATGATGATAAAGGCAGGTTGCACACAACTCTCAAACATTCCAAGCAAAAATCGCACAGCCATAAGCGAAGCGAAATTGTGAGTTGCCGCAGAGCAAGCGACAACAGCACCCCAGCAAAAGATGTTGACGGCCAGATACTTGGCAACGGGCAGCTTCTGAAGCAAGAAATTGGTCGGATACTCTCCCACCAACACGCCCATGTAGAGAATGGTGCCCAGCCAGTTGTACTGATTGCCAACGAGATTTGCGTCCTCCTTGATGTTCATGATGGACGAGAAGTTGAGAGTCCCCTTGTCCAGCGACTGGCAGAAGTAGGTGCCCAGCATGCACCCGAGGATGCGGCGGTTCACGGCCCAAAACAGCTTCTTGTTGGTGGCCTCGTCAATGTAGATTGCCTCTTGGCCGGCGTATGCTGCGGTCTGGCGAGGAGCTTGTTAGTCATTAAGCGGTTTGTCTCAATTGACAAAACCCACCTCAGCATCCTTGGTTTTTTTACAGTTTCCCGAGTCATCGTGAGAGAAGGAAATCTCGTCGGGTCTTTTGTTGTCTGCCATGGTTGAAGAACTGTTCCAGACTGGCTATGGGGATTGAATTAAGGGTGCGGGGGTGCTGATTTAGATGCAGAGACGAGAGTGAATCTGGGGAGATGATCTACTCTTATTCTTGCTGCCGTCTTTTGGGACGCCATGGGGTTAGCTCGGTATCGTTTAGGGGACATTTGACTCGGATCCGTCACTTTGTCCGAGTGCGGGGATGCTCCATATTGCGGGGAATATCGAGGCCGCCCTCGCCGAGTCCAATCTTGAATTGCCCTGAGGAAGCATTGCTGCGGGATAGAGAAGGGGACTGCTGGTCCAGGCACCCTTGCCGCTGCTTACTACCCTGGAGACGTCTGAAGCATTAGTTGTGCTCTATTCAACTCATGTCAAGGCATATGGTACGCGAAAATGGAGTGGATGCATCGGGATTCTCGCTTCGCGTAGCTTTGAGAATGTTGTGATTCAAGCAATGCCCCTGGGTTTCGGGTCAAGTCCCGGGACCTTAGCCGAACCTGAACGAGGTCCTCCAACCCCGTACTGTCAATTCGCTCTTATTTCAGAGCTTCGGACCAAGTTCCGGGACTTTGGCCGAGTCCGAAAGACTACAGCCCGTCCAAACGCGTGGTGTAATTCAATGCATTACCCCAAATCCACGATTTCGGATCAAATCCCGGGTCCTCAGCCGAAACCGAAAGGCTACGGTTCGCCCAGATTGATACTGGTGGTGTTAATTGGCTTTTCTTCGCAAAACTTCGGACGAATCTCCGCGACTTTGTCCTAAAGTGGGAGAGCCCTCGGCAAATCTAAACACGACCGCCTTATGTAATGCGCGACTTTTGGAAAAGATGGCGGCTGCAAATAAAGAAAGATGCCCGCGATACGTGTTGGTCTAAGACGCAGATAATATATCCGTTGGGTATTTTGGCAAGAGTTTGTAATTTCACCGGCCCCATTTGACTGACTGTAACATTCCAAGTCTGTCCCTGATTTAAGCAAGGCCACGATGGAATACGCGCGGTAAGGCCAGCAGATATTAGCCCTGCTCCCTCGACGGGCTAGTTATTGACACTTTTCGTAGGGTTGGTACCTCAGGGCTTTACGTCTCCAAGGTTATCCTCGGGGCCGCAAGTTTTGGTTCATCGAAATGGCAAGCATGGGTCAAGGACGAAGAGGAGGCGTTGCCGTTGTTGGAACACGCCTTCAATATGGGGATCAACACTTGGGATACAGCTGATGCCTATTCAAATGGTCGATCTGAGGAAATCGTTGGCAAAGCGCTCAAAAAATACAACATTCCTCGCGAGCAGGTCGTCATTCTGACCAAAATATTTTACGCACTCGACCCTGTCAACCAAACGCCGATATCCCAAAACATGGACAGAACGAAGCGCCACCTCGTCAACCGGGTAGGCCTTTCCCGAAAACACGTCCTTAGCGCAGTAGCCGATAGCGTTGCGCGCCTGGGAACCTACATTGACATCTTGCAAATCCATCGTCTCGACCGCGATACCTGTCCGTTGGAGATTATGAGGGCGCTGAACGGTGTAGTGGAGAGTGGCCAGGTGCGTTATCTGGGCGCCAGCTCGATGGCGGCTTGGGAGTTCCAAAAGCTGCAGTACATAGCCGAGACCCACGGCTGGCATAAGTTCATCAGCATGCAGAATTACTACAACATCTTATACCGCGAGGAAGAGCGAGAGATGATTCCGCTCTGTCGAGACCTAGGCGTAGGCATTTTGCCCTGGAGCCCGTTGGCAAGAGGCGTCTTGGCCCATCCATGGGATGATCGGTCGTCGAGCAGAGAGCAGACCGATAAGCTCCTGCAGAACATGGTTAGGGCTGGGGGTAAAGAGAACGAGGTGGATAAGGAACTCGTGAATCGCGTGGCCGAGGTGGCTGAGAAAAGAGGCGTCAAAATGGCGACGATAGCACTTTCATGGTGTCTAAGGAAAAACGTCTATCCCATTTCAGGTTTGGGGACAAAAGAAAACATCAACCACGCGGTAGAAGCAGTTAGCTACGAGTTGGCAGACGAAGATGTCTCGTATATTGAGGAAGTATACCAGCCTAAGAATGTACAAATGTAAATATATTTCTTTTCAAATTTATTAATGCTTCCATCTAGAGTTACTAGGTCAGATCTGGATCTTTTATTGGGATCACAGTGTTTCGAGGGTGTAGGACCATTCAGCGCAGTTGTGATCACGGTTCCGGTCGAGGTAATTTACTGAATGGTAATTTACCTATCTGACCAAAGTTTTTGACGTCATAAGCTTCTAGGTATTTTGTATGTCAAAAGCCTCTCATTGGCTGATGTCCATATTATCTCCACTATCTTCCAAATCAGTCTCTTCCCAACCCCAGCCATCGACAACAATAGAGTCTTGGAAGGCGTTTTCTACCTTTACTAGCTGAGCAACATCAACTGTCTCCCAGTTTTTGACAACCATCGGTTCTGTCGGATTATGTTTGACAGTCTTGAGCCTCGTGAGCACCTGACTGTTCATATAGATGAAAGTCTGTTGCTTTCGCCCGTTCGTCGTCGCTCGCGGCCGCCTTCTGCACGGCCGAGACTGGTCGCGACAAGGTCATCCTCCGCGAGTTCTGGACAGAGCTGGATAATGACCAAATGCAGGTTTGCAGTCGATGCTAAGAGAGTTGGTTCTAGATGAAGATTGATTGCGATGGCATTTGTTCGCGTTGTTATTGCAGGGATGAGAAGCGCCAGCCCGACGAGCCATATTTCGTGTCTGCGGACAATCAGCTCGACTTTGGCCCTGTATCGGGCCGGTTGCCCAGATCACGCCTACCGAAGAGTCGTTGATTGCTCGTGTTCACGTCCACGTGAACATTATGCTTGTGCGAGGGCACGTAATTCACTTTCTCCGGGAGGTTGGCTTAGTGTACAACCAGCTTCGCGATGTGGCGTTGGCACATGTCAAGGCCATGGAACTGGAAGAGGCCCCTAGCAAGCGCTTTTTCGTGACTGCTGGCTTCTGTAGAAATGCGGGGCTGGTCAAGATCATCTGGGACAGCTTCTCGGAGCCGCGAGACAAGTTGCCGGATGAGAATCACTGGGGCGGGGAGCCGAACCCGAACATGCAGTGTTTTGGTTATGACACATCTCGCGCAATGAGGATCTTGGGGATGACCTGGACACCGTATGAGAACCCGGTAGTGGATTCAGTCAAGTCTTTGATCAAAGAGGAATGAAATAAACCCCCTTGGGTGGGGGGCGCATACTCGAAGCGCTCTATCAATGTAACACAGTATCCAATCCATCTGTGAACCGTTTCCTGGGACGCCCTCAAGGTAGAGGGCCTTAATGTTCTTGTACATTCGAACCCATCTATGCTGCAAATGTATAGCTGCCAACCATAGCATGGACAAGCCAGTAGTCCAAGTCCTGCTTATTTCTCACCACGTCCGCAACATCCTTGGCTATCTTTATGCAGCCCATCTCGGCCATATACTTTAAGCAACGTTGGATCTAGTCTCGTATAAGGGTGTCGGCTGAAACTTGATTAGTAATATCGAGTAGAGCGAGTAAAGTACAGTACTGAAGACTCTTCGGCAGCGAGAAACCCACGGTGTTATCTGGCTGTATCCTCGGTAAGGCGAATTGAGATACTGTGGTGTAAATCCGGTGCGTAATATCGCAGATGCGAGCCAGGAATAATTAAATTATAAATTAAAAAAAAAACTTAATATAAAATTTATTCATATTTTTAATGTTTCTTTTAATAAAGAGCTGTTTAAAAAAAAAAAAAAAACTATTTGAAAGTATATTTAGTTGGAAGTTCTCCAGTGTCGCAATATAAGAATAAAGATCTTGAAAAAGCTGCTATTTTTAACATACAATATACAGTAGCGGTGGGTGTTGTGAATGCTTCTTCTACATTTGTGGCTTTTGATAACCCTCGAACCGAAAGATCACCCTCACCTGATATAATCTGTCCTTGACTTTAAGATGCTGATGCGAGTATCTGCAACAAGGGAGAGTTGGTATAAGCCCCCGCCGCTCTATTTTAAATCCTGGTCAGGTTTTAGGTGACGTATCATATATCAGGAGAGGCGAACAGATTCTCCGACACCTGTTGCATCCGGCGTAAGGGAATTGACACGTTTGCGCTTCTCTAGATCCCGAGATGGCAATTCGGCGAGTAGTTCGTAGAATCCTCTGTTGTGTTTCGCTTCGCTGCCCCAATGAGTTAAGGATAACATCCTCTAAATGACATCTGAATTCCTATCGCGCATGGGGTAACATTTGGCTGAAATGACGGTCAATCCACGACTACCATTGAAGCAGATTCTACCGGGCGTATTGAAGCAGGGGTGCAGGGTACCCCTACCGCCATGTTGAACTGCAGGCAGATCCGCTGCATCCGTCAAGTTAGACTCTGGGATCGGTGGCTATTGAGGAAGCATAGCCGATCTCCCCCTTTAGATACAGGGCGTGAATTCCCAGCCCCTTCACTTGCGCTAGCTGTCGGGCTGGCTTGTTATTCAGATCGCACTTCAACACGACAGCGGCTCGCCCAGGACCAGCTTCATAGTGAAGCGGCTTCCACTTTTCAGTTTGATAGCATGTGGATTAAAACATCTTGCGGCGGCATTATTTACTTCCCAGCAGCCCAGACGCTAAAAATGACAATGCTCAGTGATACGCAAAGGCTTGCGACCAAACGATCCGCAAACATACGTGGCACTCCGCCACCAATCGATGCAGAGTGGTAGATACCCACCGAGGTAGTGTTCTAGACCGTTTTATTCACTTATGGTTTCGCAGTAGCCATAATTAGAACTGAATTTATCTTTGGGAATAATGAGTGCCTTTCGGGTGAGTGCGGCATCTTATGATCAATTGGTTTATTAGATAGACCAAAAGCAGCAGCCCTCTATTCTATGGATTTTGTGCCTTTCTGCACCCTCACAGTCTCCGCCCTTTCTGTAGCACATCGCTGCCGCAATCATTCCTCGCATACGTTTTGGGTGGGTTTCGGGTTTCGTCGAGAGAGCGGGAGAATGGATAAATGGGACTTTTCGGAAGACGGAGAAGCATAACAAAGCGTGTTATACGAATGAAGACTGTCTGTGCTGACATCTGATGATTTTTAGCACCCTCTGTTTCATCTAAGATGAGACGATAACTTGAGCATTGATGCCGTTGATTAATTGATACTCGTGTACGTACCCACCCCACACGCATCTAAACCCTATCCCACCATCTCATTAATGTCGATGCGCCTCATCAATATCGGAGGGGCCCCGAGATATCCCGAACATGTACTTATTTCTCAGCATAGTATGACATCACTCGGTGAGGAAGTGGCCAGACCTTCTATGGTGACGGGCGGCGGGTGAGCGATCGCCATCAGCAGTTTTGTCAGGCCACGCTGAGACCAGCCAAAAAACCGTACGAGTGCTCGCCCACCAATCAGTTACCTTGGACATGACCTGACCAACGCTGACGGAATAGACGGACGATAATTGAATTGCTGAAATGGAGATGGTATATAAAGATGGCAATTCAAGTCGAGCTCAATTGCGGTTCCATCTCATCAGTCAAGACATCCATCAAGAGCGCATTCGTCAATTCAGTCAACTATTTCACTTATATCTGAGCATTGATTATTTTTCTCAAGCGACCATCCTTCATCATGACCACCAATTCCTTCGGTACCGCCCTACCCCGATTCGACTTCCCACCACCAGAGCCACCAGTGATTTCAAGATTTGCCAGAGTGGCCAAAGTGTTTCCTCTCGCTGCCTTCGCAACAACTGGCGTCGGTAAGTTCTACCCTCAAGCGCATAAAACATTGGCGGGAGACAGCACACTAACTGGAGCTCTTGTGATAGCTGCATGGTACTACATCAATACGACCAATCAGAAAACTCTAGTCTCCGCAAACCCTTTCCCTGGAGCGGCTGCAATGCATATCAGCCAAGCACCGCAGAGTCAACCCCTGACACAACGCACAGAGCCCAAAGTCGACAGGGCATGGAAACCTTTCAGCTAGCGAAATGATTGTGTTGGCAGAAGGGGTCGCGGGAATTTATGAGACATCAGCACATCATTTCGTATTGCTTTTCAATTTCTGTTCTGTCCGTCTTTTTCTTTTCGGGTTAATATTGCATTGCTTTTGCGGACCAAGTGTCACATCTGGTTCGGATTGTAACCATGGGCTGGGAGTAAGATACTTATTTAGAGGCTGGGAACATGGCGAATTAGTACATAGTGGCGTTTCTAGTCTCGAAATATATATTTCTGGTCCTTTGCTATTACCACCGAAATTACGCTTTCGCGGTGAAGACGCTGTAACTTTGACAGAGAAATTCGATACGAGGCCCGGTTGACAAGCATTCCTGGTGTCCAGGCAAGGACCCAGCACTGATCGTCCAAAGCAGCATTCTCTCCCATCTTCTCATTAGTCCAGTTTCAATTCCGTATCTCGTTTTGGTTCTCAAGGAAAGACTAAATTGCTCTTGCTGTCTGTAAAAACACCTCAAACATTGCTTTTTCCTCTCCCATATCCATCTTCTGCCATGGTAGAACAATTTTCTATCATCCGAAAAGGGTTCCTCAGCAGGGCGCCTTTTGCAGTCCAGCTGGTCGGGGTCTGGCAAATTCTGGCCAGTTTTAGCCCCCCCGCTCATTGTACGCGACAAAGTCTTGATGATAGCCGCTGAACCGTACAGAGCCGCCAGATGAAGAAGATTCTTCTTCTCAACATTGGTGTATTGCGCGCAATTATTGGTCTCAAGTTAACAGGCTCGAACTTGTCGAACGTGCCCCAATAAGATTGGACGAGGAGCCTCATCGAGAGGGACCGATGAGCCCTCGTTTCCGATAGCGAATCTCGCCATAGTGATACGGTCGATAAAAATTGTTTACAAACAAACCCTCAATTGCTGGTACTTTATAGCATTTATACCGTGTAGGGAACCCAATTTACTCGACGTAGGCGGTGGAGATTTGGGTGTCTCGTACTAGGCCAGACCGAAAGCGTGAATCCACCCGCAATCTATTGGCGAAGAAACGTAAAGCATTGCACGGCCCAATGCCTGAAGTCTTGGGAAAAGCTCAAGGCAGCGCTAGCACATGTATCGCTGGTAACGAATAGGTAGAATAGGGCGTAATTGACATGCCAAGCTAACGCAATTCATGGTGGCATCGGCTCACCGCGGTTCCTATCGGCAGAGAACAACCCGACAGGCAGCTCACACACGTGGATGACAGCACACCCTTACGCAACTCTGGAGGGGAGGATTCTGAAAACAGCAGCTGATAGCTCAATGGCCGAATTTTGGACACCCAATCTGGGCAGAAGATACGAGGGTTCCTCTCCGCTAGTAAGATGCAGTCTGTGAGTCACATTGGCCCTTGCTGCAGTGCTGATAAAGCCTCAAATGGGAGAGCAGACTTGGAGTCATCCGCAATGCTCTCGTGAGTCACTACGCTACTATTACTATTTAAGCGCCACTTCATCTCACTAAGGGAGAGACCCTCGAACCGTCTGTCAGAAGCTTGTTTCCAACTTACAAGCCCAGCCCAAAACTCAATTGCGACAACATCGGCGTCAATTGACCAATCCTGTACCTCGATCCATCAGCAATCAACACCATTGACAAGATCACAATGGGTTCCAGCACGACCATCGAGTTCGGCAAGTCGCTGAAGGAGCAATTCCTCTTCGACCCCGATTGGCGCAATCTGAACAACGGCATGGCGCCCGCCCATGAGCCTGAGAAGATGATGAACAGCTAACCATCCGTAGGCTCCTACGGCGCCATGTCCCGGTACGTCCGCGAAAAGCAACTGGAATACCAGAACCGCGCCGAATCTCGCCCAGATCAGTACATCCGCTACGAGTACCCGGAAGCCCTCGACGCCTCTCGCACCGCGTTGGCCGGACACCTCAATGTCTCCCCCAACACGGTCGTCTTCGCCGCCAACGCGACCACGGCCTTCAACATCATCATCCGCAACATCAGCTGGGCCGCCGATGGCAAAGACGAGATCATCACCTTCTCCACTATTTACGGCGGCTGCAACAGCACTGTCGAATACATCGTCGATACCAACCCGGGCCTCGTGTCCTCCCGCACCATCCTCCTGACCTATCCGCTCGAGGATGACGAGATCCTCACGCTTTTCCGCGAGGCCGTCACGCTCGCACACGCCGAGGGCAAACGGCCCCGTGTTGCTGTCTACGATGTCGTCTCCTCCCAGCCCGGCGTGCGGTTCCCCTTCGAGGCTCTCACAGCCGTGTGCCGCGAGCTCGGTGTGCTGAGCCTCGTCGACGGCGCCCAGGGCGTGGGCATGGTTGAAATCGACCTGGCCGCTCTGGACGCTGACTTCTTCCTGTCCAACTGCCACAAGTGGCTCAACACGCCGCGTGGGTGCGCCTTCTTGCACGTCCCCTTCCGCAACCAGGGGCTGATCAGGAGCACCCTCCCGACGAGTCGTGGGTACGTCCCCCTCCGTGTCACTGAGAAGCAGGCCCCGGCTCCGGCGGAGGATGTGGGCGTCAAGTCGGCGTGGGTGCAGAGCTTCGACTTCATCGGGACCCTGGACAACAGCCAGCCTGTGGTTGTCAAGGACGCGCTGCAGTGGCGCGAGGAGGTGCTCGGCGGCGAGGAGCGTATCCGGCAGTACCTCTGGCGGCTGGCTAAGGAGGGAGGAAAGAGGACAGCCGAGATCCTGGGCACCGAAGTCATTGATAACAAGACCGGGACGCTGACAAACTGCGCAATGGTCAACGTGTGGTTGCCTGTTAAGAGCGCCGATGTGCAGGATGGAGTCTTGGCATGGGCGCAGGAGCTCTTGGTCAAGGAGTATAAGACATTCATGGCGCTGTCGCAGCACAACGGGCAGTGGTACACCCGACTCAGCGCGGGGGTGTATCTCGATCTCGAGGACTTTGAGTGGGCTGGCAAGGTACTAAAGGAAGTATGCGAGAGGGTGCTTAAGGAAAAAGCGAGGAAGAAAGTTAGCTCGGCCTAAAGAGCGCCCTTTTCGTTGACGAGAGATACAAGGCTGTAGAATTCTTCATTAGCTGTTGTTGGATTATATCACTAAATAACACTAGCTACAGTAATACCAGCGGTATTCGTGACTTTTGGCTCAGCTGGTTAACCCAAGTGCAGTGAAAAGGACTGAGCAAGCGGATTAAATAAGCTACAAGCTTCACTCAAAGATAACATGCGAACTTATTACATGAGACCGGTCAAATTACTTCAATTGTAAATAAAATAACAGACTGATTACCTTTTTTCTCACCCTTGATCCAAGTAGGGACAAATACCAGCTCTAATCCAGCGAAATCAACTTCTTGTTATAGCACAACAGACCAACATAAAGCTTTTGCTCTAGATCCAACTGCGGCCAGTTGATCTTTTGACTTAGCTTCAATTCTGCTTCATCTTGCTGTAGCAACGCGTTGAACTCATCCAGGCTGAAGCTCTTGCTCTCGTAAAACTCCTTGATCTTATCCGCTACAGGGTTCCTTTGAGGATCTTTCAAGGCAGTGGTCAGTAGGCTCCACACCTGCTTAGTATCCCCATCGGTATTTATCTCTGCCTTGGAGGCTGTCTCCGGGTTCTCCAGAAACTTGCCAGCCTTGAGGTGTATACTCTTGACTAGATCAGTCATCCTGACTACCCCCTGTTGCTATAGCCAAGGTTAGACCAACTCGTGACAGACCGGGGACAGATGGCGCAGAATCACAAAAGACTTACATCCATGATGCGCCACAGGCGGTAATCCTTCACGGTACTCGTCCAAAGTGGGGGACTGGTGAGAAACATAAGTTAGAATACAGTACCTTCGTATTAATGAAGGCATCAGCGCAGAATTTTCACGTACTTGGAACAGAGTAGAGTATCTCCTCCTCGAGCCTGCCAGGCCAGTCGCATGCTTTGCTGCGCCTTTTTATCTCCCTGGGTTGTCTCGTTCGAGTTGAAAGAGCCGTAACTGGCGCCACCAGAGCCGTAAGGGGTCGAGATGCTCAATCCTGCAGCAACCTTGACGCTGTCCTTGAAAGCCGACAGCTCTGCGGCGTCGCTGCCGTGGAAGAGGCGTGAACTGGTAAGTTCCCCACCAAGGGTAAACTGGGTCGCAAAGACACTGCCTAGAAAGTGTGTCAGCGCATTTGGCTTGAGGCGGGTACGAAGGATGGGAGATGGCCTACCATATTCCCGCTGCCACCTGTCAACGTCGGCCCTATTACGACATGCCAATGCTTCTCGTTTGCACTCTTCCGTCAGTTGCAAGCAGTAAGCGTCCACTTCGACTGCAGCCCTGGGAAACTTGAGAGCGAGAAGGTCAGCCAGACACGTCACAATAGCCTATCTGGCTTCTTATCATAGGGAGTGCCGTAGTGTCTACTCACCTTGTATGCCACATGGACAGAGTTGACCTGTTCGGTTTTCAGTTCCTTGTTCGCAGTTGAGTGTTCTTTCTCAACAGCGAACGAAGCACTGGCCTCGGCTCCCATTCCTCCGCCGCCTCTGGTATAATGTATCAGTCCTTGGTTCCGTTTTGTCCTCGTAAATCAAGTTCGTATCACTTACCCAGCAGCTTTGACTGCCGTAGAGCTGAAGCCCTGGTTTGCCATTGTCTTCTCCAGCGCGCTGGTCATTTCGGTAACCTCGACAGAGGCATCATCCCATACATAGAAAGGTGGGACAGGAGGAAGAGGGCCAATCTGAGCGCGCGTTAGTTACAGTGTTTTGGAGGGCTCAATCTGATACCGGGTCAGATTTGAAGCATACAGCCGGAGTAGGTGCCCCCTTTTCACCTGGCTTCTGGGTTGGTGTGTCCTTAACCCCGTCGCCACTGTTGGTCTTGGTCTCCGCTGAAGGCTGGGGACGACTGAGCTCAGCATCAAGGCTTGGTGCAAGCTGAAATGCTAATGTTGAATAAAAGTTAGATATCTATGTTCACCCTCAGGGCCTCAGGGGGGTGGTCGTCTTGGGCCGTCTTGTAGCGAGTTTCGTACCTCTCTTCCTGGCCTTGACCAACATGTCGCCTTTGTAGACCCAACCATGCAGAGCGCGGTTGTTCCTAAAAACTGCATCCCACTGCAACTCTGTCAGATCAAGTGGCTCGGGATAGGTGACAGTTCTAGTATGGGTTAGCCTTTGCTCTCTTCATATTCAACATGTAACAACGGATGTCTGTGATCATTACTTACCCAGCGGCAGCAGCAAAATTCATTGAATCGGTCTTGAGGGCCCCTAGACTATCTGACAGCTTTGTCAGGTCGCCCAGTTTGACTGCGCCGTCCGACTTCATGTTCTCAATCATCTTGTCGATACCTTCCTGGATCTTGGCTGGATCGACTGATGATTTTGTGGGTTTTCCATCACCTCCACTGCCACCAGCACTGTTAAGGATCAAGTCAACCTGAACCGTCTTTATGACGGGCTTTTGCTGCGCATCAATGTTAGATGCGTCGATCTTCTCCCCATCGTTATCGGTCTCCTTTTTGCCGGCAGCTGGTTTGGTTCCCGTGTCACCGGATGCCTTCTCCTTCTCATTTTCCTTGTTCAGACCATCCGCTTTCTGTTACCGTGTCAGTCATGCGGACTTTGTATTCTAAGACAGACTACGGCTGTACGTACGTCACCTCTCAAAGACATGTAATACGACAAAGCAGTGCCTTCCTGGAGAGTGGTCTTGCCGTCCGCCGTAAATTTCAGCTTTTGGGATCTGTATCAGTCCAGAAATGGTGAGCATGGCACCTAGATGAAGGAAAGTGATCACGGATGTAACTGACACTGCCGCATGCTTACGAATGTCGGCCAGCAAAATCTTGTCGGCATCGCCTTCGGACAGCTGTTTGCTCGGGAAGGAGGGGAACAAAGTACTATCATTGCTGATAATAGCGATGTGAAATTCGGACCAGGTTGACGTGGCCATGATGAAGCAGTAGTTGAGAGTATTGATAGAAGATGATGTTGAAAAGCTTATGATCGAGGTAAGCGAGGGATCGTTTGGGCAAACTCACCGACGATGAAGAAAGATTAATACTAAATAATGTAACTGGAAGGCTAGAAGAGCTTCGTCGTCACCTGAGCAAACGCGAATCAGGACATTCCTTCTAGGAAGGGGAGACATATGCAATATTGAGTTTGACTGAGTATGTGATATCGGACCATATCACCAGAGTTACTTGGTGCGTAGCTGTGGCTTGCGCTGATCTTTGCCGACTATGCGGAGGTGAGGTTTCTACGCATGCCTCACCCTGCCTGCCCGCGATGCTCAGCTATGCACGGGACTGAGCCTTGGGGCTCCTGACGGACCATTTTCTCTTTTTCTGACCCAGACTTTCATGAATTGCATTTTCATCAAAGATCTAAAACCCAATGGAATGCAACGAGACCTAAATCACGACGTTGCCGGGAGCTCTATTCCTCGTCCGGCTCAGATCTCGATGGATTGTGTGTTCATTGAGGATCCCATATACGACGGGAATGTACCGAGACCTAAATAATAACTTTGGCCCGGAATTCTCTTCTATTCCGACTTGGGTCTCGACAAATTGTATTTTTTTTTCCCGAGGACCTAAAACGTAACGGAATGCAACGAGACCTAAACAATAATCTTGTGTGAAACTTTTGTCCTTTTCTGACCCAGATCTTGACAATTGCATGTTGGCCCAGCATCCAAAATACAATGGCATGCATCCAGACCTAAAATATAAAATTGGTTGAAGCTTTTTTCCTTTCTAGCCCGGATCTTGATGGATTGCGTTTTCATCGAGGATGCGAGATATAACATAATGCACCGAGACATAAATCACAATTTTGGTGGAAAGTTTTCTTTTTCTCGCCTAGATTTCGATCAGTGGCAATTTCGTTGAGGATCTATGGAACTCTAGCATTGCTTTAAGATTACGTGGCTACAATAGTATTAGTATTTACTTCTTGATGCATTCCATTGTGTTGCACATGTTTCGGCATGTCGGGACCAGATGAAGCCCGCTGTGGGGTATTACCACGTCGGTGTGCTTGGGTAGGTTGCGTAGCTGTGCACATGTCTTCACTAGCTATATAAATATCTGTGTAGAACCTCCTGCATTTTTTTAAATCACACTTTATTCTGTTTTACAACCCAACAACCTTAGTAGCCACTATTCACCTACATCCTTAAGTCTTCACTTAACATTTGCTTATCACCATGGCCGCCGTCTCTGTCGCCCTAAACAACGCTCAATGGGAGCCAGAGAATGAGGGCGAGAGCCAGTTGAAGACGGCTCTGGAGAATGTGCTCATCTCATCGCCTAGCTCCGTCATAACCAAAGCCCCTGACAACAAGACCAATCGCTTTATTCTTCAGACGCAGGGATACCATGGTAGGATTCCCGTGCCATACCAGACGAAGACGTGTCCATGGGTCTGATTGTTGAACTACGAGTAGATCTGTACCTGTATGTCGTTGAAGGTATCACTTTCACCGATTCAACTGCAGAATTTGAGAAACAATTCACAAAGTCGACCTTTGCCGTCGTCGATAAGATTGATATATCAGCTTACGACGTGAGTACCTGTCCTTGACGCCAAGCTTGTCCTGGCCATGTTCCCCGCTTGCATACTGACTCCCTCACAGCTACTCCGTGATACAACTGTCAGCGTTGCTAAGCATTGCAAAGAGTTCAATAGCAATGGACTGGGAAAGCTAAGTAGGCGCCTCGGCTCATGTCCTCGGCACCTACGGGTACGATACTGATTATGAATTTTGCTCCAGCGACATCTGCCAACGGAGCCATTGCCTATGCCGACCATTGCATTGGCTTGATGAAGGAAAAGGCCGACATAAGCCTCTACAACGCCTTCCAGGTCCTCCTGGACGAAAAGTATGTAACCCAGCCCAAGGATAATGCATTCGAGGAGGCTGTAGAGAGTGCAACGTTGGCGGTACAGGCCCTTCAAAAGCCGAGGACGCCAAGGCTATGGTCGCGTTACTCCAAGCCGTAAGTAGCTCAATCCATAGGCTATTCAGAGCCTTTACACCGCTTCACCTGTCACTGCAGCAGCTAACCAGTACTCATCCTAGTTCTATACGCAAACAGACGGCGATGTAAAGAAAGTTGGGACAATCGAGGAGAAGTTCCTCACGGGTCCTAAGGACCCCGTGACTGGACAACGAAAGGTGAAGTCCGATGGGACCCTCCAAGAGCCATACAGCGAGGTCATGGATGCCGAGGTTGCGCGCCTCCAGACGGAGATCACCAATTCAATTACGCGCAGGGATGAGGAAAATGATAAATGGGTGAGTGTGCCACCCTCCAGCATATTGGAGGAGCTTTTAGAGAGGCCTTGTCACATATTCTGACCCTATACACAGGCGACTGCGAGAGACAAGGCTATCGGTCTAGGCGTGGGCGGGGTTTTCCTCGTATGGCTTTGGATCGGCTCCGGCGTCGAGACGGATAAGGCCATCAAGGCAAAGAACAAGTACGATGAAATGGTTACATTGATCACCAAGGACAGTCAAGACAAGGCCGACTTGGTGAAGGTGCTGGAGCTTGTAAGGGCCCTCGTCAATCACTTTCACGCCTTGCTGCCAAAGATGCAGACGGCCCTGACGGCCATGAAGGAGCTCCAAAACCTGTTCAATGAGCAGAACCTGAACTTTCAGCTCATCCTGAACAAGTTGACCGACCTCCAAACTGGTGTGTCTGCGAAAGGACAGAGGGCTAGGAAAAATTGGATAACTACAGCTATTGACGAAGCTGTGGAGAAGTTCAAGGAGGTGAGATCTTCCGTCATTGATGTCGAATAGTTCACCGCTAATTCTGTAACAGATCAAGGACCTTGGAGAAGAATTTAAACGTGGTGCAACACCTGTGATCGAACAGCTCTGAGTACACGTTTGCTCGCGGGAGTGAAGCATTGTAGAACATTCCATAGTCAGACAATCAGCTTTATGTTTGTAGATCAGGCTGTTGTTTGAAAACTAGTAGGCATTTAGAAGGCAGCAACTTGAATGCCGATAAGACTGTCTCTGCACATCTGCGCTGCTACTGTACTAAAGAAGCGACCTCTCGGTCCACCGATTCAAACACGGTGAGGGCATCATTGCGGGATTCTGATACATCAAATACACTCACAACCGCCGAGATAAAGGAGGCCGTATCTGTCAGACACACGGAAAGATTCCCAATTATCCCTTCTTGGATAAGCGGAATGCCGATAATGATGCGCGTCGTTGTCTCGCCAGCACACAACGCATTGAAAAATGACATATTCTAGTAAATAATGGTCCTCATATACGTTGTCCTCGAAATGTTGGTGATTTGTTCGCCAGGGTAATAGGACCCCACTGTTGTGATGAATATGCGTAGATAAAGCTGTCTTAGAAACGATCGAATAGTCCGACTAGTTGGCCATATAGCAGCTGGCGTGGGAGATGGCGTGGTTAGGTAGTGGATAAGATGATCGGATGATTACAGACAAAGAGGGTCAAGGCCTCGCGTGGCAAGAACGGAGACGCGGTAGATGGCAATGATGATCAGAGAAATACGTGTTGTGAACAGGAAGATATTGGTTGCGACTTTGCTACCGGGTAGGCCGTTCACCTCAAGGTCCAAGACTTTCATCTCAATGTATTTTGGGGTCGACTATTTTACACTGACATGCCAAACCAGCCGCAACCGATGGTGAATTCCAAGATAATGAGAACTAAAGTCCGTCCCTGAAAATTGTTCGCGATGACAGTTTCTAGTATCTGTACAAATTGGAGTCAAGAATGTTGACCGGCGCAAGATGTGCTGCTGACTCGGTCAACGAGCCAAACCGTTTGAACAATGCTGCAAGATTGTTATGTACCGGTTGCAGACCTCCATCAATCCAGCCTCCAAGCCAAGAGGTGCAATCACTGCCAATCAGAACACGGGATTCAATGTCCCTGCTGAGTTTCTCAAAATCGTAGAACATCGCCGCCACGTATCTGTCCTGTCCGGGCAATGGGAGTGAAAAGGCCCCGTATGCATGAGGGTCCAATTGCCAATGGATGACGTAAATATCGTCAGGCGTCACCGGGATGAGGTGGTCGGCATAATCAGGATGTTCGGTCTTGCGCATAACGATGGCGATTTGTCGTTTGAGAACCTCAAGTAGCGTCGCGGAGTCCTGGACAGCCATCATCTGGGATGATAAGTCCTCCCACGTATAGCTGATCAACACCATGCCGTACTCTTCGTGACCGTAGTCCAAAGTATACGTTTGAGGTGACTTGGTGTCGGAGAGGATGACTCGAGTGAAGTTGGGCTCCTTATTTTCCCAAAACTTCTTTGTTCTGATGAAAACTTTGGAAGAAGATGTCATGTGGAGGTGATTGATGCCAGTGCAAATCTTCGGAGAGAGAAGTCGGTCACCGTTGGGCTGATGATCAGTCAGGGAGACACTGAGGTCCATAGCGCGACTGGTCGTTCCAACGAAAACAAAATCGTAGTTGACATGTCTTGTCGGCTCGGTTTTGTCAACCGTCTCTTGGACAGTGACAAAAGGCTCTCCGCCTGTGTCCCTGCTACAGCCAACGACCTTTCCAGTTGTGTTGAGGTGGGTTTTGACGCCCATTGCCGTGGCCTTATTCCATATTTCCAAAGCCAATTCCTGGATGCCAGCCGGCCGAAGCTTTCCACCTGAAATCTTCGCAAAACTGGCTTGGTCCGTTTCAAGACCATTGACGACAAGTCGAAACACCGAGTTGAATCCCACGGGGAAGACGGGGCCGAACCCTCCCGAGCCTATCCCCAGAAGGCCGAACCGTTCGAAGTCGTCATCATCCCAGGCTTCGCCACCTGGAACGTCCCAGTCGTGCTGCGGACCGAAGATACGTTGGAGGCCGGTGTAGAAGCTATGGTTCCCAAATTCGTCAAGATACCTCTGCCAGGCAGATGTCGCGCGGACTCGAACGAAAGGATTCGGAGACTGCAGCCATTCGGTCATTTGCCGCGAAGATTCAATAATGGTATGGCCTTGTTTGCGCAAACCCTCGTTGATGAAGCTCTTCCAGGCGCGGTCTACCTTGTCAAAGCCCACGGGAGCTTCTTTCTGAGTGATCCACCTATGAGCTTCCCCTTGGTAGGACACAACGGTAGGCACTTTCCCAGGATCCGGGAAGTCGGCCATGAAGGTGAATCCAAACGCTTCAGCATAGTAATAGAGAAGGTCTTCAGAAGGGGGAAAACGCATGGCGCCCATCTCGGCGACATTCACTCCATCTGCCGTTACCGTTGACCGCAACCGACCTCCGACTTCACCGCTTGCCTCTATGATAGTGACATCAGCGCCAGCCTTTCGTAAGTTGAACGCCATTATCAAGTTGCAGATACCGGCTCCTATGAGACATATCTTGAAGTCCTCGGGCAAGTACCCAAGAGGCTCCTCTATTCCACCTGCGGCTTCATTCCATTGTGAGTAGATCAGCTGAGGAGTGTCTACCCAAGCCTGAGGGCGAGCCCTGACTCGAACCGCCGGAAAGGTCAATGGAATTGAGGATCCACGGGCCATGCCATGGTGCAGGGGTGCTGGAAGTTCAATGAATTTACCCATTGTTGGTAGTGTGACATTGATAATAGTGCACTGATGGAGAATGATGGCGTCTGAAGCTTCCTCTGTAACTAAGTTTGGATATTTTTGGGTCTTATTAAGATGTTTATTTATGGATCGAAAGAGCTCTATTTATTCTTTCTATTTTTCCTTTTAGGAACGTAGTGATTGTTGACTCTGTCGTGCCACAGCGACGCCATGATGCAACTACCCGTAATGACACTGGTTGCTGGCCTCAACTGTGCGGCCAATGAAGACCTTGGATCGTCCCTCCTTTTGGAACCGGAATATATCTTAACAGCTCGGCTATCACGGCAATTCTGGCCTCGGCATTTAGGGAATGAGGCAGATGAAGGGGTATGAAACCAGGAAAACGTCCAGCCTTTGCTGATGCATGTGTGATAAATTGGCATGCTTGCAGATGGATCGGGGGAAGGGATGCCATCCATCAACCCCTGGATACATCTCACGGCGTGAATGCAGATTGGCGACGCAGTATGGTTATGTCTTCCCTTGAACTAATGAACTTCGGCTAGGGTCATTTCAGCTCGTTTGGGATCCCCGTGAAGTGCGGAGCTCAACGTTGGATCCTCCATCACGAACAAGCAAAGCCGGAGTCCCGCAAACGATTTCTCTCTCATGTTTTTGTATTCACTTCTTGCTCTGGCTCTCAAGTAAACATGCTGTAAGAATTACAATCGGAGGTGTTACTATTCAAACAGCCCAGGCAGCTTCTTTATCCTGTCACTTTCGGATTGGCATCATCGCACATATGAGGTGAGGCAAATTCATATCTACCCTGCTTGCCACCATTCAAGGCATCAATAAAATGACCAAGACATGCGTCAACATAAACCCCTGTTTCTCCCAATACCGGTGTACCTCGCTTATAGTCCAAACAACAGATAATTATAGAGTCTCTCGTACGAAAGGGCTAGAACCCACATGCCGTGCCTTCGGGAGCTAACGACTCTGTAGTAAAGTTTGCTAGCGTTCAGGATGAATAAAACAGCCCGGTTTAGCCGGCCAGTTAGGGCTAGAACCAGGGATCTAGACCATTCAATAGTCCGGTGGTACACAACGCCAGCCATCCGACGTAGAGTTTGTACAGTTTAAAACGGTAAAAGAGCCGAGAACGCCCGGGTTGATAGGAAGACGCCATGCAGACTACCCTAGATGCCACATCCATGAATAAAGTTCAACGCACCAATACTAATACGAAGATGTTCCGATTTCTTATCCTAAATCTCGCTAAGCACGAAAAGCACCCCGGCTGATCCGACAAGCTCGCCTTACAAGACACTCGATGTGGTTTAGGGGCAGTTGGGGCTCGGCTAGAGGATGGAGTAATATTGTGGCCAATTACCGTGAACTATCGGACTTTCCGGGAAGGCCCGCAGGATCCTTGTGTCTTAAATCAGGTTTATTTACAAGAACAATGATGGAAAGCTACACTAGTAGCTTTCTAGTGAGGAAGTGAAACATGCAAGAGGTTGAAAGAGTAAAAGTCAATGTAGGAGCGTCAAACTTAGACTTATTCAACGTGACGTTGCGTCCTCGGGAGGAACCTGGTGACGCAGCCTGTATCTTCGCTGTCGACATCCGTCTCGATGCTGACACTACACATCGCGGGGTACTCAATTTTGTAACCTTCAACACTCTCCGGCTGGATAGCTTCCTCGAGTCCGCCATGTACATTGATAACGATACTGGTCATTACACGATCAGCACTCGGACGCGGCTTTCTCTCATCTCCAAGCCGATTTTATCTGCCGGGGCCAAGGCAAAGCAAGAAAACTAGCCGAGGCCAACTGGCGGGTGTGCAATACGGCAGACTGATGGTACATGAATGGCAAAAACGGGAATAGCGCCCTCTGAAGTCCCCATGCGCATCCAAGTCCAGAAGCCCAATGAATGGCTCATGAACGACTTTGGGCACTGGTGGATTTCGCTGTTTAGGCAAATCTGGGAACTGGAAAGCAAGCTACTTCGGGCATAATGAACAGAAAAAAGTTAAATTGTGTCATCATTTCGTCTTGGAATGCCATCTCCCTTTATCCACCTCACAGCGCCTACACAGACCCGGGTGCATCAATTCCAATCCAAGCCATGCTACCACAGCAAAGTGGATTACACCAGCATTGCCTCTTTTCTTCCCTTGTATCAAACAATATGAAATTGTCCACCTTTCTATCTGCCCTGCTTGCCACTGTCAAGGTAGGAGCTGCCTTGGCACTTAGCGAAAAACCGACCTACGAGTGTCCTTCTATCCATCCTTCTGTGCAGATGGTGTTTACAGTTGAAGATGTTCTCTACATGGCCGACTCGCGACATGCTATGGCAACACTCTCAGTCTCACACAATGGTCCCAGAATGCAAATTTGGCGTCCGCTCACTGCCATGCATATTGAGGCCACACTCGTAACTGAAGATACTATTCGGGGGCTTATCGAAGCTTATACCGAGGATGACGTCTTCAATATTAGCTTCACAAACATGATTTTCATCTCTACCTCTGAAGGAGCAATAATTGAGGAATCTGCCATGACTTATTTAGAGTCACTGGGCACGTCGGATGTCCTCCTGCCACTCAATGCAAAGACATCTCAACGAAAATCAGTTTTAAGCATTGCTCATTATCACTCAGATCTAGGCACAGTGCTTGAAGGTCCTTATCTGGCATCTACTGCTTCAGATATGGTTCGTCTCCATAGTGTGTATCGGTTGTATCCCGATCTATATGGGACTTTTGTTCAAGGATCCTACCAAATAAACGACGGTATGGGAACTCATCAACCTCTTGGTGTTATGGACACAAAATTCGGCGGCTCTGAACCCTTATTGATCCCGTAAGTGATAGCGTAGAAGCTCGGAGTCGCCAAGCTCACTGATACTTTAGCGTGCCATCTCGAATCTACAGTCGCTCAGATAATCGTTCGCTCGCCGGGATGCGGGTAGGAGTCAAAGATTTATTTGACGTGAAGGGACTACAAACTACCGGAGGCAGTAAAGCTTGGGCGACCATCAATCCGATTGCTAACCACACAGCCCCAGCAATTCAGCGTATCGTAAGTTCAAACTTCATGTTCATTCTGGAGCCTATACTTTATTTCATTTTCTCATCAGTCGTAGATTGACTTGGGTGGTGTTATCGTTGGTAAACAGAAGTTGGCTCAATTTGCTTCCCCTAGCGATCCATGGCTTTGGCAAGATTATGTGAGCATTCTTCCCTGTAATCCCGCAAGTCCGAACTGATTTTCCACCAGCACCCGCCGTTCAATCCCCGGGGTGATGGATGGTTGACATGCAGTGGCTCCTCATCGGGCGGTGCTTGTTCTATTGCGGCCTACTCTTGGCTCGATTATGCCATCGGCACTGACACCGGGTATTCAATGCGTCTACCAGCATCAGTGGCCGGCGTATACGGGTGCGTTTCTTTTATCATCATCTTAAAGTTACTAATTGAACAATCAGACAACGACCAAGCCAAGGTATGATGACTCTTGACGGTGCTATCCCGGTAAGCCATGCTTCGGACACCACAGGAGTCTTCTGCCGCGACCCCAAGAAGTGGGTTCATTTCTTAAAAGCATGGTACACGCCATCTTTGCACCAAAAGGGGGCCATTCCGGGCCTACCAGCGTATCATGCACCCCGGAATATGGCTCGTATCAAGCGCTTGGTGTATCTCACCGATTACCTTCCACTAGCAAACCCTGACGCGCAGATCATCATGGAGCAGTTTTTTCGAAACCTGGGAAATGTCTTCGACATTAGTATTGAAATTATGAACCTCACGGCTCTTATTTCACAGTCATCCGAGCCGGCTGTTCGTGCAATTTTCACCGGAAATGAAACAACGACGATGTGGACTTTCGATCAATGGAAAGAAGTAGGAAGGCCCCTCATCGACCGATGGGCCTCCCTCCATGAAGGACGGTTTCCTCCTCTGGACCCTCTGCTCCGAGACATGTGGCAGGGCATGGAAATGAATCCTCCCAGTAGTTGGAGTTTCGAGCATGTGATGAGAACGAAAGCAAAAGCTACCGCATGGTGGGAGGACAATATACTACCTGGCGCCGCGGATGGTTGTTCGGACTCGCTTTTGATATACGATATCGGCCCCGGGTGCTACCCTTCTTATAGAGAGGAAGCCTCAAATACGGGCCGCTATACATCTCGCCTGTTCACCAAGCCACCAAATGCAATCGTTCATGGGGCTTTGCTGTGCCCAGTGTTTGGATGTGCCGACTTCACGATTCCGATAGGCCAAGCGCCTTATCTGTCGGCTGTGTCTCAGAAGGAAGAGATGATGCCCGTGACGATAAACATCGTGGCCGGGAGGGGTTGCGATCTCATCATTCTCGACATGATTGATAAGATGGTAGATGCTGGGCTGTTACGGGAAGTAAAGACCGGAAGGCAAGCGTTTGACTAAATCCGGCACTTGTGCAACCATACGATAATGCCTATGTACACTTCTAATTCAATGCTTGTATCGACATTACGACAAACATAAATCCCAGCGCTACCAAACTCGTTGCACCCCCGTAGCGGAGTAAACTCTGCGTCGGTCCCAGTGTCTGCTCTTCAGATAACGTCCAGTTCCGACTTCTCTCAGCCTTAAAATAAGCTTTGTTTTGGACGTCAGTTGGGGCGGCGATCTCTTCGTATCTGACGTATCTGATAGGCCGGCAGTTCAAGGTAACTTATCAAAGGTTTCCCCAACTGCCGCGTAACCCCGCCGAGCCGAAGCGGGCTATCAAAAAGCCGGGACCGAGGCGAATATTGGGAATGTCGTCTTGCAATATTTCGAACTTTATTCACAGATGTAACGTGTAGAGTAGTCTGTATGGGGTGTCTCTAGTATCATCTGGTCGGCGACCAATCTTTCGCTTTCGCATTTCCAAAGACAGGGGCTAACTTGCTTCATCTGGATGCGCCTCTGTCTTGCAGCGCTCTCACGAAATAGGACCGGGCTTCCCCCTGTCTTGAGCCCTGTAGGACGCTGTTCAGCTCTAATCTGCCCGGTCGTATTGCCCGTTTTGAACGGTATGAACTCTATTTCTAATAACTAGCGAATCCCATGTGTTAACGAGCTCTTTAATAATCACATCCCTGGCTCTGATCGTAGCTGGGTAGGGCAACCGAACCGAAGCATCGGACTTATCCTAACCCCTGCTAAACTTTGCTGCAGTTGCGTCAGCTTACGGTGACACAACATTAGGCCGTGGCCCTTTAGTACAAGCGAATCGGCGTTACGGCAAATTCTTGCTGTGATTGTAGACTCACAGGGGGAGAGATACTAGTTCATGCTGACTGAAATCTTTGTCAATTTTTGGATATGCTACCCTGAATCTAATACGTACCGGTAAAAATAGATCGATACTTGTCGGACACACGGCTAGTAGGCTACCTCCGCGGATGACTTCGGGATACATGTTTAGGACCTTGTAGAGGATATGGTACCTCATGCCGGAACGATGGACGGTAAGACTAGAATTGATCAAAAACGTCCCAATCTTTGCGCCGCTCTCTATCGGGATATTACATGCGACCGGTGAGTTATCTTGCCGACGCGAAATCCATGATCTAGGGCGGTATGCTTCCAATGTTGCGACTCTAGTGAAGGTGTCTTAAATGCCGATTCCCGGCTAACACAAAACAACAATCAGATCATCACACGCAAGCCGAGGTCGTGTACCACGTCTACCGGCTGAGAGCCATCTGTGTTGTCATCGGTGGGGCTCGATCAAGCGGTGACACAATAACTGAACATCCGAATAGCAGCCGAGACATGAGTTGAATGAAGTTTCAATCTACTTAATCCCCTCACCCATTTAACTTACCATGGCTAAGGCACAACCAGACCAACTGGCGCCTAAAATCATATTCGGTCGGTTACGCGAGTCAGTGATGTCAGATTGTTTGGTACTGAAGCTAACATCAGGAAAAGTCACTGCGTATAAATAACCGTCTGTCCTCCTCACCATCAGTCATCGAAACAAGACAATCTTCCCCTCGTTTAAGCTTCCGCTCAACACACACAAATAAAAAAGTAAAACCCCTCAGAGTTTGCATACTGAGACAGGCATGCCTCTCCTTCAAGCTTCCCTGGCAGCGGTCATATTCGCCTCTGGTGTTGGAAGCTACTACGGTATTCTGTCCTCTCCCAACCCTAACCCAAAATCTGCACCCTCAACCGGCGATTCCATGAGTTCTCTTTTTGTCCCGCGATTTGGACAAGTCATCCGGGCTTCATTCAGCCTCGTGGTGATTCACACAGCTGGCTTAGCCTACTCTTACCCCAACATTCCGCCATTCCTGCTTCGCCAAGGAGAGTATAGCCTCAACGTTGACCTCATTACCTGGTCAGCAGCAACATCTATACCTCTTGCCCTGATTTTTCTTGTTGGTCTCCCTTTACGCCTGGGCTCTTTCGCCTCGCTTGGAAGGAACTTCACATTCGCGCTCAAAGAACCGGATCGCCTGAACACTGGTGGGATGTACCGCTATCTTCAGCATCCTGGCTACACCGGGGGAGGAATATTGGTGTTCTGCAATATGGCACTGTTAGGCAGATTCGACGGGGCACTCTGTTGCTTGATTTGGCCGCGATATATCCAGTCGTTGGTGGGTTTACAGTGGATTATAGATGTTATTTTTGTGTGCATGTTTGGACTGGCGATCTATACGCGAGTTAGAGAGGAAGAACGCATGCTCAAGGCTAAGTTCGGTGTTGAGTGGGAATCTTGGCACACTAGGACTGCCAGGTTCGTCCCATGGATCATCTAACTGACATTGTCCTACTGCAATGCCCAGATTCGCTATTCGCCTTAGTACATGCACAATGGACTGGGTATATGGTCTGTATTGTTGATACTATTGTTGGTGTTTTCTTTTTACTGTTGAGCTTCTAGTCCCCCCTCTGGGTATGTGTGTACTAGGGCACCCTAACCTCTTGGTACATGCATTCACAAAATGGGATATTTCAGCTACAATTCATATTTTGCAAATGTTGAAACAGATCATGATCGAGCCTGATGTGCCACGCTTCATCACCGCTACGCCCCAGAACCAGCTGTAGAGCGCATGACGAGTATCATGCGGAGGTCTTGGAAAACAGGAAGAATGAAACAGTCCAATTGGAGTAAGATCAATAAGTTATTGGGTGCTATCTCGAGGCAGGCGTCACTTGCGTCCAAAGGAATTCCTTTCCTCCGCGAGTTTGCTTTCCTTGCATAGGTAATTATGACTTCAACACCTGGAATGGCGTGACAACTTGACCAGGTGCTTCTGACTCAGCTTTACTAAGCGGCAACGATGTTCAACTGAGCGTAACAGGGGCTGTGCGTGAGCTTAATTTAATTAAATTTTATAAATCCAGTTCGACGTAGCGAAGTCGTTGCGATCCCAGATGGGCGACACGTCGGGTGAAAGGATCTTTCCAGCGCGACCTACTCCGCGTTAGCGAAGAGCTTGTTTGTTTCACCTGTCAGTTGACTAGTGCGTGATATGAGCATGAGAGGCCGTTGTTACGGGGCATACTCATGCAAGAGTCTTTCATTGGATTAAAGGGCAGCCGATATGTACTGTGCCTCAGTCTAATGCCATCCGTCGTATACAACCTGCTGCAGGGGTCAATGTGCCACACAGGGCTACTACGTACGCACCCCCTGGTGATCCCCGGCATCCCGCTCGCATCCCGCTCGCATACACACACCCCTGTAAGTTGACGCTGTCATGATCGGAGAGTCATTGCTACGGTACAATTGCACAGACACATCCATTTTACCCAAAGAGGAAGATACATGGTATAAGGACTCGCTCCCTCATACCTTGTCTATACTTTTGGTTCCGCATCCCACTTCAACCCGGTTGTATACCACTAGCATTATCTATTGCACACATCTCACCTCCATCAGACTCCACGGCAACTTGTTTACAGCTTGGGCCCCATTACCCTGAGAAGTCCTGCATAAAAACTGGCAAGGATGTCAATGCCACCAGCTAGAACCAATACTGCTTAAGGAGGTCAACAATATATTCCACTCTCAGGGCTGTTGAAGAACTACTGGACGTTATTGCATCACGCTACCCCTGGGTAACAGCTAGACAGTATTGATAGCGTATTTACGCAGAACTCAATTTGCCCAACCTCTAGGATGGCATGTAGCGTGGCAGTCACTGAACATAACGAGGATACACCAAACAAGTAATCTACAGCACATTTCTTGGAAGATTGCTTTTCATTGGTCAGCCTGACAACTTTCGCAATGAGGCTCGACATGTTCGCCCGCATTAGCGCCGGGTGAAGGTGCCGGGACAGAGAGAGATCATCCGGGACATCAACGTTTGACCCATTGTGTGACTAGTGTACACGTCAGTATAGTGGGAGATCGGGTCACTTCGGCTTCGGACTCCGTACCGAGTAAATCATCCATGACAGGATTACCACCCAATTCACCCATCACTTTCAGACCTAACGTGTAATACCTAACGTTCATGAAGGGAGGAACTCTAAACGCGCCCACGGCCATCCAACTTCATCCCAGCAAAACGGATGACCAGAGGCACAAGTGATCGCCACCCCAACTATGCGATCGAATTAGGCAAAATAACGGAGAGATGCGGAAAGAGAAAAGACGACATTGCACCTGACGGGGGGAGGACTTTTGCCGCCCAATTAGGAATTTGGCCCGCCCAAGTAATGCGGCTTATTCCGCAGGGTCCGGAATGCCTAGTGTTCTTTTCCTCGGGTGGCGAAGTTTTATGAATAGGCTTGCTTGAAAATGACTCCTTGGTCTGGTCAGAAGAAGGCGGCCGATCCATGGTTGTCCCTCAATTCTTGATCACATCATCTTCGAGGTCTCTGCCAACAAAAGTGCCTAGCATCATGTGTCACAATTGAAGGGTGTGATGCGACATCTTGAAGCGAAACAATAGTCTTGAAACTAAACCGTAAAATGTAGAGAGACTACGCGAGACAGCAACTCTTTTATCTAATTGATCGATACCATTTGTTAGCGCCCTCCTTAGTTTAAAAATGACCGAGGAAACACACACTGGCAATGAATCTCCCGGCTGATGTTTCGGTAATTCCGTGAAGCCGAAGGCCGCCGGACAGCGGCTGACCAACCCCGGATGATGCTTTTGTATCCCAGTCGCAATCACAAAGTAGTCCATGTATGCTGAAACTTTGACGGCGTTAATCGTTTTCTCCCAAGTACTCGAGCCCTCGGCTTTGGGCAGGAAGGCCCTGTGCTACACCCTTAGCAAGCACTATAAATTTCAGGGAGTAATCGGCGTATCCGTAGTGTAAGTTCAAGCCCTACCTGTTCTTATCGGCTCCTTTTTACTCTTTACCTTTCTTGGAAGCATCATCCAACTTCTTTATCAAAATGAAGTCTGTTCGAAAGCTTGCTATCGGTATTTTTGGTCCTACTGCTTCGGGGAAGACTAAGCTGGGCATAGCCATCGCCAGGGCGTTTCTTGGCGAGGTTATCTCGGTCGACAGCCTGCAATGTTACAAGCCAGGGACCATCGCTACAGCGAAACCTGAGCCTGAAGAGACCCAAGAAGTGCCTCACCATTTGATTGATTTCCTGGAAGCTGACGAAGAGCCTGATGATTTTGTGGCGTTGGCTCTTGCCAAGATGGAAGAGATCACTCGTCGCAAAAGGCTCCCCATCCTTGTCGGAGGATCAACATCCCTTACTATTCCCCTCTTACTTGAAGTCTTCAACAGCAAGTATCAAATGCTTGCAATTACATTGGTACCACATCAGTCAACTTACCAGTCCCTCATTCGATCCAGGGGTGAAGAGATGCTGGAAAGGGGGCTCTTGGATGAGCTCGCCGGACTTCAGGCTCTTGAGCAGGTCTTGCTCAATGGCGAATCAAACTTCCGCAAAGGCATTTGGAAGGCAATCGGATACCAGGAGTTCCATCCGTACCTTCAAGCTGACGGGTCCGCTGGAGGGCGTGAGCATTTGCTCCAAAATGGACTGGCCTTAACCGCCGCCAACACCTTACAATACGGCTTTTACCAGCTTGAATGGATACGACACGCTCTCACCCCATTCCTGCACCAAGAGAAAGCCACTTGTATCAGCCTTTCCGTCACTGACAAAGCATCCTGGCCAATGGAAGTGGAGGGGCTGGCTATTTCCATGGCTAGCGATTTCTTGTACGGTTCTCAAGTGATTGGATTTCCACAGAACGAATCATCTGAGTCTCGTGTGGTCTGCCTCTTGTATGTCACCTCTTCCTTGCGTGTTGAGTTTTGGGCTGAAGCTGACATTTCTAGTGGTGGATCGTCTTCTGGCAACAATCCCGTGCACATCGAGGCAGCCAAGTCGCTCGCTGTCGCCCTACACCAGCACGATATAAAGCTAGTGTACGGCGGCGGAACCACCGGAATCATGGGAGCCATCGCAAGCACTCTTGTGGAACTGTCTGGACCTAGCGCTGTTCACGGCATCGTACCTGCTGCCCTTGCCAGGTACGAAGAAAAGATGACAAACGAGCAGATCGAACAATCCTACTCCTCGAAGTTCGGGATGCGGACTATTGTAAGGGACATGCACACTCGCAAGCGACTCATGATCCAAAGCGTCCTTGATGGAACTCCGGGGAGCGGTTTTGTCGCTTTAAGTGGTGGTTATGGCACAATGGAGGAGCTGCTTGAGATAACTACGTGGTACCAGTTGGGCATCCATAAATGCAGTGTCTGCGTGTTCAGCGTGAATGGATTCTTTGATGGTCTGGTCACTTGGATTGGTCAAGTTGCACAGGACGGGTTCATAGGCCCAATGGACTCCGACATAATCCAAGTCGCAAGATCAGCGGATGAAGTTGTTGAGTGTCTTGCTGATCTGCACCGATACTCAAGGAATGGAGAACTAGAGTGGCTTTAGTTGCAGGTTACAACTTTGTCAATCAAATGTGGTTCATCTCACAAGGGCGAGTCTCACGGCGTCATATTCACCCTCGTGATCGTAGCGTCTGTTGCTGGCATTAAAATCGGATGAAACATTACCACTGCTTCAACCAAATTTACGTTGTAGTCTCCTCATGCGTAGCTACAGGTAGCGTGCCTTCTCATTTCTCCAGTTTGTAAGGGTAGTGTGGCCGCACATGTTATCAACGCGCAATGCCAATATTCATTTCCTCACGTCTTGACCATTTTGAATTTTCTCATAGCTGTAGCAACTGAAACTTGTGATAATAGAAAGATTGAACCAGGAAATAAATTTCAAGCCCTCCCTCCAAACAATGACATTAAGACAATGTCAGACGATGGCCCCGGTTTATTCAGTCCTCGTTGGCCTCGTAGACATCGACTGTCGCCAAGTCGGAACCCTTGGAACAACCACGCGTCTAACCGCAAATGCTAGACCAGCCACGATCAACAAAGTAGTGTGGCGATGTGATACTGATAACAATGTCCGGGAATTCCTGAACCAACAGTCTACAGTAAGGAGCAGTCCAAGACAGCGAGGACCTCAGGCAAAGCGATGCGACAAGACAAGCCCAGTCAAATAGATCAGTGGATGCAGAGCCACGATCAGTACATGATGGAGGACTAAAGTGAACTTGGACCTTATTAAATAGTGGAAAAATCATCAAGAAGAATATCTACGCCTGAGCAAGTTTGCGCTCGGCATCTTGGCAAACCCTACTGCATCTGCTCATCCTGAGCGGAGTTTACTATCACAAAATTGGCAGTAAACTCGCAATGGCACGGCTTAAGCTCCAAGTAAATGGGGGAAATACAGCGCCTGGGGAATTGGCCAGGTCATCAAGCGATGGCTGCCCGACTTTACCCAACTTTACTCAAGCTTTTGCCAAATCGTGCGGGCAGGGCAACAACCCTCGGCCCCAACGTGTTTCCATACTCCGGATACTTACAAGGTTGCATTTGCAGAGGTTGTTTTCTTCGTAGATAAGAAGGCCTTGGGCATTGACAAGGCAACGTTGCAGGAAACCCTGCATTAGGCGTGCCAACGTGATATCTCCTACTAGGTACGCAAAGGATGCTTGGTGCTTTGCGTGGACAATAGAGCCTGACTGAAACGGTCAGCATACTGCGGTGCGGAACTGCACTCTTGCTCCAGCGGCATTGCACATGCGGCTTATCTGCTCCTAGTACACAATATGGGGGCTCAGCCATCACATTAACCGCAATCACGCGAGTGTACGAAGATCGGAGATCCGAGCCGAGTTTCCGCAAGGTACAGCGATGACGTGGAGATTTGTGACTATAGTGAGCACTAGACCTATGTGGCATATGACGACGATCACTCTTGTGTAGACTACAACTGCCTTGCCCGACCCCTCGGCTTTGTTGTTAGTCTAAGATTGGAGAGTATTTCCTGAAACCTTGATAAGAGTCGCAGCTGTAGTGTGGTATCTTGTACACAATTGAAACCTCGGACCTGCCTGTCTGCGTAAGTGCCTCGTGGGACTTCCCCGAGTCACCTCGACTCTGCTGCAGCATCCAGTCAGCATCGGATCCCAAGCGTGGTCACATTTCTCGTATTTTTATCAATAGTAGCCGTGATTCGCGGCTTGGAGGGTGGGTTGACGGAGGCCTCCGCTCGGCAAATAACAACCTCTTCGGCATTCCCCAGGCGCCCGTTGACATCCTTGACTTCAGTGTGCACATGTATTAGAGGCCTACGTCATATAAAAGTGAGTTCCGGGCCGCAGTCCCTGGATAGCAGTTCAGCCAGTTCAGCTTAGCGTTGCGGCCTGAACGTGGCAACCTCAATGCCAGATCCCCATCACAGATCCCTGCCTGATCTAAACGAGATACTGGAAAGGCAGGTATCTTAGCAAGAGACAGTGATAATAAAGTTTTAGCTCGTTGGCCAATGAACATGACCGGAGATGGGACGGTTTGTGACACCTGTCAAATCCCCGCACCCGGCTAATCGGCAGTCAAAACCCAACCGGGAACTCGGATTCGCAACGTACTTGAGGTGTGGACATGAATGTCCCATTGAATGTAGTTTCGGCGCTAAAAAATTATAAATTAATTTCTATTTTAAACCACATCCTGAATCATCCAACAATCAGTTTGTTGTCAAGTACAAGGGCCGGTCTCTAGCAGTGGCTGCAGCGACGCCGCTGTCATCAGCTGCGAAGGAGATTGTCCCAGCTACGCAGTCCCTGCCGGAATAATAGTCGGGCCGTGTCAAAGTTCCAACTTATGGGAAAACTACGGCGATGTATTTTTGAATGATTTGATCGCAGCTAGGCGTGCGGGTTGCTGTATTATACTACTAGCTGTAGAATTTACTTGATTTGCATACTATTCATTGATTTCTATTTTAAATTTGTTGTTGAGGAGCGAAGATGTAAATTGCGGGAAGCAAAATGTGGTTGAGCTGTGGGGTGTGAGATTGCTGTTTTAATATGGTGAACACTGCCATTTTTGAATCAACTCTTCACGACTTTATAGCAACAACTCCGCTTTTAAATACAGTGTTTGCGTAGATGTAAATATCAAATAGTATTATCGCATTTCTAGGATCTAATTGTCAAACTCATTGTTTACCTGCTTTGATCAATCCATTTACAGCTTGCCTACCAAGCTCCTCTAGGGTACCAAAGCCGAGAAGCTGAAGCACACTAATATCAAATCCGAGCGTCTGTCTCCACCAGTTTCGCAGCTCAATGCCTACCAGCGAGTCGAGACCAAGTTGTTGCACAGGGAGGGTGATGTCAAGGTCATCATCGGGCCGCAGTAGCAATTTCATCAGCTGCTTTCCAACTTCAAGGGCGATGTAGTTGACCGTCTCAGGCTTGGTGAGGATCTCAGGGTCACTCCTCGCTCCGGCGAGGAAAGCCTTGAAGCCGTCACCGCCAGCACCTGCCTTGCCGATGTCGCCGTCGCTGATGTTGTGCCAGATGGCCATCCGGACGTCCTTCTTCCAGTGTAGGCGGCTGTCCGGGTGGCTGAGAGACTTGTCGGAGCCGAAGCCGGTGGCGAAGGTATTCCTGTGGGTGAATGGGACACTCTTCGTGTTGATGTCCAGCTTGGGCACGGTATAGGAGGCTGCCGCCCGGAATGCTTCAATCATTTCCGACTCGGTGACGCCGGAGTAGCCGTTCCTTAAGAGCCTTTGCAGCAGTTGCTGGTCACGAGCAGCGTATCCCATGTCGGCGACGGCGCCAATGTCAATGGAGGATGCGGGCAGCCCGTTGCTGTTGCGCCACAAGGTGAAGGCATCCAGGAACGTGTTGGCGCCAGAGTAGTTGGCCTGACCAGGCTGCCCAGTGATGCCAGACATGGAGGAAAGGAACACGAAGAAGTCAAGGTTGATACCGGCCTCCACTGTAGCCTCGTGCAGATACCATGCTCCCTTGACCTTGGGGCCAGTGGCCTTGCTCCACTGCTCCAGTGTCATGTTTCTGAAGGCCTCATCCTGAAGAAGCATAGGTGAATGCAGGATGCCCTTCAGGTTGGGAGCCTGCTGGACAGCGCGGAAGATGTCGTCCCTGTTGACCATGTCGCCCTTAACGAGCACCACTTCGCAGCCCATACTTTGGAACTCTCCAATGGTGTCGGCGTCCTCGGGACGTGATCCAGGGTTCCGCGAAAGGCAGACAATGCGACGGGCGCCGTTCTCGACAAGATGTCTGGCGATGACAGTTCCGATGCCTCCCAAGCCTCCGGCGAGCAGGTATGATGCTGTCTTGTCGACCTTGAAGGCGTCATCGGCGACTTTGACTGGACTCGAGCCGATCTTGAGCGTACCGTCAGTGTCTCTGAGCTGAAGAATAACCTTGCTCGTATCCTTGTTCTCTTGCACATGCTTGATGGCATCCTCCACGTCTGACGCCTCATAGACTACTCGAGGTGCGATTGGAACAATACTGCCCCAGGTCAAGAGCTTGACGGCCGATTGCAACAGTCTAAAACGGGTTGCGTCAGTATCAGATCGACAAGAGTAGGGCGGTTCAACATTTCCACGTACCCCTTGACAACAGACTTCTTCTTGGCTACGAGACCTTCCAGGTTGACGCCGGTGTAGCTCCTGCCACCCAAGAAGGAGTTCAGCTCCAATCTGCCAGCACCAACTAGGTCTGCGGTGCCAATTTCAATCATCTTGCCGAATTCGGCGACGGACTTCCAGGTCGCGTGCAGGAGGTCGCCAGACAGCGAGTTCAGAGCCAGGTCAACGCCCTCTCCATCGGTCGCGTGCAGGATCTCTTTCAAGAAGCTGTCATCGGTAGACCAGAAGATGCGAGTTCTAGGGATACCAAAGTTCTCGACGAGGTATGTAGCTTCTGCCTCGGTGCCGACAGTCGTATAAATATCCGTCCTCAGCGCCTTTGCAAGCTGCAAGGCAGCCAAGCCAACGTCCCCAGAGGCATTATGAATCAGAATAGACTATGCGAAAACTCTGTTAGCTTATTCCTTGTACTCTTCCTTTCTCCCATGTCCAAGCAAGAAATAATGGGCCACTTACCTGTCCAGTCTGCAGGTTTCCGGTATTGTGTAGAGCTGCGAGGGCCGTTGCGTACGCAGCAGGCAACGTTGCCGCTTCTTCAAACGAGATGCTGTCGGGGATCCTCTCGATCAGCGCCTCAGACGTGCGTAGGTGCGAAGAAAAGCTGCCGGTCCCAAGGCCGATGACGCGATCGCCCACTGCAAAGTCTTTGACATCGGGGCCGATGGCTGAGATTCTCCCACTGGCGCTCACACCAAGACCTCCGGCAGGGTAAGGGCTGATGCCCATAACCTCGGCGACATCCTGTGAGTGAAGTAAAGTCAGTACAAAGGACGATGCAAATTTGATGCACGTTGAACATACCTTGGAGCTGAGCCCAGCATAGAAGACCTCGACGTCGACCTGGTCTCTAACCAGGGGCTCAGATACACGGGACTCCCAGCTCAGCGAAGTCAGGCGGCCCGGCTTCTCAGCCACAAGAGACACTCGCTCCTCTGCGACACGTGTCGAGATCCGCTCATCGCCGAATGTGAAGGGATAGATGCGAGGCACATTGATTGTGCCGTCGACAATTGCATACTCATAGTTGGGCCGGAAGAACTCGTCCTCGTATCTCTTCTGGAAGTGGGCGAAGGCGTCAACTACGTCGTCAAGTGAGACGCTCACATCGTCAACCTCGCAAGTGGCGAAGTCGATGGTGTCCTCGTGACGGATGGAGCGGATCGCGCCAACGACTGTCGCGTACCGCGGGTCCTTGGACTGCATCTGAGACGGGCGGGTGACCCAGAACAGGCCTGACTCGCCAATATTGGCAAGAAGCTTTTGGAGAGTCTTGAAGCGGTGCTCATCGATGTCCTCGAAGAAAGGACTGGTCTCATCAAGGAGACTGATCACATCCTGAGATCCTCCCGGCAGCTCATCGCCGAAGCGACACTTGTCGACGGTATAGCCTCGGCTTTCAAGCTTACGGCTTACGGCGTCGACATTCTTACCATCATGCTTGTAGGCCAATACAGTCACAGTCTTATTGACGCTTGGGTTGACGTCTTCTTCGGGCCTGGCTATCATGACGGCGCTCAGCTGGTGCGGTGCTGAGGAGTCGAGCACCACGTCCGGCGCAGCGAAGCCAGCGCGCTTCAGCTCGACTTCCCAGCGCTCGGGAGACACGTAGGGCTCGTCGGGTCGTCCGTCGTTCTCACCAACCCACCAGTCATCCAGGAACCCGAGGATGCAGTTGATCCACTTAGACTCGGTGTTGAGCTCCTGCAGAAGGAGACGACCGCCGGGTGCCAACAGCTTGCGGACATTGGTCAAGGAGCCGGACAAGCTTGGAGTGGCGTGAAGATAGTTGGTCGCCACGATCAGGTCGTATTTGTCGTCTTCCTTGAAGCCCTGCTCTGCTGGGTCCTTGCTAATGTCTAGCACGCGCGACTCAAAGTTGTCCAAGTTCTGGAAGCGCTTCCTTGCGTCGGCAACGGAAGTCGACGAGGGATCGGTGAAGGTGTGCTTGAAGTAAAGGGCGCCGCCGTTAGGGAGGACCAGGTCCTTCAGCAAAGAGGACGTTAATTGTCCCGTGCTACCACCGAGCTCTAGAATGCGAAGGCTTGGTCTTGCGTGCCCCAGACTCCTGAGGAAGGCTGTACGGTTGACGGTGTTGGCCGCAGCAAATAGCCTGGTAAGAAGATCATCTTGTGAGAGAACATCAATGACGTCCTTCTCGCCAGTGAGTAGGTCGACAATGTGCTGGCCGATCTCGAGAATACAGTCTGCACAGGCAGCAAGTGGCGACTCGGCCATGAGCTCTCCGATCCCGTGAGCCCTGTCGACGATTTGCGGGATATCAAGGGCGTGTCCAGGATGATCCTTGTCGAGGGTTTGGAACTGTCGGCCGATCCAGGCTGCGAACCGCTGGATGGAGGGATTCTCTGACAATTTGACATCCTCAATGCATCTCTGGAAGAAGATGAAGCAGAGTTCGCCCAGCTCGTTCAGCAGGGGCGTCCACTTATCACCATCGAACTCGGGTTTAATGAGGGAAGCCGCGTTGATGAAGTCAATGTGAGGCTTCCAGTTGACCCGCGCACTGATGGGGAGTTTGTGCACGACGTCCTTGTCACCTTGTTCGATGGGTGTGAAGGCGGCCTTTGGGATCCTTAACACGGCCTTGCCGTTTGCAATAACCTGGAACTGACCTCTAATCTCACCGCTGCCAGGCTGTACATCTGTCAATGCTGTCACCGTCATCTCTGACTCCGAGGCGCTGCGGAAAATGGTCACCTCCTCAATCAAGGTAGGCATTGCGGCGCAGTTGCTGACGTCGAGCTTGCCGGATCTGGCAGCAACAAGACCCATCTGAAGGGCTGCGTCAATAACAGTAGGGTGCAGGTGGTATTTGTTCTCGTCTCCGTTGAGATGGCCGGTCAAACTGCTCACGGCTCTTGTCTCTAGGGTTCCTGCGCTGATCTTATCCAGGCGCTGGAAGGCTGGTCCATACTCCATTCCGGCCTTTGCAAGAGTATTGAAGACCTTGAAGGTATCCAACTTCCGAGGAAGCGACTTGACCTCTTCAGCCTGGGTTAGCCCGGTAGATGGCACGGCTGAGACCTGGCCGACACAGTGCTTCACCCACGAATGACCATTGTAGGAGGCGATAGAGAACTCCCACCACTGACTATCTGCCGAGTCCGTCAGACGATGAGGACGCAGGTTTGTCACCACCTCGGTATCAACTCCCTCTTGCAAGATCAGTGCCTGGCTGAGCACCACATGAGAGAGGCTGTACGACTCCTCGATGCCACTCAGCTGTCGGATTGCCTCTCCTGCCATGGCGAAGTAGCCGGCGGCAGGGAAAACAATCGTACCCTGGATCTGGTGGTCTCGAAGCCAGGGAGCGTCCTCAATGTTGGTCAGGCTCCTCCAGCTTGGCTCAAGACTGGTACTCTCCAGCTGCCGACGTCCTAGCAGCGGATGTCTGGGGAACTTTGGGTGCCTCCACTCGGCCGACATGCGAGACTCAACCCAGAACTCGCCCTCGTAGTTCCAGGGGTAGCGCGGCAGATCTGGAAGCGTCTGTCCAGCGGGGGCAACGGCCGCGTAGTCGATCGAGACGTTGAGCTCAAAGAGCTTGCCAACGACGGCCAGATACGACTGCACGCAATCCTCGTTGCGTGTCATTGCCGACAGATATGGCGGAGCGGCGGACGCCTTGGCGAAGATCTGTCGTGCCGGGCCTGCGAGGGCTCCGTGAGGACCAATCTCAATGAAGGCTGGGTTTTTGAAGTGCTTCAGCACCCCGGCCACTGCAGGGCTGAAGAGTACGGGTGACTGGAGGTTCTGCTGCCAGTACTTGGCGTCGAGTTTGCGCTGCTCTGGCTCACCAGTGCCGGTTACACTGGAGAAGAAGGGCTTGATTGCCTGCTTACCCTCGATGTGTGGCTCAATCATCGCATGGTAGTCATTCCCAATCTCTTGCATGTGGTACGAGTGATACGCCTTTTCGACCTTGAGCAGTCGAGCCGTGACATCGGGATGCGCCTCCTTGATACGCGTGACAGCGGCTTGTACCTCTTCAGCGTCACCCGAAAGAGTGACGCTCTTGGGAGAGTTCTCGCACGCGACGACAACATGGGGCCGGTTCAGGAACGGCTCGACTTCAGCCCAGCCCAGGCCGACAGCGGCCATGGCGCCCTTTCTGTTCTGGAGCTTGGCGGCTTGTCCACGTTGGTAGGCTCCGATGATGGCCTCCTTTGCAGTTAGAGCACCAGCTGCGTAGGCAGCGGCGAGTTCACCACTGCTGTGGCCCACGACTGCTGCGGGCTCAACGCTGATGCTTGCGAAGAGGTCTATCATGGCGACCTGGACAGCAGTGCATAGCGGCTGTGAGAGCTCTGCCTTCTGGACACGCGACGTCTTCGCCGATTTTTGCAGCTCTCCCTCAATTGTCCACTGCGGAGGCTCAGGAATAGCCTCAAGATACTTGTCCAGCGTTCTGATGGTCTTCTGGAAGACGAGATCATCGCGCAATAGCAGCTCGCGGCCCATGCGGGGCCATTGTGCGCCTTGTCCTGTAAACACCATGACCAGACTCACGGGCTGACCCGGGATCTTTCTTCCCTGGGATGCCGGGATGTCGTTGGTACCCGCGATCTTGAATGACCGATGGGGGAGGTGCTCACGCCTATTGTCGAGCGTGTAGGCTAAATCATGTAGCCTATCGGTCATATTTGGGTTCTGCACAATCCAGTCCTCGTAACCATTGATCATGGACTTCAATGACGGGGCAGAACCTGCCGAGAAGAGAAGCAATTGGGGATCCGTGTCTCGGTCGCTGTCTCGAATCGCCGACTTGGGAAGGTTGAAGCTTCTTGCCGAGTCGAGAATGACATGGGCGTTTGAGCCGCCGAGTCCAAAGCTGTTGACGCTGACTCTCTCACAGCGATCCTCGGGGAAGGGTGTTGGCTCCACGGGAACAGTGAGCTTTCCCTTCTCGAAAGGAATCTTGGGGTTCGGAGTGTTGAACTTGATGTTCGGCGGGATGGTGCGATGTTCCAGAGACATGACAGCCTTGATCAGAGACACCAAGCCAGAAGCTCCTTCAGTGTGGCCGACGTTGGGCTTCACAGAGGTGATGTGAATGCCGCCGTCTCCAAATACGTTGGCCACTGCTCCGGTCTCAATGGGGTCTCCAACTGCTGTACCAGTCCCGTGGCATTCGAAGTATGCCGTCTTGGAGAAGTCCTGAGAATTGCCAAATGTTAGCCTCGTTCATCTAATCAAGCGAATCCGATCGTCAAGGAATAATAACTTACCGTGATACCAGCCTGCTTGTAGGCGAGACGGATCATCGCCTCGTGGGCTGCCCCATTCGGCTGCGTAATGCCTTGTGTCTTGCCATCCGAATTCGCCACAGCGGCTCTGATAACGGCCCGGATCGGATTGCCATCTCGAATGGCAGCATCAAGAGGCTTCAAGAACACGGCTGTGAATGCTTCACCACGTGCATACCCGTCCGCATCTGCAGAGAAACTCTTGCAGGAGCCCTCGGGAGACAAGATGCCCTTTTCAGTCATCTGCTGTGTCGTCCCGGGTGCTAGGATCAAGTTGCCACCGGCTACTATGGCACCTTCGCAGATACCACGTTGAATAGCTGAGCAAGCCTCATTGACACCAATCAGAGCTGACGAACAGGCTGTACGGATGGTCATGCTACGCAGTATTAGCGGCCTATTACACAACACAAGGGTTTGCAAACAAACCTTGGTCCAGTCAGACCAAACTCGTAAGATATACGGTTGGCAAGCATCCAGTCTTGATAGCCATCAATCTTATTTGGACCATGCCACAGGGGGTCTCTGTTCATCATCTCTCCCCAATCTTCGTTCATGTTTCCAAAGTAACATCCAATTTTCTTGCCCTAAAGTCGTCGTCAGTATTCTGGGTCGTAACATGGCAAGCAGGAAACACAATATTTACTCTGAACTTGGCCTCTCCAGCGTCTTCAAACGCCTCTGTGACAACTTCCAACAAGCGCCGCTGCTGAGGGTCCGCATACTCAACATCAGCACGGCTCATTGAAAACCGAGTTGTGTCCATGGCACCGAGTTTCACATCTTCGTCCAGGAAGTAGCCATACTCGGTGGCAACAGTTGTAGGTCGCTTGGATGTTTCGTGGTAGGCTGACACATTGTAGCGTGATTTGGGGACTCGACCTCTTGCGTCACCCTTGTTCACGAGGAATTCCCAGAATTCTTGTGGGGTCGATGATCCTCCGGGGAGTCGAAGGCCCATGCCACAGATTGCTATGGGGACGGCCTTGTCGTTGGTGTTGTCCACCTGTACGCCGTTGGTACCGTTTGTGCCATTAGCATGAGAATCACCATTCGTGTGTCCGTTGGTGCCGTTGGTGTGCGAGATGCAGTTTGTACGATTGGCATGGGAGCCACCATTCGTATGTCCGTTAGTGCCGTTGGTATGTGAGATGCCATTGGTACCATTGATTCCGTTTGTGGCTGTCATGTTGATGGTTTGGTAAGCCGCTGATGGAAACTTGTTTGTCGTAAATGCCAGGTATCATGATCTCAAGGAGAGGGGCTCTTATTATTATATCAAGACTCGTAGAGTTCTTCTCGCCCTTGAGAAACATCGCTTCGCCGATTGAACGCAAGCGAACCCGGGTAGCAAGCACCTACTCGTCGGCATTGCTGAGATTCGGAAGTCAACTTGCACGCGAGATGTCGTAGGCACTCCAACACAAGGATCCAGCTAGAAATTCTCGGTGTAAGACCGAACACCCCGAATGGGGGCCAAATCCCAACAGGCCGATTCCGCAGCTGCGGATACGGATGACCAAAGCCCGAAACCCACTCCGACGCACCATGCCAAGAGACCGAATAAGGGAATCCTTCGATCGGCTCACATTCTGCAGCTTAAAGTGCTTACAGTGCATCGGGGCATTGGAACTCACAGACAGGATCGGTTCAAGCTATGCGGAATTGATGAAGGATCCACAGTGCCGTCCACTTAGAGGCTTGGACCCGTAAGCAGTGCAGTCGGGGAGTTACGATTTTCGCCACTCAATCCCTGCATGACCTATTTGGAACCTCGGTAGGATTCTCCAGCATGCTACGATGCTTGCATGTGTCGTCGGATTGAAAACTCGACTTGGACGATATGTCATTTTGCTGCGCTACGGAGCATGGATCAGGTAATTAATGTACCTCCAGAAAGATCAAATATACCGGTCATTATTTACGTACTTCAGGTATAAATAGATATACCTCTAGGTACCCATGAGAGGAACCAATTGTTGTTGCAAACATAACCCCGATATACTTTGAAACTTGGCGACTTCACCTCAACCACATCTCCAGTTAACTTTTCTGCAAATCCGACCATTCGTTGATTCGAGTTTCTCCGCATTGCGATAAAAAAGATGGCTGAGGTCAACAAAGATTTGGGAGTCCAATGGAGAGAAGAATGGGCCGTTGCTCAGAAAATCAAGGGGCCCAGCCTGGTAAATAGCTCTGTCTTCTACCGAAACATTGAAGCAGAGCTGGACCTCTCGCGGCAAATTGGCCTCGGCTTCCCAATTCACACCCCCAGTCATGTCACAGACTTCTCCTCTTGCGATGTTCTTGGAATGGGCGCTACCGGTGCTCTGAGGGAGGAGTTCATGAAAGAACTTGAGGCCAATCCTGGGTTCCACATGGGTGCAGGCGGATCGCGCCTCTTGGACGGCACTTCAAGGTACCAGGACATGTTTGAAAGGGAACTGGCAGAGCTCATGGGTGTTGAGTCGGCCCTGGTGGTGCACTCTGGATGGACCGCCAACCAAGCCATCTTTTCGACCGTCCCTCGTTCTGGCGATGTGCTTGTGTACGACGAGCTGATGCACGCCACGGCGCTTTCCGGCATGAAAGTCAGCTTGGCTCTCGAGCAGAGACCTTTCCGTCACAATGACGTGGAGGACTTCATCGAAGTCATGGAATCTGTCAAAGAATCAATCCCTCTCGTCAAAGCGGGCAAGCGGTGTGTCATCATCGGCGTTGAGAGCTATTACAGCATGGACGGTGATATTTGCCCGCTGAGGGAGCTTATCGAAGCCGCCAAGGAGATCTTCCCCCATGGTAACGCCCAGTTCATCGTCGATGAGGCTCACAGTTACGGCGTCTGTGGCCCCGAGGGCTTGGGCTTCGTCAGGGAGCAAGGCCTCGACGACGAGGTTGCTATCAAGATGGTTACCTTTGGCAAGGCCTTGTCTGGATCTGGTGGTAAGCATATCACGAAACCCCAATTCGATCAACGTTACTGACATTGTGCGAAGCATGCATTTTGTCCAACAATACCATCCGTTCGCTCCTAATCAACCAGGCAAAAGTCTTCATCTGCTCTGTTGCACCTCCGTTCACGTTGCTGGCAGCGTGCCGTGCCGGAGTTCGACTCATGCGGACCCAGAAGATGCAAGAGGTAATACCCGATTATCATTATTGTTGAGTTTATCCAGGCTAACTCATAACAGACTCGTGATTATCTGCACGAACTCACGTTGTTCTACTTGGATACGCTTACCGCCCACCCCATCTACAAAAAGGCCCACAAGAAGGGAATCCTTGACATCCCAATTCATGAGGATGGAAGCTGGCACGAAACACCAATTACTCACATCGTGCCTCTCTGGACGCCTCGCCAAAAGCACGCGCTGTACCTGGCTTTCCACCTCACGAGGGACGGCATCAATGGATGCTACATTGTCTTTCCCATTGTGGGCAAGGGAGAAGACCGAGTGCGACTGCTACTGCACGCCCACAACACCAAGGACGACGTGAGGAAACTGATTGACTCGATCACTACCTGGACTCAAGAGATGCTGGACATTGAAGCAAGTGGTGACAAAAACAGACTTCCGAGCGCAGCCCGTCTTGCATTCGATCTCATCAAGAGAGATAGACAGATCCCAAATGGCAGCAACGGCGCCAATGGCAGCAACGGTGTAGATGGCGCCAACCTCTTCAATGCTGTCAATGGCAGCAGCGCCATGAACATTGCTCCGTTGGTCAGTGGCATCAGTCGGATGAATGGCCGAGGTGGGATCATTGTTTAGAAGGAGTTTCTATGGTAGATGTCTCTTAGATTTATTCCCTAGGTTAAACAATAAATAGTTTCCTTCAGTTGAGTCTCATTTTGTCAATTTCCCTCTTTATGACGTGTATGAGCTACAGCCTCCATGCTATCTTTCTTATAACATATTCTAGTAAAATCGTGACACAAGCGGCGTAAACGAGTAAGTGGTCTCTTCGTTATCCCAAACACACAATTATCCCCGTAAAGCTGCATGTATGTGACAAAATCAGCGCATAATCGGTCTTGGATGGATTAATCACCCTATAAAACAAAAGGAGGGTCTTTTTTGAACCTGCAAATCCGCGCTAGCTCCGAATGAAGAGAGCAGCGACTAACATAAGGTGCATGAACTTCTAGAAATGCTCTTTATACAATAATAGAATGTTCCCAAAATATGGTTACGTATATAGTCTTTCTAAGTAGTTTTATCGATATGCCCCTCGTAGAGATCACCTGCTAAATGGCCTCTGAAATATAACCGTCTTCCTGCATCATGGAAAGTGTAAACTGGTTTATAATGGGTGTTACACCCAGAACTGCTTCAATTCATTGATCAATTGGAGAGATATGGCGCTCAGGCGTCGCCGTAGTTCGTCATACAACTGGTTCAGAACTGCTGCCGAAAACGGAAATGCTGGCATAGTAGAATCGTGGCCCGCAGGAGTAAGGTCGGTGCCCAAGAACCAATCTCGTTTTGAGCACACGGATACAATCTTCGTGCCTAGATGATTCACTGATGTCCGCACTTGATAGAGGTCATCTAACAGCTGCTGAACAGCTTTAGGATCTCTTCCCTTCGTCGCCGGCGAGGCGCTGGAGGCAGACTCTGTTCCAGCGGATGACCAGCCAGACAGGGCTGATGATGAATATGAGCCTAGCTTTCTCTGTCCATCTCTTTCACAAGCACTCAGGGCTTGGGCTGCCTTGACGTAAGCGTCCAGAACCTTGGACATGACCAAACAGACAACGGCAAGAAAATAACCATCCTCGGAGCCGGGGTGCTGGAGCATATCGTTGACGGTTTCTGTCACCACTCTGGATTCATCCACGAGCGTATGTGCCCGATATTCAAGTTCCGAAGGGGAGACGTTGAGGTTTGAAGGGCTGTCCTCCTCGCAACAGAGCTGGCCCATCAGCTGCAGGGCCATCTTGATCCCTTCTGGCTGCCGAGATAATATCGGAGTCTGGAAATTGCCGAGTTCTTGAAAAAGCTGCTTATGCGGCAGGGAGCATGCGGTTGTATCGGTAATTGATTTTGGCTTCTCCTGTGCGCCAGGATCTTGACGAGAAAGAGAAACCTTGTCTGACAGGAAGTGTATATCGGGTTGGGTAGGGATACGGGGCTCTGTAGTCGAACTCCCATCAGGGCTTCCGTCAGAACTCCCATGAGAACCGAGCTTGTGCTCGGTAGGGACGTCATATGCGTCCATGGCGTTTGCGTAGAATTGGATCGGCGAGGCGAAATTGAGATCCACCGGAAGCATGGACAAGTCACCATGACCACTTGAAGTCAGCATTGCCGTGTCAAGATCCAGAAGTGAGAACTCCGGCGTCGATCCCCTCCCCAGAGAGGACAATGTTGCAGGTGACAAAGGCGCCGTCGTGTGAGCAGAAGTGGGTCGCTGCATCGTATCCTCTTCTGGATCACTTCGAGTACGGGCCTTTCTACCGGTCCTTTGCGTGACCAGGTATTTACACGCCGTCCCTCTCTCTGCGCACCTGTTGCATTGCGGTTTATCTTTGGAACATTTGACTTTCGAGGCCGCACAAGCTTGGCAGCTGTCACGTAGCCGGATACCCGATGGAGCGGGCATTGCTACGGCTAACCAACAGCCAAGGACCAACAGCCAAGGACCAACAGCCGGTGCGTATACGACTTCAGGGTGGGTAACAGTAAGGTAGTAGTATGTAGTGTAACTCCATTGGGGCCGTTGTGATGCGTTGCAATAGAGAAGGTGGGAAGTAGGGCAGAAAGTGCCATATCTGTTATATAGGAAAGAATGTTTCGGCAGAAGGGATGTCACCATCCGAGCTTTTCGTCGCGGTAGACCAGCAAAAGGGGACATCTCGCTTTCTCCGTGTTCTGAAGGAGAGAAGAACTACGCCATGCTTACTCCGTGTGTGGACGCCGAACTCCCATTCGTTCTTGTCACTCTGTGGCGTCGAAACCCTGAAGGAATGCAGAGACGGATGTCAAAGATTAAACTCGGCCGTAAGAGCGAACCAGGGTTCTCATCCTCCAAGGTGGACGGCTATCAATCATGACACTGCCTCTTTATTATTAGGCAGCCAAACGCTCCCCCTGTTGACCAGTCTTCATACCGTCCAGGACCGGAAGGTGTAGTGGTGCTGCAGGCAAAGCTTACAGGCCGCGGCCGGTTCTTGCAAGCTCTGCTGCATATCGAACCGGTCTTGTTGTCACGTTCCGCACCATCTGCAGCACATGTGTAATGTACATACGCGAGGCACTGCCCTATAGGGTGCGTATATGCCTTGCGACATGTCGATTGACTCTGACGCTACTGATGGCCCCTGTCCGGCACCGGCTCCGGGTGGCGTTGATACATGCATGAGCTTCGTACCGTAAAATCTTTAATAGTGCTGAGGCAGCTTTCTTGTCCTGCCTCCACAGCTGCCTTTGCAGGTTGCAGGTACTGTAATTTTGGTGATGATCTCGCTCATACTTTGGTACACAGGACAGATCAGCAGGACCCCGTTTTTTGTAAGCAAACAAGCGGAAATCGATGTATCATTAATAGGACTTTCTCTCATTCGCCGATATCCCTGCCCGGTACAATAGAATAAGCTGCTTAGCAATGTCAATGGGATGCACAGCCTGGCGTCTTGGCAAAAGCCTACATGATCCGGTCACCTCCAATCATCTCACCGATGACGCCGTTTTCTTACCTCTTCTCATTCCGGAATCTGTGGGACCGTTATCGACTCAGTTGAGATTTTACGGTACTATTGAAACGGTCTCCGCCGCCACCGACATGGAAGGTCACATCATCCAGACCGCGGAATTGATCCTGCAGTCGGCCGCCAATTAGACGAAGCTCATACGAGACAACAAAGCATGGTGGCTGTCTGCCAAGCCAACAAGCACTGTGACCCGCAAAAGGTCAGCCGAGTGCAGTTATAAATTGGAGACAGCTCGGCTCGCGCAGGTCCAGCGCTGATTCCTCCTGCAACCTTACCTCGCTCACCCTTGCCACATCATCATCATCGCCATGGCGTCCTCTCACCAGGTGGAGTTGCATCGCATGCCACACGAAGCCAACATACGGCACCGCGGAGAAGACTGGGCAGGCATCACGAACCAGAAGGAGCGAAAGAAACTACAGAATAGGCTGAATAAACGAGTTTGTGAGTGACGATGACGCATTTTTCCTGAATTGGTTGGAACGCATCAATGCTCAACGGGAATCAGCAAGGCGGAGAAAAAGAAGAAATATCGGCGATAATGCATCCCCAGATGCCGCTTCCTCCAATGCCGCTCTCACTCCGAGTCTTCCACAATCCCCTGCGACAGCCTCTCCACTGGACAGCCTCATGACGACATTTAGTCATTGCTCAGAGGACAACGTTGCGCAGAAGCGAGCTATTCTCAAACGATTCGCCGAGCAAGCGCTGACGAGTTATATGACGGCCGACCCGTGTGCCGACCACCACCTGAAGCTTATACAACTCAACACCATCAATGGCTTCACAAGAAACGCCGCCGCGCTGGGCTTCAACTTTGACTGGCTAATCTGCGAGTCCATCTCTCCTTTTAGCCGGGACGGGCAGAATGGCAAATCGGGGACAGCGCGCGCAGCCCCGGTGCCGAGCAGCCTCATGCCCACGAGCATGCAATTGAGAACGCGGCACCACCCGTGGCTTGATCTGTTTCCGCTGCCCAAAATGCGCGACAACCTGTTGATCGCTGCAAGTATTTTAACGGCCGAGGACGAGCAGCGGCTATTTGAAGATGTCATGGAGTCAGGTGGAGGGAGGAACGAATGGGCTGGACTCGTGGTTTGGGGGGAGCCCTGGGATCCTCAAAGCTGGGAAATAAGCGTTCCTTTTCTACAAAATTGGGGGTGGCTCTTGAGAGGTTGCCCAGAGATTATAGTGTTTACCAATCACTGGCGGAGTCAGAGAGGCGAAGAGCCGATTGCGAGTCCAAGTTATGTCCAAGAGTAGCAGGAGGATAAATGCGATCCAAGGTTTTGATCCATCAGGTTAGACCCACGAACAAGAGCAGCTTAGAGCTCCCCTTTTAACACCGCACTCCAATCCTGGCTTCGAAAGTAGTCCTCCAACGAGGTCGTCTTGATGCCCAGCTCCGCTGGAGCCTTGACATTGGGATTGCCACCAGCGTATCCATACTCTGCGAAAAACCTGACATCGTCCACAATGCTCACCTCAAATCCCTCTGGGATGTGCTTTACGTATTCTTCCTCCGAGACGTCTCGCACTGTCGCTGTGACGCCCAGTGTGCGACCCCAAAGCGCGGCGTAGTCTGGCTTGGTGATGATCTCACTGGCACCCAGGACATCTGTGCCAGCTGGGTAGTGAAGAACCAGCGCCTCGACAAACGCGCCCGTGTCCCGGGTGGCTACCACCTCAGGGTTAGCTTCATGCGAGCCTGGGACTTTTAGGCGCACGTATTCGAATGTGCCGTCTGGTTGCTTGTGTGGCCTGAAGGCGGAGATGTCCCGCCAGGTCTCTTGGAAGATACCCATGGTGACAGTGCTCAATCGGGCGCGCAGCTCGGGGAGTTCGTCCCGGATGTAACTCTCGACGCCGGCCTTGGAATCAAACTCGTATGCATGCTTGTATTTGCCGCCGCTGATTTTCTGCACGGCGGCCAATGTGGAAAAGACAAACCTCTCCAGAGTAGAGAGGACGGTTGGATCAGAAGCTGCCGTGGCGATATTGACACCAAGCGACTTTTCCACGTCTCCGGCGTACTCCTCAATCGACCTCCCTGCGGCCTTTGCCTTGTCCTGCAAGCCCTTGTCCTCACTGACTCGGGCGAAGCTGGCGGCCCAATCGGTAACGGCAAAGATGGCGTGCGCGCCTGTGAAGGCGGCCTTGAGGGATTCTACATCATCGTGATCGCCTTTGACGATCTCAACCCCTCTGGTCGCCCACTCCTTCGCTTTCACCGAACCGGGGTTGCGTGTAAGCCCGCGGACTCGCCATTCGGCGTGAGTAAGAAATCGGTCAGCAACGGAGCCACCCTAGACCACATGTTATTGTCTGGCTGGGACATGGTATGTTGGAGGGTGTTGAAGATACCTGCGTTCCAGTAATCCCCAGGATCGTGATGAGTTTTTTCGTCATGATTGCGTTTGATCAGTGCTGAAATCTGTCTCATCAGATCAACTAGAATTTAGAAAGACGGTGTACTTTATTTATTATTCATCCCATCCAACTGCCTCCTTGGCAAACTAACACCAATCGTCACTAAACTCTGTATCACGGATCAGGCGAATCGTAATCGTCCCGATGTACATTCCTTCTCGGAACTTGTCGAAAGATCTGCAAAGCATGTGCGCAACCGAGTCGTGTCCTCAACGCCGATCCGGTGGCTCATCTGACTTAGGCGCATGCATGTACGGCACAGGCACAATGCTGTAATCTCCGACATGCGTGAATACGATGATGCACTTGGCTGACACCGTAAGCGATTCATCTTATCGACACGGTGCTGTCTAAGACGTGATGACGTTATTCGAATTGCGTGATGGCGCTTGAGATGCATCTGGCTGACACCGTACGAGATGCAGTCATCGGGCACTGTGTCTTTGTTCTCCATCCATGATACAACCGGCTGCAGGGAGACTGAACCCCACCAATATCCGCCAGCAAAGTGGAATGCTCCACCAGACAAGCTTGATAATATGCATCATGTACCTTGACAATACCCCCCGGCAATGCAGAGCACTACTGTACATCGGAGACGGAGCTTTAATCCGGCCCGGGCCGCTCCGAAGAGTGTGCCGGGGCCCCCTGTTGCAAGTTCACTCATTCCTCTTGTTTTGTTACACGACAGAGCCTGGGTGTGAGACAAAAGATCTTGCAAGATTACTCATTAAGCACGTGCTGCTCGCTGCTTGGCATTATTACCGATGTCGGAAACAGGTAGTCGCTTGCGGAACATGGCTTATGCAGACCTTTGGAGGGCCTTGCGTAAGAGCTGCTTCATCTAATCACGAGAAAGAGAATCTTGCTATCCGACCTACTACACCTTGAGATGGGAATCGACGATGAAAGATCTTGTATTGTTTAGCTAATGAAGGTCTAAGGGTTGGTCTTACGCAGTAAATACACGCTTTTTGGAAGATGACAGTTATCGTTGAAGCCCATCAAGATGATACATGTCTTGAGACTTCAGGCTGTTGATGGCAGATACGTCGAGTGATAAGCCTTCTTAGGAATCCTAGGCTTCAAGGAAAATTGGTGGTTTTGGCACAAACTAGCAACCAGACGCCGCCGGTTGTCTTGCCTACTTCGTGGGAGTCCAAGCATCCGCGTCTGCCCATCGGTCCAAGACTAGACCTGCACTCCCAGGGTTGCGGTAGCCGGCTTCCAGCTGCTTCTCGTAGCTCACGCGACGTAGTCTTTCGGACTCCTTAGGTGTCAGCCATAGATACGTCTCCACGCCGACTACGTGGAGAAAAAGACAGATCCATAGCTATTTTTGTTCAAGTCAGTTATGGACATCTTCACGGGTAATGAAGAGTCAAGGGCTTACCATGGTTCCGAAAGCGATAACGTAGCTTGAGCCCAGTTGCTCCAACTTGTCCTCATTCTCCACTGCACTGACAGCAACGCGCTTCCAACGATCAAGGGTTCCATCTGGCAGAAAGCAGTCCGGATAATCGGCCTTGGGAAATTCCATGTCGTAATTTGTGTAAAGGAAACTGATCTCGTCGCACATCCAGACAGACCAGTAGTTTCCGATTCGCGTAATGATCGGAGTGGCAGCGAGGTTGAGAAGACGGGCCGTAATGGTGACCCCCATGTAAAACATGGTCCGTAGCATCCAAGCCCGGTGCTGGTCGATCTGCTTGCGACGGATGTTCCACCAAGCCATAAATATCCCAATGGTCGTGATAATACCCATGAGCATCTCAACGGCATGACTAGTGGCCCGATGTCCACCTTGTTTGTGTCTAATAATAACAAAAGCCGCCGCGTTACTGACAAGACAGAGCAGCATGACGATGTAACCATTGATGCGGTGGAATATGAGGAACTTGTGGCGAATGATTGGTGTAAACTGAAACACCATGAGGATGCCTGCGGGCAATATGCATGCAAGATGGATGAGCATGCCGTAGCGGTAGTGCCCCTCGTGGAAGTAGTACCAGTAGCCCGGGACTAAGGCAAAGTGCTCCTTGAAGTGGCCGTCGTAGTCCAGGTCTTCGAGACGGGAAAGAGAAAACCCCAACATACCGCCGGCGAAGATCACCCCTTGAGAGCAGCCCGTAAGCAATTGAAGTGTGCAATGCACACCAGATGATACTTACATAAAGGAAAGTTGTATCCGCGAGTAAAGCCGAAGAACTTGTACACCTTGGCATACCGAGCCGCGTGACCACTGAGGCTCGCGTTGCTTTCGGATTCTGGGCTTGCCGAACTGACATCGTGGCTCTCCTCTGCTTTCGACATGGCGAAGGAATTGAGGAATGGTGCTCTGAGATGGAAAACTTGATCCTCAGCAACAAATAAGATGATGGGTGGAGAGATGTTTAAGCTGTTGTAGGAAGCGCAATCATACAATGCTATGGGTTATCAGGAGCGGTGCTAACGATATATGTCGACAGTCTTTCTAATCACGTGCGAGTCTTTTGAAATATAGATCCGAGTACGTGGACAATCGATTCCTTCAGATATGGTGGCGTTGAGCGATGTCATACGATGAGAGACGGGATGGACCGTTCAAAGAAAACGAACGGCCGCTACCCCGGCTCTTCTCCCGGCATTTCAGCAGGGTCCAGACGTCCGGAGTGGAATACCATTGCCGACGCAAGCACTTGGCTGCCTTAGTTGCATGTCTATTACGCCGGCTTACACCGGCGGCCGCGGATCCGACAGATCACTACTACCATCATCTAAGCCGTGCCAAGACCCCGAAAGTGCCCGTTTGACGAATCAAACGCTCCGGATTGGAGCACGTCGAAAGAGGCATGAAGACTTTTCCCCATTAGACTCTAGGGACAATCGCATGCTAGCTACGGATCGAACCATCTTCGCTGCTAAGGCAACTGGGAAATGTCATTATCAATCTCAACAAGGGCTGTTAATACCTCACCTTGACTGCTTAATTATAGCTTATCGCAATTTGATTGTTAAATGTACTACGCGACTGTTACCAAGGAAGAACGGAAACATCCAATGAACTGACACTGAATGTTTTACTGAATTGACAGTTGTTGCTTCGGCATGATGGATATTGCGATTCATGCCTTGATGCGGCCATGTTCAAGAGGTTACATGTGTGACACAAGCATCATCATATTCGTACACATCAATCCATATATAAATAATGTCATATCTCTCCGTACATTGTTCCTAATTGCACTTTTTACCTCCATAACCTATCCCATCGACAATGGTCAACACCCTGACATCACAGCACACATACTGTCTCTAAAGGTTTTCCCCGACTTACCAATTGGGTCGACATATGTTCGCACTCGTTTGTGCATTATTAGACAGCCCCGTCATTGCGGAAAACAGAATCCAGTTAATCCCACATAGAGAATTCCGGGAATACCGATGTATGAACAAACGAAACTAACGATCTAGCCAACAAATTACCGGTAATGCCATTCGCGACAAGGACAAGCCGCACGAACGTAACGATTCAAGACATTTCCAAAAGATCCCACACCGGAGGAACAAAGAGTATGAAGAAAGGAAAAGAAAACAAAGGAAAAGAAAACCCTGAAGCAACCTCCATTTGCCAATTTTGCTTCGTCCCATTCCTATACAGGATCTCCAATATAGTAAGTCCATATCTCGTCTCAAACTAGGCGCCCACTTTGCGGAACTGCATTTTGGTTAGTACAGCATAAAAGTATGTGGTAGAGGGCATGCATACTCCAAGGAACGGTGAGAGAAGGGCTGTGATGCCGCTAGCAACAATGGTCATGATGTAAATATTGCTCATAGCGTCAACAATGGCCTTGGCAAGCTGGGTCTGAACGTCTTCGGAGAAGCTCTGCCACTCAGGACTGCTCGCGCCGGCGAGAATCACGCGTGGGTCACCAATAAAATCTGATGGAAGGATTGGGATGATGTACTTGGCGCCCAGGTTCTGGAAGATGCCGCCGCTGAGGGAGGGGAAGAAGGTGATTCCGATGCACTGGACAAGACTGATGACACCAATGGCGTTGAAAATGTCCTTGGGTTCGACAATGTCCGAGACGCACCCAAAGGCAGTAATCATGAAGCAACCACCTCCAATGCCCAGTAATACGCTGTATCCGTAGATTGCCGAGATGCTCGTGTCGATGGAAAGCGTGTACATGAGGGCACCTCCAGCGACGGCCAGAAGTGAACCAACAAAGAACCACGGCATGTAGTAACCCCATCTCGACATGAAAATGCCGTTAAGAATGGCAACAGTGGAAATCATGAAGACAAAGGGCAGGAGTTTGATAGCGGCCTCGACGGGTGACTCACCCCTGGCAAACTGGAAGTAAAGGGGGATGTAGTAGATGGGAATGTATACAGCTGAAGCGGCGGCAAATGTGGCGAACTGTAAGATTCCCAACTTGAAGTTCCTGAGCATGTGGCTGGGGTACAGTCGATTTTCCTTGTCGACAAAGGGGTAGAATTTGTGTGTCAGGACGAAGCTGATGCCGAGAACGCCCACGAAGACCCAAAGAATGATCATGCTGTAAGACTCCCACTCGAACAGGGTGCCACCATAAGTAATGGCCATGAAGAAGGATACGCACCAGCCGGTCCAGACAGTCAATCCGAGCCAGTCGATCTTGCTCATTCTCTCTTTGGTAGATTGGCCCTTGGCGAAATCCATCGAAGGCAGGATGAAGACCAGGATGGGCGCGGCGATTGCGAAGATCAAAAGGTTGATGTAAAAGCCCCATCGCCAGCCGACGCTGCTTTCTGCGAATCCTCCGCCGACCTGTATAGTAAAGTCAGTCATCTGCATGTTATATAGCCAACCGCGCGAAGCAAACTTACGATTGGGCCCAGGACGGTGCCAATTCCCCATGTGGGAGATATCAGAGCGATATAGAGAGGGCGCTCTTTGGGAGTAGTGACAACGCTGAAGAACGTCAACGAGCCGACGTAAATGCCGCAGCCACCGATGCCAGCAATCATGCGCCCGACGATCAGAGCGTTCATCGTGGGAGCAGCACCGGAAATGGCACTGCCGACCTCGAAGCAAACGACATAGCCAAAGTAGAGCCACTTGATATCGAACAGTCCGTACATCTTGGATTGAATCAGCACCAGCGCCGTGGAGGGCAGGGCGTAGGCGGTAGCGAGCCATGGGAACTTTTGAAAGTCTCCAAGAGACGCGATGATGTTTGGCTGGATGTCTGCTACCACTGTAGTGTCGAGGGCGTATAGGAAGACGCAGGAAAGAATGGCGCCAACGGTCAAAACCCACTTGACGCCGTGAATCTCACGCTTGATTTCAGGTCCTTCATCTTTTGTCGCGTCTGTTGACTTTTCGCCACTGACGGTTGGACTCTCGGCTCGCGTTGGGGTCTCGGTTTCGCTGGTAGGGAGACTGTCGGTAAGACCAGTCTTCTTTTCTTCGTCGCTCATTGTGGCCACTGGTGGACGAAAGAAGCCGCGATGAGGCTTATGGGCCAGAACAGAAGGCAACAGTAGATGTCTCCAACACTTGCGCGTGAATCCTAGCCTTTCGGCCTGTTCTGTCACTTGGGAGAGGGAGGGCCGAAGCAGCAGCTTACCGGGAGGTAAGGTAGGGAAGAAAGATTGTAAAATGAAGAATGAATGTTCAAATGGACCTGCAATGGTGGGATTGAAGACAGTCAACCCGCCTCCTGGATTTTCTGCCTGGCTTAAGCAAATATGATACTCTGCGTGCTTGCAGTGCTTATAGTACATAAGGTAGTCTACTGTGAGCCAAGCCAAGGGTAAATGCGTGCCAAGCCATGCAAATGGCTGACCTTCGAGAGGCTTGAGGGTCACCCGCTACCTGGAGAATGATCGGCAGACATGCTTGTCTCTGAACTTCTGCCTCATTTACGGGTGGGTACGAATATTTCTGTACATCAGAGCTCTGGAATGCAAGCAGCCGACAGGACTTCCACGGATGGGGAACCAGGGATATTCGCATCGTCTCAAGCTTGAGCTCGTACGACCAGTACCTGATGGGCTTGGTAAGCATGAACAGGGATCGTGGACATCGGGTAGTTGCTAGGAGCCTGATTGTCACTCTTCAAGCGCCATCCCGGAACCATGTCCGCCCTTTTGCTGTATTCCATGGACTTTGTCGGCTGAGCGAATGCCATCGTGGCGGAAGCCCTGGAGGAGTTGGTGCATCTCAACAAGCTAATGCAAACGGCTGACCATCCCTGTCACTCCACCAACGGACACGACAGATCGTAATATTATCAATCGACCTTGCTTTCTAAGCCGTGCTAACACCCCGAAATTGTCTGTGCTAACATCCCTTATATCTTGGCACGCTAATGCACTTGGCTGACCTTTGCTATTCGTACCGTGGGGGCCCATTTGCGCCCTTCACATCGGGATCTTGGCATTGTCTGGAAGATCCGAGGCCCGACAGAACCCTGCATAATCGGGGGAGCTTTCTCCTCAACCGTTTATGTCTCCGTCTCCGGGAAGGATCAAGATCTAATACTCCGAAAATGTGGTGCAGTTCCGATATTTAATGCGCCTGACGCTAGTATAAGTCTGTATGTTAAATCAACAACCTGGTGGGATCGATTGAAGCATCTATCATCAAAGAAATAATTGTCAGATTGCTCTTCGACCAATGTCCAATAGCGTTGCGCGATTCATTGTACAAACTAACACAATGGCCAATCCTCTCTCAGCAGCCTCCTTGCTCACCGTTAAGGACTGGGTTATTGTCGGCGAGTGAAACAAAGGGCCCTTATTAAAGAGTTCCACTACTGACAAATCTGTTAATTAGTAACGGGAGGAGGCACTGGAATTGGTCTGAGTACGAATTCGTCATACAAATTAAACCTATGCCGTACCAGAACAGTTGGCCCACTAACGTACTTGTACAGTGTACGCCCAGGCCTTGGCCGCTAATGGAGCCAAGGTCTACATTACCGGCCGACGTCAAGAAGTACTGGAAACGAGTGCCCGCACCCACGGATCTCCAGACAAGATTGGCTCTTCAGGGGGCAAAATTGTTCCCTTGGTCTTGGATGTAACAAACAAGGACAGTATCAAGAGTGGCGTTGATTACATCACCAAGACCGACGGCTACGTTAACGTGTAAGCATCCCAATCTAACCAAACCGGGACACACAGCGAGGTGGTGTCACTACGGAAGGAAATGATTAAAAACGGGCTAATTATATAAACAGACTTGTAAACAATGCCGGCGTTTGGACGACAAAGCCAGAGGCGGGGCCGGAGGACGGACCCGAAAAGTTCGGCAGCTCCATGTTTGACCAGTCTATCGACCTTTGGCAGCAAGGTACTTGATATCCAGCAATTTCGCACTTCGTGAACCGTCCAACACTAATTAATTTACCAAAAGCCTTCCTCGTCAATGCTACTTCTATCTACTTCGTAACAGCAGCGTTCCTGCCACTGCTGGCCAAGTCCGTCTCTAGCCCCACTGGCAAGTTTGGTAGCGTTATCAACACCACCTCCAACAGTGGTCAGCTTAGGATGTAAGTTTCCCACTGATTTGTTTCCAAGGGGCGAAGAGATGCTGACTACAGAAAGGTCTGAGGGCTCGCAGCTGGCCTACAATGCAAGTCAACGCCACTGAACCTCTGCAGTCTCCTACTTCAGAGCTAACACGATGATTAGGTTAGTAAGGCTGCGTCGGTACACATGACCCGTCAACTGGCCTTCGATTTCAGCCACCAGAACATCAAGATTCGCGTCAACGGCATTGCACCAGGTACGTAGAGATGTCCCGCTCTATATTGTCTTCGTTGCTTTAAGTCCACGACAAACACAGAAAAGCTGACGATGAAATTCAAGGATGGTATCCCTCTGAGATGACCACTGGTGGCTCGAATGATAACAACGAGAGCACAGCACAGGAAGACGCGGCATTCCAACAAGAGATGCTTGGCATGGGCGCCCGAGTCCCGCCTGGGCGGATGGGCCAGCCCAAGGATCTTGCCAGCGTATGTTCCAATATGACTGCACCTAAAAGATTTACTAATCTGTTAATTAACAGGGCCTACTGATGCTTGCTACAAACGAGTACATCTGGGGCACGAATCTTGTCATTGATGGTGGTATCTTACAGAGTGTAGCTGGAAATATTTAGTAAAGCCACGACTTGCAGGTTCAAAGTCGATGGGAGAACGTCAACGACATCGCAAGTTGGGTCAACCGCTCAGTCTACCATGCCGCGACTCTAGATTCTCTGTATGGGGGCTATGCCGCGAGGGAAGGAACTTGGGTTGTGTGCGTAGGCGACCGGCTGTACTTTGATCCCGAGAGCAATACGGAGTCGCACAAGGAATATTCAAAGAGTAGATTCCCATAAACAATAGTTCTAGAAGAATTCAAGCCTGGAGACACGATTTCATGTCCCACAGAGGCCATACAATCTCATACAGGAACCTTGAGGGGTTGTATGCATCCGAACCATTCATACCGAGGCATTTCACCACAATGTCCTGGTATCTCTGCCCCAGCACCACGGCCAACTTATCGCGTGCTAGATCCATCAACACTTGTCTAACCCTGGTCCGCCTCTCCTCCATGTTTTCGAACTTCTGCTCCCGCACCTTGCGCACAGATTTCTCCTTTTGCAGCGGCAGCCAAAGGCCAATCTCTAACAAGATGACGCCGAGGCTGTACAGGTCATGGTTCATCTGGTATCGCGGTTGGTCGTTCCCGGGCTCTCCTTGCCGATCTGGGTGCTGGAATAGGTCGGATGCAAACTTATCTGCTTCCGAGGCAGCAGTTTCGTAGCCGCCGATGGAGTAGATGCCGTCTTTGGACCTAGCGCCGTCGAATCCTATGAGGAATGGTCTTCCAAGATACGGGGTTGTGGAAGATATCGGGTCTGGCTGGGGCCTTTGCTTCTCGGCGAGCATCAAGATATTGCTAGTTCGGAAATTCTCGTGGACCCAGCCGTAGCTATGGAGGAAGAACAGAGACACCGCGATCATGGATGCGGCTGAAACTCGCGCGTCGAGAGCGTGTCTCGGCGTATACGTGATCTTGGTTGGGTCCGTCTTCGCAGGCGTGCCCTGGGCTATGATGGAGCGAAGAGTGATTGGCCCATCGTCATGACCCGCCTGCGACGGCAGCTCGTAGCCTCGGGGTATCTTGAACACGAGGCCGAATCGATACATCTGAGGATCAGCCATGTATCCAGCAGAGGCAAGAATCCCGGTCGCCACAGGGTCGGCCAGCGAGAGAAAGTTGCACAGCCTGCCGATCTGTTCCTCAATATAGGTGATGCGGTCCTCGTCGGTGCCGCTGTCATACGACTTGTATTCCACGAGAACACCTGCTCCGAGATATTCTGCAGGGCGCAGTCTACCCAATGTGCTCTGTAGATGGATGTTCGTAGGATCTCTTCGCAGCTGTCGGATTTCCATCGCCGCCGCAGCGACGGCCAGCGAGCTGAATGATGCGCTCAATGAGGTTATCATCTGACTAGCAGAACGGCCGCTGCCACCTTGGCCTTGTGAAGCCTCGAGGCTGTCTCGAATACTCTTGCTGAGTGACGACTTCAGCTCGTTGAAGAGGCTCGACCAATTCCTCAGGTGCGCTGCCAGAGCCTCCAACTGCCTTTTGCGGTACGACACCCACGCAACCTTAAGACCGAGTCGTTTCCACTTTGAGTCCTCGGTGGGTATCTTGGCAAATATGTCTCGTATCTTCTCGATTTCTGGCTGCAGCACGTCGCACGCGGCGATGATGGTCGTCTGCTCATCCGCGCCCAGGTTCGCCTCGACCGCCTGGCGGAACATGTTGACGAATCCTCCCAACGTGACGGCGCTTAGCCGCATCTGAGCAACCAGATTCTCCTCATCGCTGTCCGCTGCGACGAAATCGCTGATCCCAGTGTAAAGCAGCTGGGCGAGCGTGATGGCGTTTACAATCGTGCCGAACGGATCCGGCGAGGACATGGTTGGACGTTTGAGCTTCGGTCCTCCCGGCGTTCTGGGAGATTGTGATGGTGATTAAGGGAAGTTGTGTCAGCTCTCGGCTCTACTGGATGCTTATTGGTGTGACTTTATCAGCTGGTGCGTGGAGGCGTTCGCCAAGCCAGACTATTGGAAGAGTGCATCCTCAGCCGCACTCGCGTTTCGCGATAAAGGAGCCCCAGCCAGATCGCAGATTCCTCGCAACTTTGATTCATTCTCGCCGGATAAGAACACTCAACACGTTGTCTCGGACCATTGACTTGAATTCCGTTGCCAAGATGGCGAGTTCAGACTCGGTATATATCGATGAGGACGTCTACTCACGAGAGTCCACAGATCCCGGCGGCATTGTCCAGGCGACGGGACGAGAGCGGATTTTTGTATGGCATTCCTTCCTCGATCTTGTGTTGAGAGCCGACGTTCCCATCATTACTCCATCGGAATTCGAGGATGCGGGCGTATGTCGAATCCTGGGACGAGGCGCTACCATGGTCGTCTCGGAGCGTGTCTTGAAGGCATCGCAGTCTAGAGTAGGTGGCCGAGGTCAGAAGCAGCCAAAAGTAGTTGCCGTCAAGCAGTTGATAGTCCGATTCGCGGATTCCGAAGATTATCTCCGCGCTCGCCCTCAACACGAGATCGCCCTTCTTGCCAACTTCACCCTCGAGCTCCGAGCGCTCTGTCACGGTGCGCTCCGAAGCCATGTCAACATTGTATGACCCCTGGTTCTTGCCTATGCACTCTGATGAAACGACCATCTGGCTGACCCTTCGTTCAGGTTAGGCTTCTTGGCATAACGTGGGCGGAAAAGGGACTGCCGGCGCTCGTCGTCGAAAGAGCATCGGAACATGTTCCAACCCTTCAAAGCCTTATCGAGAATCGGAAACTGCGCGGAGTCCAAAAGGCCGATATTCTCGCGGGAATCGCCGATGGGCTCGGTGCTATACATGTAGGAACCGACCACACGGGCCCATCCCAATGCGACAACTTGACAAGACTGACTCGTGGTGTACTAGTTGCTTACCCTCGTTCATGGTGACTTGAAGCCTTCTAATGTTCTTATATTTGAGCAAGGGACGAATGTTGTTCCAAAGCTGTCCGACTTTGCTTTCTCGCGAAGCTGGAAAGAGTCTTTGCCAAGCGGCGGGACGGAGTACTGGAACGCGCCGGAATGCTGCGAGTTCGGCAGTCAGAAGACCAAAGACGACGGCGGCCACCCAAGCTATCGAGACGTTTTCTCTCTGGGTCTCATGTTCTGGTATGTTCTCAACGATAAATTGCCTTTCGCCCACATTGGTGAGGAGACAGACAACAGCAGCGAGACTCGACGCAATATTACCACCGCGAAAGAGTCCGGATACCTGCTTGAGCAGCTATCGGCGGACCGCGACAAATACGTAGGACATCCTCGAACGATTTGCAACGAGTTTCTCTAACATGGTGTGCCTAATAGGCAGCGTTCATGTTTGAAACTGATATGACCGAAGCAACTGATGACGACGACGCGATCTTGTCTATCGTGGAGTGCATGAATCATCTTCTTCATCCCCAGCCGAGCCAAAGATTGAACCGTTTCAACGCTGATATCCCGGGAAAGCTGCGGTAACACACAGCCTAGCATCGCGGGTACTCAGACATGCGGCTAACGGAAGCTAGAACACGGCGGCGGCTTCTCGAGTCTAGCGATCTTACGTGGGATGGAGAAAAGATTTCCGGGGATCTTTGGTCTAAGAAGGATATCGAAGACGTAAAGCTCGAGTTTGAGAATCGGTCCAAGGTAGAGACTTCCATCCGTTACAATCTGTACGGAGAACTCGGTTCTGCCAGCAGGACGAGTGAGGTTAGTCCCTCCAAGTCTTTCAATCCTGTATCTTTGCACTAAATCAAGATGCAGATGCCGCGCGACCAGGAAATGGTTTCATCAGACGTTTCTGTCATGATGAAAACCTCTCACGAGGCCACACTCCAGTCAAAAGATGCCTCAAAGGAGGAGCGGGCCGAGGCAGCCTGGTATCTCGCTCAGCTCTCAATACGTGACGAGCAATCAACAAAGGGGCAAGAACTGTTGCTAGAGGCTGCAAAACTCGGTAACCATCACGCACAGGTCAACTACCTGTACACTTGTTTTCGTAAATCTGCCGCGGTTCTTGTCGATGAACTAACTCACAAAGAATGGTTGATAGCGTCTCTAACTGGAAAATTTGTTTTCAAAAAGTTGGAGACTTGCCCGCCATCGCCAATTCAGAAACGTATCTTTCTCGGCTTCCAAGACTTTTACGCGAAATCTGATACGATGAACAAGGGTCATACCCTGAAGGATTCCGGTACCGGAACAAAGCACGAGATTGCCATCCTGCACGAGGCCTTTGTCAGAGACGTCCTGGGCGGAACCTACCCGCCCCATCATACAATTCTGGTCGATGGCAAGGGCTGGGGAACCATCGAAGGCGCCAAAGAGAGAACGTTCGAGAAGTTCCGCACGGCACAAGAGTCCTTGAGACAGGTCCCGGGACCAGAAACCCTCTGCCGAGTAGCCATCTACGGTACAGCGGACGTGGTACGAGATCTCGTCCAGACATACAAACTTGACGTCAACATGAAAGCTGTCTCCCCATTCCACCCAGGCCAGGAATATGCGCTCCAGGCCGCTCTCTTACGGCACAATTTAGATACGTTGGAAGCTCTAGTCAACCTCGGGGCAGACGTCCTTCCTCTATTTAGTTTGGAAACGCTTGAGGCCTTCTTGATCGAGGGGGATAGAGACCTCCTCCACTGGCTTAACCATCTCATACCGAAAATGAGGAACAAGGATAACGCGGCAAAGGCGAGGGCGGCATTCAACTCGGTGTTGCTCTCGAGCCGAGCGGTACAGTGCACGGTAGTACAGTCAAACTGGAGCCTGTGAGTGATGTCCGCGAGTCGGAGGAGAATGCGAAGCGAATACTAGGTAGCTGACTTGGCCCACAGGTTCCTCGGCATCCTGGAACTGCGTCCGCCCCTTACGGACGAAGAGCTGAAGTTAGCCCTCGAGCTGGCAGCCTGCACGAGGCGGACCGAATTCCTACTAGCTATGTTGATCCTCGATCGTGAACACAACAATATCTCACGAGAGACTCTCAGGCATATCTTATGTCAAGCCTGCCAACCACGAGAACCAGACGTTGCTAGAAAAACAATCTTCTCACGATACTACTTGGGACTGCAGCCTGAGTTCATCCAGTCGATCAAGACGCCACAGGATATCGCCTATGGATGGCTCATCGCCGAAATGGTGCTACACAGCGTAGCGACCCAACCCAAGTCCAAAATCGGAGACCTTCAGTCATTCATGGAAAAACCTCTCTTCCAGGCCGCCATCTTCAACCGCATGCCCCTTGCAAGGTGGTTCATATCAGACTGGGGTGCAGATCCAGTGCGACAGAACGAGTACGGCGAAACGATCCTTTCTCTGATGTCTTACCGCAACAGCTTCCACGCTGTTAAATACATCCTGGAACTACCAGGCGCCTCCAAGATGATCGAGAATAGAAGTTTCCTGGGAGAGGGGCCTATCCACCTGGCCGCCGCTGAAGGTAATTCGAGAATCATCAAGATGCTCCTGAATGCAGGGGCCGTGCCAACCCTCCGGAAGCTCTTAAACCAAACCGTCCTCCATCTATGCGCAAGCCTTGTGAACAAACGGGCATTCTGCACGCTCGTTGATCACATTGAACAATTGTCTCCAAGCACTCTCCGGGCAATGATGAACCACCAAGACAGAAACGGAGGTATGACGAACTTGCAAGCTAAATTCCATACTATGCTAACAAATTTTGTTTACTTAATCCAGCCACGCCATTACATCTTTTCCTGCAGGGCTCAGACCCCAAACCAGGGACGACCTGCAAGCCAACCTCCTCGCAAGATATGAATATGGAAAGAATTCTATTCAAGATCCTGAAATACGTCGATAACATCGACACCCCGGACGAATGGGATCTCACCCCCTTGGACTACCTTGTGCTCTTCAACGAAGACATGCCCAAGACGGCCACGCTCCTCTGTCGCCGCGGGGCCGACCCCCTGAGGAAATCGTCACGCATTAGAGCCAGTCCCGTACAGCTTGTGCGACAGGGAAGCAAGTCGGCGTCGTCCATGGCACTCCTGGAGTTTGTAGTGTCTAACCCCGCAATGATGGTTGTTCTTCTGAGGCAGGCCATGACGGACCCTGTTGTCGACTTTAACACGGTTGGCCGTGTGCTCAGGGACAGAGTTCAGATCCTACGGCAGCGAGATGCAAAGATGCGTGAACAGCTCCAGGCCGAATTTAACGCTCACCAATAGTTGGGTACTGGTTACCAGATTGTTACTTACCTTCCTGTTATTATCTACTGTAAATTGCTCAAATCTTCAAATTATGTCAAACCCCGGCATTTACGTACAAATTCAACGTCGTTGCAAGTTAAATGTGTTAAACTAGTTATCTAATTTAAATTAATAGCATCACTGCTTTGAATAGATGTATCCGCGATTGTGTATGAGAGACTAGAATAGAGGGTGATCCGGGCAATAAAGTCAAAGACTCACATTCTTGATTCTCGTTGTCCCTGATTTGTAGTTTTTGAACTCGGATTTCCACTGTCCTATATACATTACCGTAAGAAATTATCCACGTCCAAGAAGCTCTCACAAGATACTGATTGCATACGAATAGCCTCCAATATTGCCGTACTGTACTTATTGTATTTCGAGCGCGAAAGCAGAAACCAAGGCTTATACTGAGTGGCGATAATTTTCCAGACACTATCTCATTGAACCGTTCAATGCGGGCATCGCCAATTGTATTGATACTCCTTGCTCCATCTGCCAAATCATCAAGGACCTCAACTTTCAGTCTATCGTCAGTATGAGTTGATAACAACGGCCCACCCCAAGGTGTATACTTGATCGCTTCTCATGAAAGCTACATTCAGGTACAAATTGGATCAAAATTGTTTTGGCAACAGATCCCGCACTCCCTTGTGGAGAAGCATATCCGCAACTGAGACACCGAGTTTCTCTGCTTCGCTGTCGCACTGGACAGTGCCCACATCCTCAGCAAAAATGTGCGACGTTCCTTCTACGTGGAGAACCGTGGCTCGCAGGCGGACTCGCACGCCAAGGTTACCAGTATCACAGCCTCTTTCTTGTTCTTGTCGTGTGTCTGCTGGCTCGTTTTCTTCCCGAGGCTCAAGGGAAGACCAAACGCCAATTGGGGACGAGCATCCTCCTTGAAGACTTCGAAGCATTGCCCTCTCCGCCATGCCGCGCCATCTCGACGGTTTATGGTCCACATAGTCGACAAGCTTTAGTATATCTTGACGTTCCGTGCTAACCTCGATGCCAAGAGCACCTTGGCCGACAGCATACGGGAATATACTAGGATCAAGTCGCTGTGTGATCCGATGGCCGAGTCCTAGTCGTAATAGCCCTGCGGTCGCTAAGAGAATACATGAAAACTGTGAACCAGGTGCATCAAGCTTATTAAGGCGAGTATCTCTAAAGTATACGGCACTTATTAGATCATGATTGTTCTGATGAATGCAGTCGGTAGTAGCGAGAAGAAAATTAAGCAAGACTTACACATTGCCGCGACATTCCACTACCTTCAAATGAGGCCAATTTCGCTGCACTAGAGCTTTTCGTCGTAAAGAGCTTGATCCAACGATGGAACCAGGTGGCAATTGATCGATGGATTTGAATTCCGAGTCGGACCTCATTATAACGGCATCAGAAGGGTCCTCGCGCTCAGGGACAGCTCCAAGAAGACATTTGGGTGGTAGCGTTGTCGGCATGTCTTTCAAACTGTGGACAAGAAATTGGACCTTGCCGGCCACCAAGTCCCTTTCCAGGTCATTTGTCCACAGGCTTTTGCCAATGTCTGATCCTCCCGTCTGCTTGGACAGGAGCATGAAGGGCGTCTGCTTATCTGCATCGCCAACGGCACTGCCTGTGGCGATTCTGAAGGCGGGGGAGTTGGGCGTTTCGCCCAGCTTGGATGTTACGCTCCGAGTTTGAACGAGTGCGAGCTCCGATTTGCGGCAGCCAGCAACAACTTCGAAGGGATCATGGGACGAGATGTCTCCTTTCTCATGCTGCGGCTTAGAGCTGTTCATATCAAGGCTCATGGTGGCGAAATGCCGAGTTGCTCCCGACAACATCAGGTAAGAAGTGCAAATTTTTTAGTTGACATGGATAGGCACTGGAGGATCCACTGCGCTGATTAATGGACCTGGCATGCTCGAGAAGTCAGCAGCTGCTAATGGCGCAATTCAATCTCACCACCTTCCTTTTCTGACCCTACGATGTGCGTGTCTTGTTACGGCCAGTAACAAAATTGCCATCTGTTATACGGAACACTACTGCCGCAATGCTTCCAATTTCCTCCAATCCGAACCACTTCCTGCAGCTGGACTCTGCGGTCGCTACTATCTACGTAAGCCTTTTGTGGGTGTCGTTGACGATTGGCTGAGTAGTATTGCCAAAAACAGTCGAAGCCCTCGACTCCGGGTCCCGTAGTATGTAATTCGACGTCAGAGCCCCGGAGAGCTTTGCATACACAACACAGATATCAAACACGCCTTTACAATTTATGTGAGAGATCTCGATGAAAGAAGGTGCAACTATTTCACGCTGGGTATTTAGGCTACATAACCGAAACCAACTCGTACTTTGATACCCTATGAACAATATTCTTTTATCACATAGCTCCATTACGCTGCTGGGCTTCTTCTTCGTCCTTTCACAATATACTGTGAGCCAGCATAGTTTACCTAGGAATCCACACTCCAAGTATTGAGCCCCAAGGTAACCCTTGAGCAGGGGCCTGAGATAACATAATCATCGCCAGCCATTCCAACCCCGCTCGACCCTGCCTACCCTATACCACCTGTATAGCATAAACATCATTACAATTTTACACCCAAGTGTCTTATTACAAATAGAGACAGAGCGGCATGTTGCTCCAGCTGGGATGCCGTGCTTTAAAATAGTAGTAGACAAATGTTGAAAAAAAAAACATCATGGAAGGTTTTGCCCAACATTACTGAGTCAGATTCACAACGTAGGCCAAAAACGAAGTGCAATTACAGAACTACCCCGCTCACTGAACTGGAGTTGAACTCTTCCTAGTCTGGCGGTTCTTTTCACCTTGATCACTCACCAGCAGCTTCAGGAGGAACCGCCATTTTGAACGCGCCGAATCAATTGCATGTGTATAAGCCCAAGTTCAACCTCATCTGGCGTTATTGGGAGAGGAAGACGGCCGAGTCTTGCCAAGAACTGGTTATCCAAGACGAAGGGCGGTTACCGCATGCTTCACATGCCGAGAAAGGAAGACGAATAGTATGTATCGATCGGCTGAGAGTCGTGGAGGCCTTTTCAGTCCCATACTTAATACACTGCGAAAGAGCATTAACCTGAATACTTTACTTCTAGCGATCATGCAAGACCTGCTTGTTCTTTCTGCCGACCGATCGGGGCGCAATGCCGTTACGATGCCCGTGATGCGTCGTCGTTTGATCGTGCGAGCCTGAAAATTCTTGATCGGTTGTCGGTAATCGAGACATCGGTAAGAGAGAAGCCGGTAAGTCCTTCAGCAGGTCTTTCTTCCGCGCAGTCACAGGTGCACTGCAGCGCAGCTATCCTGGAGTTGGCTCATAAAGGGTTGAACAATGGTCTTAGATATCTTCAACACTGCCACCTGACACATCGTAGTCATGGCTTGTGGCTGCAGCTCTGAAACGAGTTAAAGGAGACCTGCCTTCTACTGGCAGCGGCGCGGTCTAACCTCGACATACCTGTTGGATGGTACAGTGGTGTCAAGAAGACGCTCGAATCATTTGAGTATTGGCGAGCCGGGTGTCCTCCCTGCCAATCACGTAGAGATGTGGTCGTTGCGATAGACAGCTCTTGTACAATGGGAGAGGATAGGGATATGAGGAGGTGACGATACCGCGAGCTGAGAGCTAGGTGTCATTTAATTTGTTTGTACTTGACATGATCTATTACACCAGGGGGATGTGTGTTGAAAATACATAGAGCTTATCGGTGCTTGTCAAAGTAAGGCTAAATTGCCTGAAGCAACTGCTTCCCTTTTGCAAGAGTGGAGCATGTATCTCAAGATCAAGTCCTGCATTGATGGCTTCCGCAGTGTTTTAGGTACCAACCTAGTCAGACACGACAGGACCATGAAATTGGCCACTGCCCTCCGCCCAACTCTTTTCGAAAACGGCCCTTCATTTTGACAGGCCTCTTTGGGGGCGGAGAAGGCCTCCTATCCGCCCGCGCGACGCTCTCTCCTATGTTACCCATATCGCAAGCGCCGCATTCGTAAAAAAGATTTGAAATGAACTCGGCAACGGTAGGCTACTATAAAACACGGCTAACTAGGAACTAGTAGCTATTCAAATAGTATACACAAACCTTGGACTCTTATCTCCTAGAGCATTAATTTGCTCCTCTGACAATCCAACAATTTTGTGGTCTTCCTTGCCTGCCTTACGCCGCTGGTTAACGTGATTTAGATACAGCGACATGAAGCCGTAGATGAGGATTCCATAGCCCAACAATGCAATTGATACTGAGTAACCCATTACGTAGCGTGGAGCATCCGAGGTTGGATAAAGCTACAGGCATGGGTATTAATATTCTGTAGATCAAGTGGCTTGAGGAAAAAAACTTACGAAAGGTGCTACGATACCCGAACAATTGCAAACCATAATCTGGATCGCAGTCGCCGTTGTACGCTTGCCATATCGAGGGTTGTTGGAGGGCAGCCATGCCAGAGGGATTCCAACCGCCACGAATAGGCCAAGCGAGATCAAAAAAGTTGCAAAGTAGTGGACGGCAGATCCCACGTTAGCGAGGGATATCCCGTAGCCGACAATGCATATTGAAGCAAATGCGATCTGGTAGACGCCTCGAAGTTGATGCATGTCGGAGAGCTTTGCCACGGTGAGGTAGCTGATAGCCCCGAGGATATAGCATGGCACCGTGAGTGCTTGCGATTGCGGGGCAGTCCAGTGTCCAAGACCTGTCGAGAGTCCATGTTAGTTTCATGCGTGGTATTGGTTATTCAGTGACTGCACCTTTGATGATGGATGGGAGAAAGACAGAGTAGCTGTATAGCATCGAGTTGACTCCAAATTGCGCTGCGGCAAAGAGCCAGACTTTCCAGTCCTTGAAGGCCAAGATGGCGTCCTTCTTGTCAAATTCTTGATAAAAGCCAGTCTGACGCTCAAGTCTAGCAACGAGCAGCCGTTTCTCGTCGTCATTTAAATACCATGCAGTCTCTGGGCTGTCGGCAAGAAACAGCCAAATTGCTATGCCAAAGAGAACAGTTGGGATGCCTAGGAGCAGGTTTCGTCAGTCAAGTGGCCAAAAAATCGTCCTCTTTTTCGGGGCAAGATGTACCCTCAAGGATAAACACCCATCGCCATCCTGAAAGGCCGGCCGTGCCGTCTGCGAACCCAATACCATACGCCAGAAGCCCTCCACATGCACCCGCCAGTGCAGAGCTGACAAATAAGTAACCGATTCTCAGCGCAAGTTCCTGCTTTGTGTAGAACATTGTGAGGTAGACAGTCAGGCCCGGAAAGAGACCTCCCTCGAGCAAACCCAGCAGCAGGCGACAGGCGATGAGCCCGCCAAAACTCTGCACTATTCCCATCATGGTGGACACTATGCCCCAGCTAACCGTAATCGTGGCCAGCCACTTGGAGGGAGTGAACTTTTTGAGCAGCATGTTGCTGGGGACTTCGACTAGGACGTAGGGAATGAACAGCACGGCGACGGCGATCTGGTACTGGTCTCCGTGCAGCTTCAGGTCCTCTTCGAGCCCAAAGAGGCGTGCGTTTCCTATGTTTGTGCGGTCCAGGAAGCAGAGAAGGTAGGTCATCATAACCATTGGAACAATGTACTTGTCAATCTTACGGACGAGCCGTTTCTCGGCTTGGTGATCGATCGGCGCTGGCTGGCTTTCGGTGCCGTCTGAGGACCTCATGTCCACATCGACTTCGGATTTCTCGGCCGCCATAGCTGAAACGAGGCTATTTGGTGTGTATATGATTTATTAAAGAAATTAATTGCATGCCATGAAGTGGGGGCGATATTCTTTGGGATAAAAGAAGTTGTATATTTGTTGAAGGAGGAATTGTGGAGGTGAAATTCCATGTCAAGACTTGCTGGAATCACAAGCTAAAGAATGACTTGACACAGGCTGAGGGCCCACTTGGCTTCCCCCTCATTTCGTGTTACTTCAAGGAAAACATTGATTCCCTTGGCCCTTTGCCGCCTAAGGTAAAGCGTCGTGATCCTGTAATGAACCCGTCGTCTATTCCGGCTAGCGGCGAATTCTAAATCATCAAGCATCCAATCTCAATCGCTGAGTGCCATGTCTTGTTATCGACAGAGAGTCATGAGCAACTAAGGGGCCCACGTCGGGTAGGGTGGCATTTATTCCGACCGTAGTCGGGATCGGCACCGTCAGATTGCAAGCCGGACACGCCAACTCCGTATCGGACAAAGATTTTTGTTGTTAGAAGGCGTCCGATAAGGAATTACAAATGCACAATTAAAATGTTTGGCATTGAACGGGGAATGCTGTAGATTCGTCATGTTCAAGCTGTATGACTACATTGAATAAAAGCCAGCTAGCTGAATTGGGATTTTAACGAAATGCAATCAATGCACGCATCATTGCCCGCGGGTCAAGCTGCTGAGCATTTTCCTGCGGGCTGGAATTTGAGCCTCATCCCAGCATCATGTCAGCAAGAATGCTAGCTCAAGTTGTCCGTGCGGATCTGCGGAACATGCATGCGCGCAATTTTTTTTTTTTTTTTTAAAAAAAAAAAAAAAAAAAAAAAAAGAACTGTATGACAAATATACTACATTCGATTGGAAATTCCTCATCGGACACTTCCGCCGAGTCATCTGGAAATACATAGGATCTCAATCCGTTTCTTTAGGCCATTGTTGCCCAGAATGGACGGGGCAAAATCAGAAGCGCTTGATTTCTGGCCTGGGACGGGCGTAGAGCCCGTCTCTATGCATGATGTAGACAGCGGCTGCGGCCGTCGCTGCCGGACAGCCGGGACCACGGTCTCAGGGCGGGGATGTTGTAAGAGCTATGCGGAGTAAGATCGTAGGGAAAGTCACGTTGTCTAGCAAAGCAGTAAATGTGGCAACTATTCTTGTTGCCTCGCTCAGTACCTAGTGGGATCGGGGGAGCCATCCTCATATATTTAGCTCAACATTGTAGTTGGTCAACATTCCATTGTTTTCTTAGGTTTAGCAGCACCTAAAGAGGCCCCTCTCCATTCTCATCCGGCTCACACGACTGTCTAAGCAGCGAATCGTAGTTCTGGAACTGGGATCTGTTATGAGGGTCGGCCCGGGGACTCTGGGGAAGTTGCGGGGGAGTGGGAAGGTCTGGGGTAACACCACGTATTGGCTTGACTCCGGCGTCCTGAAAACCCTCACCGTGTATCTAATTCCAGCACTCGAAGTTAGCAAGGCCGATTTGCGCCAACTCACTAGCGTCAAAAAGAGCCAGGATGCCTCCGGGGGAACTAAAAACTTACCCCGGAAGTCGGATTGTGTGGCTTTGCGCTACAACTCGCTCGGACGCGCACTAATGTCACACGGCTGGGCTATCACAGGCGCTATCCGGGGTAAGAGAGGAGAAGTTGACAAGAGCGGGAGGGACAAGGCGCATCTGGTTGACTGGTTTAGCTTTCCCGTTGTGAACGCGTATCCTCGTGTCGCTGCCCACGCATTGATCGATTTGAAAAGGGCATCGCGTGACTCGTAATCGAATTCTGGAGGTAGACAATCATCTGGGAATGTCGTAAGTGATGCGGAAGTTGGCGATTGAGTCATGGCACTTCAGCTATGTGGCTTTACTGGTTCATTTTCGTCGTTTGCTTCTGTTGCAGGTACTGATGGGCTATTAGGATCAAATGAGTGCTTGATTTACCATCTACAGGAGAGACGAGAGTCAGTCTCTTATCGCTGTGTTCAGTCTGCCAATTCATAAGCAGCAGACTGTTGCCTGACGTTAGGTATGGTGTAGCGTTCATGTTGAGTGAAGCTATTCACGATGGTTGTGATTCTTACCCTTGACAGCTTCACTACAGTGGACTGAGATGCGGACGTGTTTCTGGTTTGGCGCTATACAGACTGCTTGGTTATTCTCGCAGGATGTCGCGAGTTCTCATGTCACGGGGCCCCGCGAACCTAGGCGCTCCTGAGTGTTGAAACCTTAAGACTAAGATGGTCCGATCTGCTGGCCCAAGATCCATTTTCGACCTTTCACAAAACTAGACGTTTGGTTGAAACTGGAGCTTTGAGTAAAATTGGGGCTTTAACGAAGTCGGATATTTGATGAGACTGGGCCGTTCTGACAAAGTGTGACCATTAACTAACCTCGGCATGACTGATCAGAAGTGGACTGAACAGAAGTGGACAGAAGGATAGAAGTAGTCCATACCTGATTTAATATGTCAAGCGAGTCACAGCACTCAGCGCGAAATACCTTCCACGCTCAATCACATCATGGGTCGTGTTCGTCATCATGCAACTATCACTAAGTCAGATAATAATGGTCAACCAGTTGTCCTGCTTATCAATACTAGAAAGCTGGGCTGGAGGTAAAGCTGAATTGCGGAGTTGATAGATATGGAGATGTTCAGTCAATTATAACTATACAGCTAGTATTTAACAGGGAGGTTTACTCCAGTCCGTACCATTACCGCTTACACGATGCCTCGAGCAGAACTAGCTATGGTTTTGCTTGAAGAGATCCGCCGAACGCTGGAAGATCAGCGCTCCTAAAAGTGCGCACTATCAACCAGACTATTGGTTCACACTGCAGTGCAGACGACTAGTGCATGGACTACAAGTTCAGTTTACCTCTCTCACTCTACACTGATAGTTTTTGGTCTGAGGCATGATCACAAATCCCTCAGTACGGCTGATTCCAAGAACAGGGACCATGTCCTGCAGTCTAGGTGTATTGACAGAATCCTTAATGCTTTATCAAGTAAAATAGGATGGGCCGCTGTAATTGTGGCAGACTCATATCTGCTAAAGGAAGAGTGAGTTTATACTGCAACCCTATCCACCCTATCCTCTTGATGGTTTCTCCGCCATGGCGTTATCGCTTCCCATCATCCCTATCCACCTACTATGGTCGTCTTCGTCCCCCACCTGTGCCTCCGTCTTCATCGCTTGTCTCCGTCAATATCGCCGTCACCGTCCGTTTTAGAGTGGCGTGCAAATTTTTATTATATTTTAAGAATACTTTCTATTTAGTTAAAATGAATTAAATATCGTAAATCTTACAATATTTCTAGTTAAATCTTTAAAAATATATATATTGAATTATTCATTTAACGTACTTGATAAGCGAGCGACGCTGACAAGCAAGCGACGCACTTTTCCCTACCCTTTAAATTAAAACCTCAATAAAACCACAACAACCCAGTCAATCAATTAAAACTAATTGCTATACTCTTCTCTAGAGGTCTTAATAATAGCCTGATAGGTCCTTGCATTATAACCTGCCTTTCTACAAGTTCTACAGCGCCTTTCCCTCGGCATCGTCGACCTCCGTTGACCACTACTTCTCGATAATTCAACCACTACCTATACATTAATATCTCTCTAATCTATTTTATCCTTCCTCTTATTTATAGTTATCTTCTTTTCTTTATATAGGTGGGTTCTTTTTACTCTATACTGCTTATTAAGAGTTTTATTTATTTATTAAAGAATTTAGATCTTAGCTTTTAATAGGGTATTTTGATATATTATTATTTTTATTTTTTTTAAAAGTAACTTAAATATCTTAAGAATTAATATTAAAAAGCTATTTTAATATTTTTTATTTATTTTTTAAGATATTTAAATTAAAAGCTAATTTTAAGTATAATTTTTAGAATTTTTAAGATTTAAGAGTTAGAGAAGCTAATTTTTTTTATAGTTAATATTAAAATTTATAGTTATAACGTACATGATAAGCTTGCGTGACAAATAAGCTTGCGTGACAAAAATCCCTCTACCTACATTATCTCCATTTAATCAATTAATTCTCAACCATAAAATATATCTGACCCTCATATTGAGGGTAGAATCCTTCTTGCACTTCAGGCCCTTCAAAATGACCCAAAATTAAAGCTCCGACGCGCTGCAGAGATCTACAAAGTTGGCTGTATGATGCTATGGCGCCGGCAGAAGGGGATTCAATCCCGACGCGATTGGATCCCCAAATCACGCAAGCTGTCCGATCTAGAAGAGCAGATCATTATTCAGTTCATCCTCGACCTGGATTCGCGAGGGTTTCCCCCGCGACTGCGTGGTGTTGAAGAAATGGCCAACCGACTGCTCGCCGACCGCGACGCGTCACCCGTCGGCAAGCGCTGGGCTTCTAATTTTATCAGGCGACAACCAGAGCTCAAGATGCGTTTTTTTCGTAAATACGACTATTAGAGGGCTAAATGCGAAGATCCAACTATTATTTGCAATTGGTTCCAGCTCGTGGAGAACATAATTGCGAAATATGGTATCGACCTAGCCGATATCTATAACTTTGATGAGACCGGCTTTATGATGGGCATTATTGCAAGCGGAATGGTCGTTACAGGCACAGATAGGCGTGGAAACCCGAAATCAGTCCAGCCTGGAAACCGGGAATGGGTTACAGTCATTCAGGCGATCAATGCGGAAGGCTGGGCGATCCAGCCGTTCATCGTGGTTGCGGGCCAATATCACCTCGCTAGCTGGTATCAGGAAAGCAACCTCCCGGGCGATTGGGCTATTGCGACGACTCAAAATGGCTGGACCGATAATGAGACAGGTTTTGAGTGGCTCAAGCACTTTAACCGGCACACAAAGGATCGATCGACCGGTCGCTATCGTCTTCTAATCCTCGATGGGCACGAAAGTCACCACTCCGTCGACTTTGAGAAATATTGTAAAGAGAACGATATTATTACGCTTTGTATGCCGCCTCATTCATCTCATCTGCTCCAGCCTCTTGATGTCGGATGCTTTGGGCCGCTTAAAACAGCCTATGGTCGAGAAATTGAGCAATTGATTAGATGCTCTATAACCCACGTTACGAAGACCGAGT